TTAAATACTCTACAGAATAAGGATATACAGTGAAAGCCATAGCAAGGTGAAGTTAAGTAGGGAGAAACACGAACATAGAAAACACTCTCCTTGATGAAATTCTTGCTTTCTCCGCCTGCTGCCTTGTCTATTCTTTTCTCGTTGCAGAAAAATAATTCGGTTCTAAGCGTTGGCTTTGTTGCCAATGGAACAGACCATGGCTGAAACTACCCTTCTTGGAGGGTAACTGGTTTTACCACGTTCAGAATACCTAACTACAACAAGCAGAAACAAAAATGTTCACTGGACTGCAACTTCATAACTACCAAAATCTAGGATTTACTCATTATAAAAGTGACCAGCAAAGTCCAGCACTTACCAACCGCAAGGCTGTCACGACCCGTAAAAACGAAGGACAAGATGTCCTGGAAGCCCATTTGGTGCATTCAAACAACTCTATTGCTTCTGGATGCTGGAGTAGGAAAAGTAAAGACATTTGGCTTTCAGTCGTGATATTCATCAAGATTATGAATCTTTGTTGTGGAATGGTGCTAACATGGGTGAATTATGCAGTACTGGAATCGTCAATGAAGTACAATATATAAACAATCCACAAACTTTTCATCATCATCTTAAGCAAAAAGTACAAACTGTTACAATGGAAGCATTAGCTTCAAGCTTTATTTTTCTCCTGGTTGTACCCATAGTGTCTAGATACAAACCTAGTTTTTTTTGTTAGTGCAAAGACAATACTTCCACTTGTCCAACTTGTAAATTTTCCGCTGGGGTGTTCCATCATATGAACATGCAGCACTTATATCTTCTAGCGACAATAGGTGGGGATTAAGATTACCTTCCATGAAGATGAATGTAATTTGTATATCAACTTATTCGTACCTGTAAAAATGGTGTGCGCCTGTATATTCAGGAATAAAAATATTATTATTATATCCACAGTGTCAACTATAGGGTACGACCAGATTTTAATGGCTGGCCGCTTCAACGCTCCAACCCTCAGCCTAGAGCAAGGTGGCACCACCCTGAGCCGGAAGTCTGACTGTAACCTGCTAAACGCCATCCAAATGGCTGGATTGCAGGAAAAAAATCAGCGGCAACACCCGCTGGGGGTCAGATGGTAAACCATCTAAACTGGATTGCCTACTGACTAGTGATCCCCTTCTCGTTGAAAACGTTCAGGTACAAAACCCTCTCGGAAGTAGCGATCACGCCACGGTAATGTTCGACCTGGTATTTAGTGAAGGGCTATCATGGGAGGGACCTCGCCCTTACCTATGTTACAGCAAGGCAAATTACGAAGGTGTGAACGAGAGCCTTTCAACAGCTTTGTGGCCAGTGGATTGGTGTTCCTTATCGATCGACCAGCACTGGGAACTGGTAAAAGATATCATTAAGGCGGCCGTCTTGCAAAACGTCCCATTGGCGGTAACAGCAAACAGAAAGCGAACGTCATGGCTGAAGCGGAGCACTGAGCGCCTTCTAAAAGCCAAGAGAAGGGCATGGCACACATTGAGACTCTCAAGAGAACAGGACGACCATGACGCATGCATGACTCTGCAGAATCGAAGCAACATAAGGGTGTGGGGAGACAGGAGGTCGTTCCAGCCCAACCTCGCCGAAAGGCTTGAGGCAAACCCTAAAAACCTTTACCGATTTATGGCAAAAAGAAAGTCAACAAGCCAAAGGGCATGTGTCATAAAAGGTCCGAACGGAGAAAACCTCTCTGGACATGAGATTGCTGAAATGCTGAGCACCACATCTGACACACAGCTCAACATTCTATCAAGAAAGTGCGCATACCAGTTGCACAAACAGCCTTCAACGTTACCCGATGCTACTGAGTTACACGAAATACAGGTAACTCGCGCTGTTGTTCTTGACAAGCTCTTAAAGTTGAGCGCCGGAAAATTCCCAGGGTGCGACGACGTTCGCCCATCTGTGTTGAAAGAATGTGCAAGTACCCTAAGTGGCCCACTCTGCCACCTCTTCCAACACTCCCTAAATGAGCGAAAGCTCCCACGAGAGTGGAAACGGGCTATTCTTTCTCCCATCTTCAAAGGAGGAGAGGCAGAATCCCAACTGTTATAGATTCAAAGCACTTCTACCAGTAATATCAAGTTATGGAAAGTGTGATGGACGACCATATCGGTGAATATCTGGACAAAAAACAGGCGCCCAGTGATTCTCAACATGGCTCCCAGAAGGGTAGGTCCTGTGCCTCCAACCTCCTGACGGCCGATGATCACTGGACAGCATGCTGCGATCTCAAGGTCCCGGTCCACGTAATTTTTCTGGACTTCGACAAAGCCTTTGACACCGTCTCACACCATATCCTAATGCATAAGATAGCTGGGTTAGGCATTCGCAGCCAGGTGCTATCGTGGCTGCAGAACTACTTAGACAACAGGGAGTTCTGCACGAAAGTCAACAGGGTCTACTCAACTTAGAGAACATCCTCATCCGGTGTCTCACAGGGAGCAACCTTCGGCTCAGTGTTGTTCCTGCTGTTCGCAAATGACTTGCCGCAGCATATCAGCTCCCCGATTCTCTTATACGCTGATGATGTCAAGTTATGGAGGGCAATAACTTGCGAGGCGGAGTCTGTGGTATTACAGAAGGACCTCAGAACACTAGAGGAGTGGGGAACTAATAACGACCTGGCATTTAATCTGGATCAGTGCCGGTCCATGTTTTTTCGCACTCCTGATCCCCAGAAAACATCCTACTATCTCTGTGGTTCACGTCCATCCCATACCACAGCAAAAAAAGACCTGGGTCTAACGGTGACGGAGAAACTGGACACCAGTTCCAGTTACCCCAGGTGATGTCTCAAAGGCATATGGGATGCTACACTTTGTGCGTAGACAACTGAGTGCCCTCACCCCAGAACCCTTTCTGAAGCTCTATAAGACTTATATACGGTTCCACTTAGAGGTCCATAACGTCTTCGCTCCACCACAGCGGAAAAGAGGCGCGGACTTACTGGAGAAGGTCCAGAGGCGAGCCACTAAAGGGGTTGTTGGAAGGCAACGAAAAACATACGAGGATAGACTCAAGGACCTAGGTCTGTGCTCCCTTAGCTATCGAAGGATACATGGCGACTTAAAAATGGCTTGCAAAATAATGAGTAACCCAAGTCACCCAAAAAGAGGGGTCCTACCGAGTGGCTACTACGGAGATCCTCGAGGAAACCCCGATAGAATAGGACACCAGAAGTCAAAAACACATGTGCGTCCGCGGTTCTTCTCCCTCCGAGTCTATGGGTACTGGAACGCACTACCAGCAGAGGTGGTCTCCGCCCCAACTGTTGAAAGCTTCGAGAAGAGGCTAGACAGTCATGCAGAGACTCACGGTCTACCCACGCGTAGCTGGAACACGAAGTGATGCCAAGCCACGCCAACCAGTTCTCTTTCTATTGTATCCATCCAAGCCCTTTTCACCCCTTCCACTTGCCATAAGTTAGCCTCACTTACCTAAGTTCTTCATACCTTTGCATTCCGATTCACCTTACTTGGGTGTAAGTAGATTGCTCCATTAGTTCACTTTTCCTCTCTTCTTTTACTCACATAAACACTTTCTAGGTTTTCTCTTCACTATCCCCAATCCTCTCTTGCGACCAGTCCGAACAACTGTCTGGCAACTCGACATCTGAAGAAGCCAACTGCACCACAGTCCAAGGCAAACAAACCAACACTTAACTTCCTGTTCTGTAAATTAGAGCCATAGCAGACGAGTGGCTGGACCTACTGCATCGGAATCCGCCAAAAGATCTGGAGCCGTTCCGCAAGACCAAGAAGCAAGCGCGAGGAAATCAGTTGGTTTACACAAGCTCGTTAAAAAGATATTGGATATTGGATACTTTCTTAGTTACTGTAAGTTAAGTGGAGGCTTTATAGCGGCTTACAAAATACTAAGTAATCCAAGTCATCCGGACGGCAGAATCCCACCGACAGGCCTGTGAGGTAGTCTTCATGGAGACCCGACGAGAATAGCCCATCAGGAGGCGAAAACTTGTGCGTGTTCACACTTTTTCTGTCTGCGAGTTTATGGCCACTGGAAAGCATTGGCTACCGAGACTGCTGATGCGCCGTCTGCCCTAGGACAAGTCATAAAATACCTGCAAATTTAAACGACTTCCAAGACTCGTCAAGCCAACTAGAGCTACAGCAGACGAGTGCATAAACTTACTGAATCGGAATCCACCAAACACATGGGACCGTTCCGTTAAAACCAGAAGCGGGCGTGAAGAAATCAGTGGGTTTGCGCTACCTCGTACAAAAAGTTGGATATTAGAACAGTGTCAGGCTGGGGTTTCTTGAAAACAGTTTTAGTAACTCATAGACAAAGTTTCGGGCAGTGCGACCGTAGTTTCTTCCGCCAAATTTTCAATGACTTTATACAGCCTCACCCAGAATTCGAGACCATAGTCTCATACCCTGCCTCAGAAAAATAAAATAAGCCTCAGACGCATCCACAGACAGTCGGCCAAACCTCTTCGAGGACTTTGGCTTAAGACACATATGAACGACTGGCAGCGTTTGATCTATACGCCGTGGAATATAGAGGGCTGCGAGAGGATTTGATGAAGACTAACACTGTCCGAAGCACCCATGGACACCCACTTCACCGACTACTCGCCTTATTTCCCATGCCACTGTCAGAGAAGACACACAGAAACTAAGTCTTCAACATAGCAGGTTAGATGTTAGGTGCAACATATGCCCCTAAGAGTTGCTAAACTTGGCTTTGCCTGAACCCTTTGAGCGCCCCCACGACATCTACTTACGATGTGAACAGGAGCTCAGTAACAAATAGCTTACTTCTACTACGTTAATCTCTTTTAAATACCAAAGTCTATTGAGTAGAAGTTTCTCTTATTCCGTTGCCAGCCATTTGAAACTGAAGGCACGAATTTGGAGGGATGACCTTGACTCGAAAACCGGATATTTGTGAATTGACGCTGAACGTCGGCTGTTAGGCTTCAGGTTTCTTGTTATCATGAAATGACGGACCAGAGTTGTAGCATACAAGTTGTTTTTGGTAGGTCAACTACTTCATATGACCTTTTTCAAATAGGTGGTCACAAGTATGTTGTTCCTCTGCCTTCAAGTTGCGACGCGACGTTGCAAGACCTAACGAAGTCAATTGAGAGCGTAGTGCACATTCCATTCCACAAACAAAGGCTAATATACAAAGGTACTTTTCAAGTGAATTCATATTATCTAGTCTAGGAAGATCTTTAGCAGATCCTGATGCCCTAATTTCTTCTTGTGGTCTTACTCCTGGATCTAGAGTTATGGTTCTTGGTTCAGTGAGTTGACTGTAAACATGAAGTTTATGCGACTGTTTGTAGGTCGAAAAGCTTGACCCAGATGAAGCGGAAAAGATTACCAAAGCGAAAAGCGCATCTGACTCAATCAGTTTGGAATTAGAGAATCTCTCAAGAAAGCTGCATAACATCGTGAGTTCCACTAATGGTCTGTTAATTGTCATACTATTACTTCTTATCTGTTCAAAAAGGAAATAGTGACTCACCGTTGTAATAACGCAAATATCACCCTGGTAACTTTTCTAGTCTAGAGGTCAGTCAAATGACGTTAGCTTATGTAAGCCGTTACGCATCAAACTTCCCGACGCTTATCCTGTGGCTTCTTAGTGTTTTTGTTCCTATCCACCATATATGTTTTGTATTATTATTATTATTATTATTATTATTATTATCGCCACGGTGTAATGATATCGCTGACATTTGAAAGTTTTTCATAATTCTCCTATGCCAGCACAGGTAGAAATGGTGGTTACATATTAACCTTTTAGTCAGCTTTAACGCCTTATGGTATATAAGCTACTATGTTTTTCCGGGGTGTTCAAATTAAAACACTTTCCCAGGTAGTGTCTTTAGGACTTCGTGTAGATATGGTATGGCCAAACAAGACCGGATATCGATCCAAGCAGTCAGGCTTCACATCGCGATGTGAAGCCTGACTGCTTGGATCGATACCGCGGTGCACAGGCAAGAATAAACATCAGGATATGATTTGGCTTTTAGTGTGACACTACATGGCAAATAAAGGTTAAATGTAGCAAATAACCCCAAAGGACGCCACTTATTTTTAAGGAACACTGCAACCAACTTCACTCTCCAGTCATTACATTCGATCTTTTCATTGACTCCACACAGGAAGCTGCCTTTGGAATGTCAGACCTGATTCTGATACTCTGGTGTTTACCTTACATAAATCTGAAAAGTTTCAACATTTCCGTGTCTTGTGGGCCGGTACCTAAACCGGGGAGCCGCTGTGTACAAACTGTCAATAGAGTGGCTACTACTTAAGTCATTCAACCACTTTTGAGTCACAAACTTACGTGAAAATCTTTATACCACAAGACTCCATGATATCAGAATCAAGCTCTTCAGGATTGTTTGTCACTGATTCTCTACATCTTTAGCTATTTTCTTTCAGTCTGACTGGGACAAAAGCCTCTAACGGTTGTATTTCTGTTAACCGTATTTGTTAGGATGGCATAGCTTCAAGTATTACACTGATGACCAGCAGGAAATAACCTATTTTACTATGCATTTCAGGAATTCACACCGTTTTTTCAATATATACCTTAGAATGATTCCAACAATTCGGAGATAACAATGCACGTTAAGTCTACGATTGACATTATGGAACGCTGTATGCGTACTCTTGAGCTGTTGGACTCAATGCGATTACCTTACGATTGCGAAAACGAACGCACTTGTCGTAAACAATTGGTGGACACAATTCAAGTAGGTCCTGAATGTATTTTTATTCTTACTACCTAGAGTGTGTGGAAATGTTTAATTTCATTGCTCTTGTGAATATCATTTTAAGTGGTAGGTTTTTCGTTGTGATTGTGAATGCTATTTGTATGTTTATGTGACTTTATCACTTATGATTCTTCATTGCAAATAAGTAAATCCTAGGACTCCACGTTTCACAATTTGCGATCATATCTCGTTTTTATTGACGGTCACACCAAGATATCCGTAAAAATTACTCATATATAAATGAACTTCAACATTCTTCGTGCTACTCACCACCAAACCCTAGTTCTGTTTTACCTTTCTTTTAGTGTAAAACGATGCTAAATTTTGGAAAAGAAGCTGGAAGTAGCACTGACAGTCAGTTGTGAATGTGGAAATCGATTAGGCATAAGCAATAACTACATGAGATGTTCTTACTCTTGATTCTTGCATCGACTAGTTGATTATTCTCTTTATTTATTCTGTAATCAAAATCGTGGGTCTAATGTATACCCTAGCATAGATGCCTTCAACTACTGCAGAGACTAATTTCAGCAAGGGAGTATAAACACATGATAGACTGAACTGACACCTCACCAGTGCATCAATGTAGGGGGCAACAAAAAAAAATGTGATGATACATTTGTTTTATCTGGAACCATGATTTTGTTTGCAGTACAGAATTCTCAGTTTGTTATATTACAAAGAAATGAAGATGGTACTATCAGAAGTTATGAAAACCATGGAAAAAGCCGAAGCAAAACTAATAACGGGATGTGATACCGTGATCAGTAGGGTGGGAACGCATCTTTTTCATTGCGATCGACTTTGAGCCATACTACATAGCCTATTCAAGGCTAGTCCTTTTCTAGCTACCATTTTGCACCAGAGGAGACAATGGGTCAGTATGTGAAATGTTTTAGTCACTTTGAAACATCAAATGACTTTACTTCCCTTGCGTAAGACTCTCCATAGTCTCTATTATTCACGTGATGGCTCCATTGTATGCCGATGATGCTACAAACAAAACTGGTTAAGCGCCAAAGAATTCTTTCACTCTTCACTTCTAACGGTCATGTTTTAAAAACGTCTAGTTAAGCAGAGTAAGCTGCTGCAGAGTACGCCTAATTCTCAATAGGTATTTAGATATCTGGACAATACTGAATGGTGCAAGGTGATTATCGGCAATTAGGCATTTTACCATTCTGGCGAGGTTTCATCAAGCATGGAGTCAAGGATCTTTGTCATGATATTAGTTAAATTGATTCCCTTATGGGTTGTTCTTGCTGGTATCTTTAGGCTCAAATAACTGTTAAGTATTAATTCCGATGCCTTCTCCATGCACAGTTTTCATAAATGATTTTCTCACCTATTACTACTTTCTTTAATAAGCACTTTCACATTACTTCTCCTTAGCCGGAGTCAAATAATATCCTTGGGTCGGAAGGTCTATTAGTTTTGGCGGCTAGTAAGTATACCTGTGTTTCAGGTATGAGTGAGACAGACCTGATCAACTTCCCCTTGTCCATTATTCTCAAGTTCCTACCGGGTCATGAATGATTGTGGGAACTAGAGCTTTAGAAACTGTTAGGTAGGAGGGGGAAGCTTTCTGTGTTAGAATCTAGGTGTCACCCGTAAAACTAATAGAACGTCTGGGAAATATATCTTTCATAAGCATGGAAAGCACAATTTCCTGGTTTATGTAAATTTTATTAACAAAGCTTCAAAATAAGGTTGATCAGGGCAGTATGCTGTAAGACTAAAATGTATGGCTCAGCAGAGACATTGTAAGAAAAATGCGACTTTTTGAAGGTGTATCTTTAAGAAAACTGGTGTCCTAAAAAGCTTGTTTAAAAGTACGACAGTATAGTTCCATTGAAAGATTCAAAAAGTAAATCTTAGGATAAACTAGTGTTTATATGGTCAGCATTTAAAAGATATCAGGTTACAACTAGATTGGACCAACGTTTAAAAGCGTCATCAAGCAACATATTTCTCCTGCATGATATAATTTCATCTAATGTGAAGTAAGCAGTAGTCTGAAGAAAACACTTCGTTTTGCCTTGAATGATAGTTGACAGTTTAAATTTACTTGTCTAAGTGAATACTTAGCAAGAACAAGTAAGCGAATCACTGTATGTATTATTTAAAGAAAAGCGCAGGAAATGTATCTTCCAAAGGATGGACCAACGTCAACAGTTCAATCACTCTTGATATCTGCTTAACATGAGTTTAAATCAGCTTTCAGTTTACAGAAACCATCTCAATTGAGATTTTGAAGCCTTATCTTTCTATTCAAATAAACTGACTACTTAACTTAAAACTGTATTGGTGGAAAATCTAGATTTATATTCCTTTCCCTTTTTGTTTTCTGTTTGAATAATAGTTCGTATCTTTTTGTCCATGGTTGTCTCCTTCTTAACTTATACGGTTGATCATTATTGTAGTTCCAGAATTACCATTTAAATCTTATATATAGAGCTGCTTAAAACTTAGTTGTTTTATTTTAACTGTACACTCCAAGTTTCCTTATTATTATCTAATGTCAACCTTGTACTTAGCGCCCCAATATTTGCAGTACTATTTTTTGATACATTTTAACTTCTCATGTATTTCGGTCTCTATTGGTTCCTAACAGCATGTAAGCAGCTGGTTAGATTGTAATGAACTGCAATTTGTGCTGCAAACCTTATTCTTCATGCTTTGACTTAATTCGTTTGTGATTATCAAAAGATTGAATTCCTTTCCTGAATACATGAATGGTAATGATATAAACCGGTCGGAATCTGGATAACTCAATCAGATCGGTGAATAAATATGAACTACCGTCCTTGAATACTTTTGATTATGATTCATCAGGATTCATGAATCCGTTTATTCTAGGTTATTTGACGTCTTAACTCGATTATTAGTTAAAGGTCACATTTTAATATTCCAATTGGTTTACAATTGTGAATTCAATAATTAAAGGGCAGTTGGGGGTGTCACAGTGTGCTATTAATCCATCTCCTTCAGCATCTTCGCATCACTTCTAATAACTGTAAGTAGTTATCCACCCTGCTACTACTACTACTACTAACTACAGACAGTTTTTATGCATTAGCATGTGAAGTCAAAAAGTTTAATCTTATGAATCTTTGTTTCAACTGGTAGCTTTGTAATGATTTACTAATACTGCGTGTAGTTTATGTTTGCACACATTCTACTATGATGTACTGCATGATAGAAAACTTGCCATAGATCAATAAGTCATTGCTTTTATTCAGCATACAAAATAAAAGTATTTTTCTTAACTTCATCTCTTTCTTTATAAACAGCATATCTAATTAGGTATATAAACGGTATACCGAAGAGTTTGCTATTAGCCTATTCTTCTAACATTTTTATATACTTATCATTTCGATTATCTGAGATAGCTGTGGTTCGGTAGACTACTAATTATACTAGGTGATGATTGAAAGTGAAATGAAAGTTTTGACCACGGCTGGATTCGAACCAGCGACCATCGGGCTTCCGACCCGATGCTCTATTAATTGAGCTACATGGTTCGACTGCTTATCAGATTTTTATTTCGCCTCAATCACCATGGTTTTTGCTCATGTAGCTCAGTAGAGCATCAGGCGGGAAACCCAGTGGTCTCTGGTTCGAATCCGGCCGCGCTCGTAATTTTCATTTCCCCTTTAATCATCAACCAGTATAAATACTAGTCTGCCAAAATACGGCTATCTTAGATGGTCAAATGATAATCAATATAATGCTCCATCTCCTCTCTAATTCAGTTGAATTTTGATTGAGATGAGAAGTCCTGACTAGGTAGGCAATGTGAATATGATCAAGCTGTAGTAACGTGTCAATGAATTCACATGATAGTCGAGCAAAACCTATCATGGTGATTGAAGTGAAATAAAAATCTGGTTAGCAATTGAGACTTCGTAACTCAGTTTTTATGTATCTAGGATAATAAAAGTTTCTGTCCAATTTGTGTTTTTACAGTTTTAATCCTAATTTTTAAATATTTTTTTTTAGGAATTTCTTGTGCAAGCGGACAAGTTGAGAGGTAAATTTTTAAAGTTGACAAAAGTCAAAGATTGATTACTGTTGTAATGACTTTTTACGTTTCTCCTACAATAGTATTATGTTGTTTTTTTCAAAATTGTGTCGTTTGGAATAATAATAATAATAATTGTAAAGCCTGTTATATTTTCCTTTTTCAAATCATAAGAATAGATACAAATAGGCATCGGTATTGGTGTGACAAAATAAGATGTCTAGTTCCATTTGGTAAACTTTGAATTTCTTGTTATAATATCTGTTGTTCGGTGATTAGATTTTCTGTCATAGCTGTAAGACAGTAAACCTGTATGCAAAATGATTTAGGATGGTATCAAGTAATGGAAACAAAATTGTATTCATCAATATATGAAACTATAAACTCAAATAAGGATAGTATTGTCATGGCGAGTTATCATATCCTAAACTCATATGCTACTTCTAGAACTTATGAGAATTAAGTACCTTCGAGAAGAATGGGGATTTTAATTTAGAGGTAGTATTCATCACAGACTGACATCAGTTGGAAGACCGTTGAAGGTCTGGGGGCACTGAACAGCTGTTTCGTCCTAGTATGGGGCTCCTGAGCAGTGCGCATCCATGACCCGACCTTCAGGTTTCACGGTGAACCCGCTAACCATTCAGTCAGTGGTTCGCAATTTCCAACTTCTGTCAGTTCGGGATGTAGCGTAACTATCTCACCCAAGGTTTTCAGTTGACATCTGATTCCCTTCCCCACTGGTTGAACCTACAGTTCACAGCTGCGTAATAGTCACGCTATATCGTGAATTGACAAAAGTTGGAAACTGTGGACCACTTAAAATCGACCCAGTGACTGAAAGGTTAACACGTTCGCTGTAAAACCTGAAGGTCGTGAATTCGATCCCTAACCAGGTCGTGGGTGCATACCTCTGAGGAGTCCCATGTCAGGATGAAACAGCTGTTCAGTGCTCCCAGGTTTTCAATGGTTCTCCAACTGATGTCAGTCCGTGATGAATAATACCTCTAGATTAAGTATCTATTTGAAGTGTTCTATTCACTAGCAATATAAACTCTGTAATCCAGTTCAGTAATACATACTTTTCACTTTCTTAATGTTAACGTCCCGTAACCCTTGAAGATGAGTTTTAAATGAATTGAAATGTTGAACTCATATTTGCTTTAAAGAAAATGAACATTGTGTATATAGAATCAGAAGTCACGTTGTACGTAGGTTTTTTTTCAGGTTGTTATCTAAAGTTTTAATATTCATTGAGTGAAGAAAAACTGTTTCGATCATTTAGTGTCTTATGAAACACATAATTTTTCGCTGCAAAAACCTTGGTAGGTGAAGTGGTGTACTGATTTTGCATCAACTGTTTAAATCAGTTAGCCATAATTGGACTCAGTTTAGCGAATACTTTAAATAAAGTAAGAATGAACAGTATATTAATGATGGGTAATGGCTAGCAGTGGAGTCCAGAACGCGCGTTTCATCCTGCTTAGGACTCACTAGTCAGCTGGATGTATCTGCCTCTCGGTGAGTGATGTTGTTCCCACTGGGATTCGAGCTCGGAACTTATCGGTTCAAATGCCAGAGCCTTATCCACTGGATGACCAAGCCACGATAACCACTTCTTGTGCGATGGGTATAGTTTTAGTGTTGTTGCTTGTATTATCCCGTCGTTGACTGGACCGAATTGATCGGTATCTATTAGCATATGGGCTCCTGCACAGATACCTCGATATTCCCTGTGCTTTAATCATATATTAATGACGGATAGTGACTAGCAGTGGCGTCCAGGACAAGCAACGAGCAAAAACACTGATAAGAATGAATAAGTTTGAAGAAGACGATGGGATCCAATGTATTTTGCCACATTCTCTTTAGCTGGGTGCAATCTAAATAAGTCAAAAACTAAGTATAAAATAAATATCAGCAAACTGGGTAAATACATGGTCATGAAGGCGGATTAAAATCGTTGAGCAAGCAGATAGTTGAAAAAATTCTTTATGCTCATAACTAACGAAACTGGAAACTCTAGAACATTTTTAATAACCAATCATGATGGAATACGATAAATACGTTAATAAGAATATTCGAGAACTAGGATGTTAACTACTGATTATTTTGGAGCACGAAAGTCAGACTTTAACCGACTGGTTACTACTCTCTCTATTGATAACATGTAGCAGAACTGCTTGTAGCATTTAGTTTCAGATTTGGCTTGCGTCGCGTCTTTCAGTCTGCTCAATATACCTGTCTTAGGATATGAATCGATGATATGTGACAGGTATTTGTTCACCTTGCTTTGCATTACTGAACGGTTTGTTCGAATAAATACGAACTAGTTTCCATACTGGGAATTCGCTTCAAAGTTCAACTCTTAGATTCTGTTCTACCTTGTTCGTCATTTCCTAATCAATAGTTAACATCGATCTGTCTTGATGATGGTGAAAACAATCTCACTCCACCCCCTTTAGACTCTCCAATAATTGTCTGTACAACACATTAAGGTTGATTCAATTTTCGTCTTTGTATCCTATTCCTCTCTTATTCATGTTCACTTATTTGGTGGATTACATCATGATTGGTTATTAAAAATGTTCTAGAGTTTTCACTTCCGTTAGTTGTAAGTAAGCATAGAGAATCTTGTCATCTATCTACTTTAACAAGAACAAAGCGAAGAAATATTTCTTTTCAACGACTTCATTATCAAACTGTACAGTCATATTTATACTCGGTAAAGTGACAGATGCTTGCACTAAAACGTTGCTGAGTCAATATGGAAAATATACAATCAGTGTAGGTGGTGGTATTTGTTCAAGTGGAAGAGATAGAAAATGGATGGATACTGAAATCGAAACTCTTAAAATAATACTATCTAATAACGGATACTCTAAAAGATTTATTGATACGAATCTGAAGAAACGAACCACTCCCCATCCCATTACAGTCCCTAAGAAAATTTTAACGATGAATCTTGAGTTTAAAGGAGACACCACAGCCGAAGTGCTGAAAAATCATGTGTCAAGATGTATCAATAGTAGCTTCTATGCTGCTAGACTGAGACTGATATTCTCCAGCCGCCGTCTTATTCGTCAATGCGTGAAGGATAGGCTTCCACTTATGTCCACATCTATGTGTATCTACAAGTTCACATGCTGCTGTTGAGCTGACTCTATTGGACGTTGTAAGCCGGCCCTCCGAAAACGTGTTGCTGAACACTACCCGGTTTGGCTTACCAGAGGCGAGCAAAAGAAAACGACTTCATCCATATATGAGCACCTTGTTGAATTGGGACACTCAGCACCTCAAGATTCATCCTTTAAGAAAGTTTACAAAGTTAAATTGAATTACTCCAAGGGTTTACGTTTCCACCACTTATGCATAACTGAAGCATTAGCTATACATGAACTGAAACTGCATTCAAAAACATTTTGAGAAACCACTTTCTCTACCTTGACCTTAACAATTCATCTTGGTTATTTTGTCAATTTCAGTTCACTTTGGTATACTTCTCTTTTCTCTCTCTCTCATCATCATTATCATCAATTTTTCACTTCATTGACAACATTTGACCCATATTTCACTTCTTAATTTCAATTCATTCCTTATTCATTGACCTATTTTATACATTTCAGCTTAATTATCACCGGTTTACAATTCTTTGACAACACTTGTCGCTTATCTCACCACTTGTTATCAATTCGTTCCTCCTTATTCAGTGACCCATTTTCTATCTCTTCCACTTGAACAAATACCACCAGCTACACCGATTGTATATTTTGTATATTGACTGAGCAACTATTTAGTACAATTATCTGTCACTTTATCGAGTATTAATATGACTGCTGTACAGTTTGATAATGAAGTCGTTGAAAAGAAATATTTCTTCGCTGATACATGCCTTCCACCTTCATGACCGTATATTTGCCCAGTTCTCATTCTTATTCCAGTCAAAACTTTTTCCATGTCTACTCTGAAAAGGGTTTACTTAAGATTTCATTTTTAAGCATTACCTATACTTACCATATCATCAGGATATATAGGTGTTATAGCATCTGGTAGTGTGTAAACAAATCGTTCGATTTTCGCGTTCACTTCACTTGAATCCTCATATGTTACATCTTCATTCACATTATTACTATCTTCAATACGACGATATAAACCAATTATTATTGTTCCAGTATTCACTAACACAGTGTGAAATAACTGACTGAAAGTTAAGTTTTTCTAATCAGACAAATAGAAAAAAAAGAAGTGATTAAATTATTCTATTCATTGAATTAGCAATACTTAGATAACATCTCATATCGAAGGCGGGAAATTTCTTTAAATTTTAGTATGCTGCATGAGATTCTCTGTGACGTATCTTTTCATACACTAACAAATCAGTTACAACATATAACTGGGAACTCAGTAGTCTTAGGATTCAGTTGAAAATCTCAAAAATTATAGTTTTCGGATAAAGTTTTGTTGGTGTAAGCAATAGGATTACACTCTGAATCTTTATGTGACTAGTTACCTAAGATATAGACAACAGTTCGTTGGTTAAATACTTTGTCATGTTATTCAACTGGTTATTCATACTATTCATTGCTAAATTTTTATAATATCTTAAGTAATACTCACTCATCTAAGCAACTCTAAATTTTTGGATTGTGCCAATGACATTTTGCTCGTTACTGTGTCTTTCAATGATATAGTTTAATTATTGTAACCTAAGATGTGAAAATATTAACCTGAAACTAGTGTGGAGATGTTCTACACTCAGCAAGATCCGGATTTTCAACACCAAACGTCAAGTCAGTGCTCCTGTATGGTTCAGAGACTTGGTGGGTTACGAAAGGCATTTCTAACAAACTACACACATTCATCAACAACTGCATACGCTGGCTCGTTACTGAAGATCAGATGGATTGCCAGAATAATAAGAAAAAGCAACAAGGAACTCTGAGAACGAACCAACGAAGCAAGAACCTATCACTCAACAAATATGCAGAAGAAGAAAGCCGAGGCGGATTGGGCATACACTGAGAAGGCCGATTGGGGATATCACGCGCCAGGCTCTCAAGTGGAACTCCGATGGGAAGCGACGAGTTAGACATCTGAGGATGACATGGAGGAGATTGTGCGAGGAGGAACTGCGAGCTTGTGGGCTGTCGTGGAGCCAGGTTGATAAGACTGCAGAGAACAGAGAGCATTGGACACGTGCAACTGAAGCCCTATGTTCCATCAGGAACCCAAGGGACAAATAATAATAATAATAAGATATGAAAATATGATCAGAATTATACGATGTAATTTAGCAGTACCACAGGAAGAAATTCTTTAATAGAATTTTGTATAACATTCAAAGTAGCACTTCACAGAGATAGTTCACCTTCACACTGTGCTATAATGAATCTCAGGTCCTACTCATAGTTCGTGGAAGCCATGAATGTAATGAGTAGCAAAAAATAAGTACTCGTGTTAATGCCACTCTTATGGAATTCAAATATCAGCTATGTACAGTGATCTAACCTTAAAAACTGCCATCCATTCAGAGAATTCAGAACTTTGGTACATGCAATAACACAAACCAGTTAGGTGAATGCCTGCTGACTCATTAACAGCTTGATCAGTTCAAAGTAATTATACAGTTAAGGTTCCTATAACCATGCAAGTTGTTACATATGGTTACCTGAAATGTTATCATACATAGCATAAATTATCATTTGATGGGTGTAGGATATTTATGTATTAAACCTTTTAAACACGTTACTGATAAGTACCTTCACGTAGAAAGCATGAAGCTACTTATCTACTACAACTTTACATTTCAAACAATCTATTTCTCAGTGTCACTCTTAAATTTGCTAAAGTTTCAGGTCTTAGTAGTCAATAGAAACCTCTGCAATCAGTCTATTCTTCTGCGTAACAGCTCTCAGCGTATTCAAATCTAGAGAAAGATACAAAGTGAAAGTGACTTTCATCTCGATGAACTGATTATTATTATTATTTGTCCCTTGGGTTCCTGATGGAACATAGGGCTTCAGTTGCACGTGTCCAATGCTCTCTGTTCTCTGCAGTCTTATCAACCTGGCTCCACGACAGCCCACAAGCTCGCAGTTCCTCCTCGCACAATCTCCTCCATGTCATCCTCAGATGTCTAACTCGTCGCTTCCCATCGGAGTTCCACTTGAGAGCCTGGCGCGTGATATCCCCAATCGGCCTTCTCAGTGTATGCCCAATCCGCCTCGGCTTTCTTCTTCTGCATATTTGTTGAGTGATAGGTTCTTGCTTCGTTGGTTCGTTCTCAGAGTTCCTTGTTGCTTTTTCTTATTATTCTGGCAATCCATCTGAGCTTCAGTAACGAGCCAGTGTAGGTGGCAGTTGTTGATGAATGTCCGTAGTTTGTTGGAAATGCTTTTGGTGACGCGCCAAGTCTCTCAACCATCACATAGAAGCACTGACTTACTTGACTAAATTAGTGTTGAAAATCCGGATCTTGTCCAGGCTTTGTGCTGAGTGCAGTGCAGTAGCTCTCCACATTGGTTTCAGGTTAATGAACGCCTGTCTGGCTGTGGCGTCCTCATCTGTGCCACCTGTAGTTGAAACGATACTGCCTAGGTAGATGGGTAAGTGAAAGAGACTATTTCCTTCAGGTTTCTCCGGTTCGTGGTGATTGATGCTTGTTGTTGATGGCCTTGTTGCTTGAGTAGCTTCATCACCCCTGTCTTCTCTACCTTCTCTTGAAGTCCCGTCTTCGCTGCCCTGCCTCTTCTATCAACTTGTAAGTTTTCGCCTATAGGTGTTCGAGTTTGTGCGACATTAGACATAGATCACCGACGAAATCCAAATCTTCTAGGCTCTTCTCATTGGTCAAACAGCGTATACCTCTCTTCTCGCTCGTCACAGTTTGTTGCATAGTCCTGTCCACCACAATCAGGAAGATCATCGGTGATAGTAGGCAGCCTTGTCTTACTCCTTCCTGTCTTCACTTCAAAGGCGTCACTGAGCTTTCCATTTTGAATCAGTCCGCATGTAGCCTCATGATATAGCTGCTGTTGAATGAGGTTGATAAAGGTTTGTGGCACTCAAACCATAGTGTTGAGGCAGCAGCTGCCAAATTACTTCTCAGTCGACGCTGTCAAAGGCCTTTTTAAAATCTTTGAAGTTGAGTTGACTGCCATTCTACGCTCCGTTTTAGGATGATGCATAGTGTAGCGTTGCAATTTGACCCACACATGATTTGTTCTTCCTGAAGTCAGCCAGCCAGCCTGTTCCGGTCGTAATTTTGAACCCAACGCATTGTTTAGTCTCTCCACGATGGTGAGGTGTAATATTTTGCTTGGGGTGGACAGCAGCATGATTCCTTGCCAATTCTTGCAAAGACTTACATAGCTCTTCTTTGGAAGTTTGACAAGGTAGCATTTCTTCCACTCCTCAGATCTCAATGAACTAACATTTTATACATTTAGTTTGTTATTAATTTCGTCTAAGCATTTTATCAACACTCAATGAATAATCTCGAAGATATAATTATTTTATAGTTCTAATAATTTCTGTTGTCAATCAGATATTTTAAATAATTGAAACCAGTTTCTAAGACACAATTCTGAAGAATTCGCTTACTATCCAGTCGATAACATAAACCCTCAGGAATGTCAGTTGTTTAACCCAATCAACAATACTTCGTATAGTGTGAGAAAACACTAGTGACAAAGTTTTCATAGTAGATAGTCTGAATCTAAATGTTTGAAAGCATAGAATACTTCTTTTTTAGTTATGATACTTAACGAAAAAAATCTTTCTCTTAGAACATAGAAAATACTGATACTGTTCACCTGTTTATGATTGTTTTTGTTTTTACATACTACGACGTTTAACTTCACAAAAAAAGCAAATCAAATGAACTTAAGGACTATTAATGATGGATCATGGCTAGCAATGGAATCCAGGATGTGCATTTCGTCCTACTAGGGACTCACTGGTCAGCTGCTTCCCTGTGAATGATGTTGTCCCCACCGGGATTCGGACTCGGGAGCGATCGCTTCAAACGCCAGTGAGTTATCCACTACACCACCGAGCTACGGTAGCCACTTCTTGTGTGACGGGTATAGTTTTGTAGTTGTTTTTATATCATACCATATCATTATAAGACTATACCCGTCGCACAAGGAGTAGCTACCGTAGCTCGGTGGTGTAGTGGATAACTCACTGGCGTTTGAAGCGATCGCTCCCGAGTCCGAATCCTGGTAGGAACAACATCATTCACAGGGAAGCAGCTGACCAGTGAGTCCCTAGTAGGACGAAATTCACATCCTGGATTCCATTGTTAGCCATGATCCATCATTAACATATTTAGAACTCAGGCAATATCGAGCCATCCGCATAGGAGCCCATATGCCAGTGGAGACCGATCAATTCGGTCCAATCAACGACGGTATGATATGAAACTATGTCCAGTACTGTCATATCTACATAAGTTCTTTAACTGATATCAGTCCGTGATGAAGACAACTTTTAAGTCATTAAAGTCCTACAGACGTCAAAAATAATTTTTCTTATGTATTGCTTTGTTTGCTGTCATGCCTAACAGATTGATTTCACACAAAAGATGTTCATTCCCACCAAAAAATGACACTAAATGCAATTGTACAGCTTGTTGAATGAAATTGCCGAAAAGAAATTTCTTCACTGAGCCAACTGTTTTTCAGCTTCATGTGTTTTTATAAGAATTTTTCGTGAATCTAAGGTAGCCAGTAGCATAATTGATGAGCCTAAATTCTCTGGTATAACAGATTTTAAATGGAGTAAAAGCCCAAGTAAAAATGAATAAAAGAGACAGATTTTTCTGGATAGTGCAGTATTGCTATATAACCCCAATTTTACAATGGCTTTAAAGGCCATCCTATCAACAACTGAAATAACTGATCAGACTTCTCTATTTTATGAAAATCTGCCTTTCCAACCGGAATGAAGAAGCCTAATTCGTCATTTCTATTGTTGCTAGGGTGGCCTTTAAAGTCGCCCCTAATTTTGCATAGCTTTTGTTCATTGTTTTACCCACGACCGTAAAATATCATACAATGACTGTTTTTACACCGTTACTAGCTTTTCTTCCATCTCCTCTCAACTCTGAACTCTCATTGGTTGTTAACCATTTTTACCTAAATGTGGATTTAGTGTTGTCAAGGTCATTTTATATATATATATATATATATATATATATATATATATATATATATATATTCAGTATCTCTGTCAAGTGTATTGACTGTTGGTGAGAACGTGAAAAGCTCTCTGTCGATAATGTCTTCTGTTCTTGTTTTCGCGCGTCAGTGGTATTATTGTTGTTGTGGTGGTGGTTGACGTTGTGATTTGCGTTATAGTTGATTCGTTTACGCGTTCGGTTCTTATCGTTCATGGTCTGCTAGGCTGGTGTCGCTCGTATACTGTTAGGTCATACAACCGGTCATAGCATGGATTCAGGTTAACAGCAAGATTCCATATTAGATTTGTTTATTGATATATAGCGCACAGTGATACAGTATTATTTACTTGATTACTTTTTCGAGCATAAATTATTGCTCATAATCATATCATAACAGCAAGATTACATTAGACTTTTTATCCCATTGCTTCATGTAACTGTCAAGAAAGGCGTAAGAATTGCATCTATTAGGAGTTAGAGCTCTCTTTCATCCTATGAAATTCCTTTCGCGTTTGGAAGTTGTTTTTCTGTATTTCGTAAGTTTCATTTAGTCTTAAGTAGAATAAACGCTATTAAAGAGAGCTACCATGCTTGCAAACAGCAGAAGCTACTGTAGTTTCCTATACGTATAGAAATTGAACTACTGCCTATTTTGTTACACTATATTAAAACAATTGAGTGCATATCTCTCACCTGAAATGCCAAATTGTGAAGTTCAACATCCAATTCTTTGAGTGGAATCATAAGGAGCTGAGATAAGTGAACAGTAACTGCATCACCTGTGAATTAAGTAAGGATTTTAAACATTGAGAATACAAAATACTTTAGGTTTTTACATTTATTCAAAAAAAAATGCTTCATCAACTTATTATCAGGATGGTTGAATGGAAACTATTTTAACTGGTGTTATTGATGTGTAAACTCACACATGAGCTGTAAAGCATGTAGACTTATGAAACTACTAAGGAGAATAGGATGATTAAGCTGTCTAGTATCCTCCGGTTTTCACTGTGTGAGTATTAAGGTGTAGAAAACTTTACTTCCTCACATTGATTCGGTTATAAGTGAATTAACTTCCGACTGAAACCACCTTAATTTAGTGTTTTAACCAAATATATTATTTCAGCCTTGACTAGTTTGTCCATGGATGAAGTGTACACATGGATAGGAATATATTATGGTAGTATTTAACGCAATACCTTATTTCTCAGTGTTATTACATCTTGCTAATGTCTGTCAACATTATGGAAACCAGGCATGGATTTTACTACTTATTATTTAGATAGTGTAAATCGGCGAAGTTTATTTGAACAATGTGATTGATGTATTAGCATAATTTATTTCGAACAATCTGCTCGATCACACATTTAATCGTCAAGTCAATATATATATTGAACCGAAGAGTGGAAGGACAAATACAACAATTAACATAATAGGGGATTCGAATTAAGCAAGATGAGAACAAACAGCAAGTGACGTAGTTGATCCTAATCTTGGTAAGAGAACAAAGTCTACGAAGGTAGGTGTAGTGTAAGAACAAACTGCTTCTGTACACATAAAGGTGGTTTCAATTTGCGTATGGTTATCACATCCGCAAATCTCAGTATACCTCCCTCATTGTTTCTATATAAAACGTTTGAAGCTGTTTGAATATTAATTTTGTGACATGTTTCCATAATATGTTTAGTTATAGATGAAGAGGGTCACCTCCCACATGCACCTATCAGTTTTGGAAGCCATTCCGTCTCATGTTCACCGACCCTCAACTGCATGTCTCGAGTACTTTTCCCCTATGTATGTGTGACCCACATACACACATTAACTGGCAAACACAGTGATCTACGAAAATGATTTACTTGAAACAATGAGTCCCTTTCATAATTTAGATAGTGTAATTAGAAGATGAAGTTTATCTGAACAATGTGGTTGATGTATTAGTGTAATTCATTGTGAACAATCTGCTCGATCATACATTTATTCATCAAGTCAATATATATTGAACCAGAGTGGGAGGGCAATCCAATACAAGTGTGGTCTACTAGAGTAGAATGCCGATTTAATCGAAACCATCGTATTTGTACATGAGATACGATGGATGAAGTTATCAAATTACTGACCAAAACACATATGAGAAACGGCTATCCGATGAAGTTTGTAGACTGTTGTAGAAATCAGGTAGCACCAAAGCCAACTGTGTACACACTTCCTGAGAAAAGCGTCCACATCACTCTACTATACGGTGGAGAGTTGAACAGTATAATCTTGAGACGTTGGCTAACATCAGCCATTAAGAAAGCATATTACACAGCTAATCTTATCATTGTAGGAAAAACAAAACACATGGTTCACTACAAACCTGAACACACTGCATCAATGATTACGTCACACCCATTGTGTTTACCAGTTTGCATGTGTGTGTGTGTGTTTGTGGTCAGATATACATAGGGAGGAGTAATCGATACATGCAGTTGAGGGTGGGTGAACATGTACCTAAATGGCTTCAAAAGTAAATGGAGTGTGAAACCTTGATAAACGCTGGTGGGAGATGACCCTCTTCATCTATAACTAAACATATTATGGAAACATGTCACAAAATTAATATTCAAACAGCTTCAAACGTTTTATATAGAAACAATGAGGGAGGTATACTGAGATTTGCGGATGTGATAACCATACGCAAATTGAAACCACCTTTATGTGTACAGAAGCAGTTTGTTCTTACACTACACCTACCTTCGTAGACTTTGTTCTCTTACCAAGATTAGGATCAACTACGTCACTTGCTGTTTGTTCTCATCTTGCTTAATTCGAATCCCCTATTATGTTAATTGTTGTATTTGTCCTTCCACTCTTCGGTTCAATATATATATTGACTTGACGATTAAATGTGTGATCGAGCAGATTGTTCGAAATAAATTATGCTAATACATCAACCACATTGTTCAGATAAACTTCATCTTCTAGTTAAGCTATCAAAATTCGTAACAGGGACTCATTGTTTCATGACTAATATTTCCATTCTAGGTTATTTTATTTAGTACAATATACTTCACTGAATGACTTTTTGGGCACAAGAAATTGGTCATAATCATATCACTTTGATATGTACCAATCTTATGTTTGTCATGAACTTAGAGAAGTTGGAAATATGGACCATTGGGTTCCGACCCAGTGCCTCAATGGTAACGTACTGACTGCTGGACCTGAAAGGCCGTGGGTTCGATCCCTTGTGGGTGGGATCATGGCTACGCACTTCTGCGGAGTCCTATACCGGGACGAAACAGCTGTTCAATGCTCCCAGTTTTCCAATGTTCCTGCAGCTGATGTCAGTCTGTGATGAATACCAACTTGAAATCAACAAATCTCGACAAACCCCCCAAATTAAACATTTTCGAATCGACGGAACAGAGTTTGGCTGCACTACCTACCTGTATTTTTCTTGAGAGATTAAAAACAGTTTAGGTGTTTCGGGAATTCCTATTTACCTGCGATGAAGTTTCGAAATGCTTACATGAGGTTTGACTGACTTCAAGTGATGTACACTACTTTTGACATTTATCAGAGATATACGTTAAAGAATGTAACCATTGTTAATTGAAGCAGACAGTAGTCTGTAGGTATCACTTTACTGATGATCATGAATAATTTGTTTCACCTGGTAGAACTGTCTTTAATATGTGATAATAAGGTTCAAAATAAGAGTAAAAATTATACAACAGATAGAAATGATGTAATCTGACTTAATGATATACGTAGACTATAGTTTTCATATATGAACCCAAATATACTAGGGTACGTGATTCAGGCTACACTAGGCCTTGATATTACTTAGTAGTGAAACCGATCTAACTGTTGTTAAAGGAATGCCTAAAATATTAATTCATATGATTATAATCTATCAGTTTATTTTTAAAAAATATCGGGTTTGAGTGTATTGTGTTCTCGAATCTGAACTGTTTAATCCACCATTTCGAAGTGGGTTATATATGTGAAGCTGATCTTTGAAGTTGCTACCAGTAATTTCAACTGTTCGAAAATCTTAAACTGCAAGCTAACATCTCTGGATAATCAGGAATTAGTGATTGTGTAGTTATGCAATGATATTCTTTGCAAATAAGTGTAAATAATAATCCAGTTAAACATGGCACTGTTGACTAGACTATGAGCTATAATTAGGATGTAACGACACGATACTACAGAGTTAGTGGAGTTCAAGTAGATAGAGCAGGATTTGAATTTCAGACCTTTAGCTAAGAAGTCATATGATTAAGTCAATGAACGACGTCTTGACAGGTTCATTTGTCTACTTAAGCTTCGTAGTCGTGTTTCTACACCGACTGAGTTTTCTATTACTTTAAGATGACTCGGCCAATTCAGTCGAGTCATTTGTTTATAGCTTTATAGTAATTAGTATCTCTGCATAATTTTGTCTATTTTTTTTGCTGGGAGGTTGTATAAAACCCAGTGACTGAATGATAACATAAGTAGTTGTTTGTTGCAAAGCTTTTAAATACTGGGCTCAATCTCCCATGGAGTTGTTGGTGCTTCTAGGTTATCTGTGTTCCTCCAACTCATGTCAGTTTGTGGTGAAAAACTTCTCTACACTAAGGTATTCTTAATGATGATTCAGATTTAGGTGTCTACTATGATTACACCTTTTTCACCTTACATTTAAATAAACGTTGAAGAGCATCAATACACCAATAACTGTACATCAATGTAAGTAGATAATGACTCTTCAATTAATACATGTAACTGTCAGATAACCACTAGCTGCTCATCTAAATACCAGCTGCCAAAATATAAAACTTCATGTTCTCATTAACTTCTATCATTTAAATTCGATTCGTAGACTAAATTGAAAGAGAAGTACCTTTAAACTCTACTAAAATCAAAATGTTTAATAGTGAAGTAGGCTCATCGTTTCACTTAGTTGACATATGTATTTCGCGCCACTAGTCACTGTTAGCATGATTTTTAGAAGTCAGGTCGATGGTATCAAAACAATAGATTGTTACAAAACCATATCACACATCATATGATTTCTTTATGTGTTATGAAGTTACTAATTAACTAATACAATACAATTAAGTTGGTATTCATCATGAAATGACATCACTTGGAGAAACATTGAAAAAGTGGACGTAACAAGATGTGGTTGCAGCAAAGAAAAAAATTTTCTTTTCGACCAGGTCATTTACTAAACTGTACATTCGTGAATATATGTTGTACCCTTTGAGTGGTTTGATCGCACCCTGTAGAGAGTTTTGAATGAGCTCTTGAAAGGAGTTAAGTGACTTGAGTTCTCAAGGTGTTCTCCCTTTTGCCAGTCAGGCTGGATAGTGTTCGTGAGCGCATTTTACAAGCGGACGCACGGTGTGACCGATGTACTCAGCTCCACAAGAGTAAATCAACTGGTATAGACACATTTATATGGCCGAATGCGTCGGCTTGTCTTTCACAAATTGACCGAAAAGTTTCTTGCGAGAGAAAATAATCCGAAAGTTGGCTGCGAAGTATGTTCTGTTTAAGGATTTTGACAGTCGTTTCCTCAGAATCTCTGCGGCAATATGATTTTCGAACTCAAGATTCAACAAAAGAATCTTTTTTGGCTCCAAGTGAGTTCCTTCACTTGGGTTCTTTAGCTTTATGTTCTTATCTATGAATCTGAAAGGGAAACTGTTTTGCGCTAGAGTCAACAGTGTTCTTAGTACATGTTTTCCTGATCCTCGAGGAAAGTGAATGGATAAGATTTCTCTTCCTACATAGAGGGATGGAACTTTGAAAATTAATCCACTGTCTGTTCCATGTGATCATTCTGTAGACCGATCTACAAAGTGAATTATCATCTTTTCTTTGGAGTTGTACATCAAGAAAATGTAAGGTTGAGTTTGATTCTGATTCTAGAGTGAATTTGGCTGAAGGGTGAGCGTTGTTGAAAGTATGAAGCAGGTTTGTAAGATTCATATTTTTATGATAAACTATCAAGGTATCATCAATGTATCTTTTGCAAACATGAAGTTCTTTGGTTGTTGATGATAATTTGATGTTTTCCAGTCTTGCCATGAAGTGGTCAGCTAGGAGAAGTCCTAGTGCATAACCCATTGCCACACCATTTATCTGCCTGTAGATTTCATCATTAAATCTGAAGTGTACGTTGAAGGAGAAGCCCTTTTAGGTAGCGAATTGGAATACCAACATCTATTTTATGACATTTAATGAATTCATATAGCAGGGAGATGGTTTCTGTCATTGGGACATTTGTGAAGAGGGATACAATATCCAATGAAATCATTCTTTCATCTGTCAAACTGACACTATTAGATCGACAAAATCAAGTGTGTCACGGAGACTGTGGTCCAAAAACTTTTTTTTAAAGGTTCAAGTATTCCCACAAGTCATTTCACGTTTAAATAATATAGAGAATTCATCATATCGAGTGTTGGATGGAATGGAATACCTACTTTGTGTATTTTAGGAAGACCATATAAACGTGAAATCGTAGGACCTGATGGGCGAAGTTGTTCATATAGTTCTTTGCCAATCAATGATTCATCTCTCATTTTCTTCAGTTTATTTGGCTACTGCAGCTCTGTTAGCTCAGAAGGATCTTTTTGTGTTGTCTGTTTTGAGAATTTATTTCCATCGGATAGAATGAGTGAAAGTTTTTCCAAACAGACCAATTTGTTAAGTAGTACTAGAGCCTTTGTCCTGGAGTATAATGACCAAGTTTTCATTTTTCTTCAGTTCATTCAGTTGACAAAAGCACTGGACACCCGTTTCGTCCTAGTATGTGACTCCTCAGCAGTGAGCATCCATGACCCCGCCGAGTGTTCGAGCTTATGACCTTCAGGTTCCGCGGCAAACACGTTACCGTCGAACTACTGGGTCGGAATCGAGTGGTCCTTATTCCAAACTTCTGTCGGTTCGTGGCAGCGCGACCATCGCCCAAAATCATAGTTGAGTATTTGTCTTCATTGTCGCCAGGTTTTCTCCACCAGTTACAACTTTTCTTTGGAACCTCATGAATCACCTCTCGAAGCCAGTCACCAATGAGCACTTGAATAATTCAGTTTGGGGGGTTTTTGTGGGGATTTATTGATTTCAAGTTGGTATTCGTCATGGACTGATATCAGTTGGAGAAACATCGGAAATCCCCATAAACCCCCAAAATGAATCAATCTTGTGCTCATTGTTGACTAACTTCGAGAGATGATTCCTGAAGTTCCAATGAGAAGTCTTGATCAGTTGGGCAAACCTGGTGGCCATGAGGACAAATATTCAACGATGACATTGGGTGGTGGTAGGGCCATATCGTGAGGTGACAGAAGTAGGTGATGTGGACCACTGGATTCCGAACCGCGTGACCTGAAAGCCGTGGTTTCGATCCCTGGCATGGCCAGGTCATGGGTGTACACTGCTGAGGAGCCGTATACTAGGGCCAGTCAGGTGTCCAGTTCTACCAGGTTTCCGGTGTTTCTCCCACTGATATCAGTCCATGATGAATAGTAACTTAAAATGAATGAATTCCTACAAACCCCTAGACTGAACAATTCATTTATTCAGAAATATTTTCTTATGTAGCATAATTACGCTAAAGGACCAAGACAGTATTATGTTAGTGTGATTCATTCAGGTCAAACCAGGTGGTGATTTAAGCTGATCATTACTGTTGTCAAAATCTGATTGATTTTTTCAAGGCTTGAAAGTTTACTACAACGTCAGTCAATCATATGGTCGAAGATGAGTAGCCCATCTTTGATATTCTCCAACAAAATATCACTTTATAATGAAAGTCGTTTGAAAACAAATATTTCCTTCATTGTCTAAGTATCATTTCCGAATAAGATTCTCACTTAAAAGGTGATATTTTCACTGAATTGAGGCATAAAGTTCATAGAATATACCATCTGGAGGGAAAAACAATCACGACTAATTGTTTTTTGATGATTTCACTACCAGTGACTCCTTTATTTTTCTTAGGATTTCAAAAATCACAGCCAGCGAAGTTATTCATCTGATCTCTTCAATTTGACCGCTTCACTGACGTGGTGGGTGCTTGAAGGTAATCAACCCACAGTCTCATATCAATTCTTTGTTTAGAAGTAGTATTCATTATGGACCGACATCAGTTGGGGAACCATTGGAAATCTGGGAACACTGGACAGCTGTTTCGTCCTAGTATGGAACTCCTCAGCAGCACGCACCCACGACTGGGCTAGGGATCGAACTCAGGACCTTCAGGTTTTAAGGTGAACGAGTTAACCATTCAGCCACTGGGTCGGTTTCCAATGGTTCACAATTTCCAACTTCTGTCAATTCACGACATAGCGCGACTGTCACTAAATGTCTTTAGTTAGCATCTGCTTCACTTCCTACTGGTTGACCTCACAGGTCACGACTTCTCATTAGAGCTTCGTGATATCCATCTGGAAGCAAGTCACTAGAGAGCACTATACAGTAATGTACTTTTGAGATGAATGGGGATTTTTTTTAACTTAGTAGTATTCATCATGGACTAGGACGAAACAACTGTCCAGTGCTCCCTGATTTTCAATGGTTCTCCAACTGATGTCAGTCCATGATGAATATTACTTCTAAATTCAAAAAAATCCCTATTCATCTCAAAAATAAATTCTTTGTTTGTTGGCACTTACTGGTGTAACCTTCTTATGATATATCCTAACGTTGTTCAGAGGTTAAGTCAGAGATATCACACTTTATCCATTCCAGCGGCGTAGGTGTGCTTCGTCGACTTTAGCACACACACACACACACACACACACACACACACTGAGTATACTCCGACAGAGTGATAAACAAAACTGTACCAAGTCACTAAACCGTCTAATTAAGCATCTATTCAAACTAGGAAAATGGTATCGCAACCATATCACAACCATATCACTTTATACATGAATAAATTTTCATTTTTAAAGCTTCACTTACCTGTTTCAGTTTTATAACTCAAAAAACTTTTACATTTATCTGTTCACTATCTGCTACTTGATCAGTTGTACTTATCTTGTCTTTCATTATGTCTGTATCACTAAATGTATCATAGGTTGTACTTCGATTACTTTCTAGATAACAATCATTCATATGATTTGATCTGAATTCTGGATCAAAATACAATAAATGTTTCAATAGATTGTTATCCTTTAAAAAAGCTTTATTTTGTTCAGTAGTCACTGAATCATAATCTGATTCAATTGTTGATAAAGTATTTTGTACGTCTTTTGAATATAAATGATTCTTTTCATTTTTAACATAGATATGACTTGGTGTATTACCAGTTAAGTATTCTGGGAAAATTAAATTACTGACTGGTTGACCTCGTAAACCTGGAAAGAAACCACTATCAACAGTGAATACTTTTTCCACTTCATAACCTGGTCCACTACCTAGAATGGTTTCGATAAACGTTATAACAGTTGGATCGAATAATACCTTGAAAAAAATGTTTAAAGAAAAAAAAACATGGAAATATTAGTTGAGTAGAAAAACTTAGTCAGTCAGTGTTTCGTCGTCTTATTTGGGACTTGTCAGCTGCCTCTAACTGCAATCCAGTGCGGAGCGATGTTGTTCCCTCTGGGACTGGAACCCAGTATCCTTCGCTTCAGATGCTAGGATGTTATCCACTAAGCATCTGGGGGCACGATAGTCACCTCTTGTGGAATGGGTATCAGTTTATGTTTTTGTACATGAATGAATTAGCTAGCTATGGAAGGTTGATTGAAGAGCTGTTAGAGAAAAGGTGTGTAGTCATGTGCTTATCATTTATCTTATAGATGAATAAGATTCAGCAATCATCTATTTTAGATGAACCCGGATGAAGATTCTACTGAATAGTTTCATAAGAATAGACACTAATTTAAAGGATGATATGAGATATATTTTTATAAATCTCATTGTGACTGAAAAGTTTTCGTCTGAAAGTCTGATGTGAGTTTATTCAGGGGAGTAATTATCATACATAAACACATATATAATCCAAAACTTCTGGAAATACTTCAATATAACTGTGAGCAGTAAATGGTATCTGAGACACTATCCAGTAGATAATACTGCATGACACATCTGATGAAAAAAATCTTGATTACACTACAATAAGGTCTAATTACTACTCTTATATGAATGAAAGCCAAGTTAGGATCGAAGTTGACACATTTAGCTTATTGTAAACCAATTCACGAAATACATTTGGACCATGGTAATAATTTTTTCTGTTATTTTCTACCCCTTCCCCCCACCACTCCCTGTGTCACTTGTTGTCCAATTAAGATAGACGATGGAATATCCTATGTCACTGGTTGCACGAAATCGTAAAGTACTATTAAAAGGGAGCAAACTGAGAACGAGTTGCTTCTTTTTCATGATGAGCAACGATACCGTCCAAAGTGTTGTAACTAAAAACGAATCAATCTTTATGGAGCGTTTTTGTCTCACCGCGCTTCCGTCCTTAATGTTTGCAGGTTGTGTATTGCTGAATAGAATAATATATTATAAGTACATTTCAAATGAAAAGTTTAAAAACAATGGTAAGCTTTTATTTCAGTAAATTATTAAGAAAATATTCCAACTGTTGGTGTGATCACGGGTAGTAATTTTGTTCCAAATATTATGTACAAACTTTTAATTAATACATTTAAGATTTAGATTTTTCTGCAAACCTCATTTACAGTTATAAATTACGTTCAATATATATTGATCTTGGCGACTATTAGGGTGCGCGTTTCGTCCTACTCGGGACTCGTCAGCTGAATGTAGCAGCACCCCAGTCAGTGATATGGTTTCAAACTCAGTACCCACAGCTTAAACAGGCAGAGCCTTATTCACTAAGTTGAGTACCAAATAGAACAAAACACCAGTCCTAGAGTCCTCTGTTAGTCGCCGAGATAAATGCTACATTATGAATAAGTAGCAGTATCAAGACATCCCGTATAGGAGCCCATCTAACAACAGAGATCGAGCAATTCAGCCCTGTATAACAACGGGAAATTGCAATTATCATAACATAAACTACACTTAATACATTTTGAAACAGGCTGCCTGAAATATTACACAATATTGTCACTACAAAATTAAATTCTCTACAAATTTCAAATTCATTTTGAATTTAATCGTAATCTGAAGGCGATTAATTTCTTAAAACAGAATTTATGTGACAGGTAATGATTTTATAAGCCAATCTAAAAACAAATAGCTTATCTAAGCTCAACTGATCAGATTCCTACGAGTAAGTTTCCTAGTCCAATAGGAAAGTACCTTGGCCATACAAACATACTGACTTTTAAACAAAGGAACCAGTCAATCATTTTTCATTTCATATTTCTATCTTCCACCCTAAATAAATTAGGGGGAGAAGTATGTCGGGTAATAAACATCAACCCCAATCCACTGTTAACTGGAGTGTTGATATCCCCTACTTAGAAACTATTTCACAAATAAACGACAGATTAACAAGAAGAAATATTTCACAATAGAAGAAGAATGAAATGACTACATATCTTTTCTAAATATTTTACTATTCAGAAGGCTAGATGGAGCGATAAAGAGGGGGGATATGCAGAAATTCAACATCGACTGAGAAGTACACCCACTTTAATAGATCCATACCCTAGAGATATAAAAGTGACCTGAGTAAATACGAAAGTCATTTGCTCTGATAAAATCATCGAAGAGAAATTTGACATCATATGTAGGCTGCTCATTGAGAATGGATATCCCGGTCATTTTGTGACCAAACTCTTAAAGGAAACGAAAATTATACGAAAGATGGCTTCAGTCCTCAAGAAAACTGTTTTTTTTGGAACTTGAGTTCAAAAGCGGTGTCATAAGCGAGATTATAACGCAGCGTTTGAGAAAAGCTTTTCAGAGAACGTTCAGTGCTGAAAAGTTTCGTCCCATCTTCTATAGTTGACCATTTATATGTTCAGAGTATGAAGATACACTTCTGTATTCCATCTGTTCTATGTGTATTTATCAGCTTAACTGCTCATGTGGAGTTAGTTACGCCGGGAGAACAATTAGATAAGTCCATGTTTAGTAATGATAGGCAGTGGCTAGCAGTGGAATCTAGGATGCGCATTTCGTCCTATTTGGGACTCGTCAGCTGGATGTACCTGCTTCCCAGTGAGTGATGTTGTTCCCACCGGGACTCGGACTCGGGAGCGATCGCTTCAAACGCCAGCGCGTTATCCACTACACCACCGAGCCACGACGGTGTAATACAAGCAATAGCACTAGATAAGTCTATGTTGAAATTTTGATCAGCGTCGATGAGTAGAGGACAAATAAAGACAATAAAAAGCTCAATACTTACACATCTAATAGATATTGGTCATAAAATAAGTACGGGCAAGGCTCTTAGTTTTTACTATTCACTTTTACGCCTAGTTGACGTACTCGCTTACCATACACTACAGAAGCTGTTGCTATACAAACCTACAAGCCGAATCTTTGAATTCATTAGGTTGGCAATTGGGATAAATTTACGTCTATCTTCAATTCATTTTAGTTTTTGTCTAATGGACTATAATTTGTTAGCAAAGAACCCTCCTGCCTTCTTCATTTCATATTGTCTGTCTTCTTAATTTTCCATCTCCCTGTTATTACGCAATTCTGTTGGCGTGTATTCACTCACTCAAAGTTGCTTGTTTTCAACCGTTATGTTATATAGTGTTGTTGCTTGTATTATCCCGTCGTTGAGTGGATCGAATTCACCTGTCTCTATTTCCATATGGGTTCGTGCTGGCATGCTTCGATATTGCTTGTGTTTGAATTATATATTAATGATGGATAGTAGCTAGCAGTGGAATCCCGGACGAGCGTTTTGTCCTACTTGGAACTCGTCAATCGGATGTACCTACCTTCCAGCGAGTGCTATTGTTCCAGCTAGGACTCAAACTTGGGACCGGTCGCTTCAGACACCAGAGCGTTATCCACTGGACCATCGAACTATGATAGCTACTTCTTATGCGACGGGCATAGTTTCGATACAAGCAACAACATCAAAACTATACCCGTCGTCCAAGAAGTAGCCATCGTAACTCGGTGGTCTAGTGGATAACGCTCTGGCGTTCGAAGGTATCGGTCCCGAGTCTGGGTCCTAGTAGGAACAGCATCGCTTACTGGAGGTAGGTACATCCTGCTGACTAGTGAGTCCTAAATAAGACAAAACATGCGTCCTGAATTCCGCTGCTAGCCACTATCCATCACATATATATTTCATGTTATTTGTTATGCCATCAGTGAAATGACAACCTGTATTTTAGTATTTGAAACTCGTCAGTCTTATGTAATCACCACAACAATGTGCATCTTCATTTCTCTAATTGTTAGCCTCATCAGTAACTACTAATTTTTGAGGTAGTGCTCATCACGGACTGATATCATTTGCAGAACCATTAAAAACATGGAAGCACTAGACAGTTGTTTCCTGCTAGTATGCGACTCCCTATAAGTACGCATCCGCGAACGCACCTCACCTAGGATCCAACTTACCACCTTCAGGTTTCACGGCGAATGCGTCAGGCATAGTTTCCTACTTCTGTCAATTCACGATATAGCGTGACTACTATCCAAGGTCTTCAGTTGGCATCCGCTTCACTTCCGACTGGTTGACCTCACTAGTCACTTTCTCTCATTAGAACTTCGAGATATCCATCTGCAAGTAAATCACTAATAGGTACTAGTGCTGAGGGGTCCCATACTGGGATGAAACTGCTGCCCATTGCTCCCATGTTTTCAATAGTTCTCCATGATGAATACTACCTTAAAAATAAGATCCCCATTAACAGTTTCTAAATTCCTAACTAGGCCGAATTGTAGGCACATGCGAACATCTTTACTCATCTAATTTAAGATGGAACTATTATTTTTAACTTCCATGAACTTTAAGTTATACTTTCCGTTAAATGTAGAACATTACTTTTGTCATCTTCAGCGTATTCGATCCCGGAAATTGACTGATCGTACCTGTCAAATCCTTTGTACTAAGTACTCACTCATCTAACCCTATCCAACAAGCATGCAAGTACAAAACTTGGGCCTAGGGTTTCCTACCGGTTGACACCAGATATGTAGCTGAAGCACTTCACTATGGTGATGTATGCCACTTTATTTTCCAAGAAAATTGTTAGCATATAGCTACTTAACATTTACTTCAGTAAACCCCAGTCACTCCAGAAAGTGAGTCGAATCTCCCTCTTTTGTAGGCTCTGAATGTACAATGCGTAAGACAAATTAAAATCCTTTAGATTTTCTGCATTTTCGCAAAATTACTTCTGTATGGGGTACATAAAGAAAAGATTCCAGTTATTATTTGATTATTTTATCCAATATTGTCTTCTGATTTAAACAGATCTAAATTTCAGGTTGATAATAATCATAGACTGATATTAATTAAGGGAGTTTTGGAAACCTGGAAGCGAATGGACAGTAGTTTCATCCTAGTGTAGACTCATGACCCCGTCCCGCCAGAGATCGAACCAAAGACCTTCAGGTTCTACGGTCAGCAAGCCACCATTGAGTCACTGGGTTGGCATCCGGTGGTTCACATTCTGTCAGTTCATAACACTCCGCGACCATCACCCAATGTCATCGTTGAATATCTATCCTCACGTCCACCAGGTTTGCCCGATTGGTCATTGCTTCTCATTGGAACTTCAGGAATCATCTCTCGAAGCTAGTTATCAATGATCACCAGATCAATTCAGTATGGGGGCATGTGGAAATTTAATGATTTCAAGTTGGAATTCATCATGAACTGACGTTAGTTGGAGAAGCTTGGAAACCTGGAAGCACCGGACCCCTCAGCAGTGAACTGATGGAAGCAGGAAATATGGACCATTGGATGCCGACTCAATGATAACGTGTTGGCTGCGGAACCTTAAGGTCTTGAATTCAATCCCTGGCGGGGGTATGGGAGAGCACCGCTGAGGAGTCGTATACTAGATGAAAACAGTTGTCCGATGCTTCCTGTTTTCCAGTAGATCCCTACGAATCTCCAAGTTGAAATCAACATTTGTTTAACTTCGATCCTGTGGATTTAATCTGCTGAGATATTACATATTATCAGTTTAACTTGATTAGTGTTCTGTCATGAATTTTACTGTTCAAAAGGTAACATATCATAAATCTGAGGTAGTGAATTTAACTCATACCCCATCATTATCATGATAACAAATTTAGGACTCTGAGAAATACCATACTCAGCTTTTATATGAAGTAAAGTTTAACTTACATTCGAAGAAAGAGTGCATAAAACGTTCGATTCGAAAATATTTCCTGAAGCAATAAGTGGACTGAAGTAAGTTGATCCATGCTTAGAAGTAGTTGATAAAAGGCTTGCATTATGAAGATCATCTAAAATCGAAAAGAAAAAGAGAATTGGTTGTGTGATAAGACTGTGAAACGACTGAATTAGGAAAAAGACATTTATTTCAAAGCCTTTCATTAGCTGCAAACAAACTACAGTTGTAATGAAATATTAGTAGCAATAATGACACAACATGCTTAAAATATGTAGAAATAAATAAGGATTAGAAATCCAAAATCAACAGTAAGGTGATGAACCGAAGAAACACAGGATCAGTAATCACAAATCTTAGTCAAAAGTCGATGACAGTTTATATCTGGGGAGATAAAAAACCCTGGAATTGTGGAAAGGGGGGGAGGGGAACAAGCACACAGAAGTGTAGCAAAAGGGGTTGCAAATGTTAGTTGGTTGGGGGCAATCAGCAGGAAGCTCTTGTCCTAGGTTTCGCGTTTGTTGGCACTCGTCAGCAAGGCATATCTGAAACCTCGACGTGACTAATTTGCCGCCTGAGATTTGAACCCGCATCAGCGACTTTACCACTGAGCTATTCAGGCAGCGATTGGCCTCCTATAGGACTGGGTTACATGTACTGACTGGTCACGGGAGGGAATGCAACCAATTTCATGTTGTCTAGTTCTGAATGCAGATTGAATCCTATGGATCATATTTGCAATGTGGCCACCAAGCTAGGAGGCTCAGCTTCATGGTGCAAATTAGTAGATGTTGGTTGGATGGAGGCAATCGTCAGGAAGCCCTGGACATAGGTTTCGTGCTTGTTGGCACTCTTCAGCAAGGTGTATCTGGTAAAGAGCTAGTAGGTTACATATGTATATGAAAAACTAGAAAAAGAAATGTTAGGCTAAGTAATTGAAAGTCAGTCGGTAACCAATAGGATGATGAGATCACTAAAAAACTACATACATACATATACAGAATTAAATACAGTCAACAAGATAAAGAAAAATTCATTATATAGGTAAGTTTTCATAGGATATTCGTAAAAGCTATGGCCTGGATGTTTATAAAGAAAAATTAATTACAGACTGTGAGTGCAGACATGTGTTTGTTAATTATTGAGAAAGATCTATTTGATGTTCTGCTATTACCCCTAATTTCCCATAGCTTTTGCCTGCTGTTCTGCCCATGGCCGTAAAATAGCCTACAATGGCTGTTTTCACACCGTTACTAGCTTTTCTTCCATCTCCTCTCAACTCTGAACTCTCATTGGTTGTTAACCATTTTTACCTAAATGTGGATTTAGTGTTGTCAAGGTCACTTAGATATATATATATATATATTCAACATCTCTGTCAACTGTATTGACTTTTGTTGAGACAGTGAGACGGTGTGTCTTCTGTTCCTGTTTTCGCGCGTCAGTGGTATGTATTGTTGTTGTTGTAGTGGCGGTGGTTGATGTTCTGATTTGGGTTACATTTGATTCGTTTACGCTTTCGTTTCGTATCATTCGCTGTTTGGTTTTACTACCGGTCACAGCATGTTCTGTTTCCATCAGGTGCCTGGAGATTGTGCTTGTAAATCCTTGGACACAAAGACTTCTCAGAATATGCTCATGAAGTCAAGTAGACGCTCGGTCCTCACTATTGACTTGCTTTCACAAGCACAGGTGAATTGATATACACAGTTGGAGGTGGTGTGAGATGGACGTCTGTCTACTTTCGACTGTGTAATTGGACATACTGTATTGTAAACTGAGATCAGTCTGGTAGCAGGAAAGCTCCTTCTAAGTGCTTCTGTCTATTCTTTCAAATATCTCATCACCCTTCAATGTTCGGCGAAGGAAAACAGGTTTCTTCTCAATAGTTGTGTATTGGGGTCTCTCATTAAATTCTTTTCCATGCTTTATGATGAATTTCTTCGCATATCCATTCTGGTTAAAAATCTTGTGAATAATAGAGAATCCTTCTTCTGTTTTGTCTTTTGAGCATAGCTTTCTTATTCTAGTGAAGAGCGTTCTGAATAAATCACCCATACGGCTGACGGGACAGAAATTATTTTAGTACAGGTACTGGTCAATTCACGTGTCCTTCCTGTGGTTAGTTTCGTCACCGTCTTATACTGATATCTTGAAGATTGAATCTGTTCTCACTTTCACATTCCATTGTAAAATTAGCATTATAGTAATACATCCCTGAACTGTATGCCAACAAATGTGATAGGTTTTGTCGAGAAGGATCAAAATATTTACACAAGATGCCTAATAAATACTTAGTTTCATTTTTCATTCTTTCATTTAAATAGAAATGAAAGTCTTGGTATCCGTGCAAAAATTTTAAAAAAAAGCTTAGAAGTTACAAACATTATTCAGTAATGTGGTTTCGAACGAAATCGTCTTCGTGGCCTAAAATTCATGCCAACGGTACAGATGTGTGTAAAAGAGTCATGGATATAACATATGTCTTTTCAAAACACTACTCCTGAACAGTTTGAGTATTTGTCCGGGTATGTCAATGATGAGCTTGGTCGCAGACGAACGAAACGACCATTCAATAATTACATCTCTCTGATTTGTAGACGTACTACAGATCAGTGTGACTGGTTTCTAATCACTCAAGTTCAGTAGTAGCATTTTTATGATATGATAATCTTGTGACAGAGAACATACCTTGTAATATGGTTTTCAACGGAAACCTTGTTGACTAGTACCATAGTTAAACAGTTGTGAAGCTATTTAATTGTGAGAAGTATCAAGGTGGACCCTGAAACTTGCAAATCATTTTGTAAACTGATCTTTCCAAAATGATAAGAAAGTGTTAATATTCAGTTGCAGATTTTGGAAAATCTCCTAGTTTGAAATTATTATTACGATTTCTCCCTTGAGTTCCTAGTTGAACATAGGGCTTCAGTAACATGTCTCCATTTCACTCTCTTCTCTCCAGTCTTCTCAACCTCGCTCCACCACTGCCCACAACCTCTCATTTCTTCCTCACACCATCTCCTCAATATCACCCTCGCCTCACCTCGGACACCCAACTCGTCGCTTCCCATGGGGGTTCCACTCGAGCAATTGGTCTGACACGTGATGTCCCCGAATGGTCTTCTCAATGCATGCCCAATCCATCTCCACTTCCTTCCAGTGTATATCTGTTCAGCGATAGGTTCTTGCATCGTTGGTTGGTTGGTTGGTTGCCAGCCAGCCAGCCAGCCAGCCAGCCAGCCAACCAACCAACCAGCCAGCCACAGTTCCTTCTTACTGATTCTTATTATTCTGGCAATCCATCTGAGCTTCAGTAATGAGCCAGCCTAGGTGGCAGTTGTTCATGAATGTCTGTAGTTTGTTGGAAATGCTTTTCGTAACACACCTAGTCTCTCAACCATCACATGGAAGAACTGACTTCACTGAATTGGTGTTGAGAATCCTGATGTTGTCCAGGCTTTATGCTGAGTGTAGTGCAGTGGATCTCCACACTGTTTCAGGCTAATGAACACCTGTCTTGTTGTCTTTCTGATCCTGTCTGCTTTGATGTCCTCATCCATGCCTGTGTCACCTGTAGTTGAAACGGTGCTGCCTAGATAGGTGTAGGTGAAATAGGCTACTACTTTCCAGTTTCTCCCATTCATGGTGATTGTAGCTTGTTGTTGTTGTTGTTGGTGGTGGTGCTGCTGCTGCTGGTGTTGGTTGCCTATCTTCATCACCTCTGTCTTCTCTACGTTCACCTGAAGTCCCGTGTTCGCTGCTCTGCTCTACCCTGCCCTGCATTGCCCTGCCCTACCTCTTCTGTCAACTTGTTAGTTTTCGCCTGTAGATTTTCAAGTTTGTGTGAAATCAGACATAAGTCATCATCGGCGAAATCCAAATCTCCTTCTGGGATCCTTTCCCAGGTCCAACCAGTGTATGCCTGTCTTCTCGTAGCTCCTCACTGTTTGTTGCGTGATGCAGTCCAGTGGAGTCCACTACACTCAGGAATATCATGTGTGATGGTAGGTGGCAGCCTTGTCTTACTCCTGTCTTCACTTCAGAAGCATCACTGAGAAGTCGTGACCAGTGGGGCGAACCAAGTAGACGTGAGGACAAATATTCAACGATGACATTGGGTGATCGTCGCTCCATTTCGTGAAGTTCAGAAGTTGGAAATATGGACCACTGGATTCCAACCCAATGACTCAATAGTAAGGTGCTGGCCGCGGAACTTGAAGGTCGCGGGTTCGATCCCTGGGGTGGGGTGGTGGGTGCGCACTGCCGGGGAGTCCCATAGTAGAATTAAACAACTGTCCAGTTTTTCCAGGTTTCCGATGTTTCTCCAAATGATGTCAGTTCGTGATGAATACCAACATTGGGTTTATGTTGCAGTCTGCTCGGTGGCTCGTAGTGGAATCCTAGACGCGCATTTCGTCCTATGTGAGACTTATTAGTTAACTGAATTGCATGCAGTTTATCCCAGTGAGTGATGTTTCAAGTGAAAATCGTACACAGTACCCATCAGTTCAAGCACCAAAGTGATACACACCTCTTGTATTCAACCTCTTGTGCAAAGCTTTGTCATTTGGAACATCGGGTACTGGGTTCGAATCACAGCGGGAACGACACCATCATTTACTGGGGTGCAGTATATCCAGTCGACGAGTTCTAAATAGGATGAAGCGCGTGTTCTGGATTCCACTGCTGGTCACCAAGTTGATTACTATATAATGAGTAATCGGGTAGTATCGAGATATCTGCAAAGGAACTCGTCTACTAACAGAGGAAAAGCAACTCGATCCAGTATAACAACGGGAGATTACAAGTCATTATGGTAGCAGTATATTTTACCGTGACAAATATATTATCTGCTTACAGATGACTACTATAAAACATCCCACTAATAAGTTGGATCACTGATAAAAAATTAGTTTAATAAGAATATGATCAGTGGTTACAATACTTACAAAGTTCAGTTACAAGCATAGGATGATTTTGATCAGTGTTGTCTGAAAATATTAAGAAGACCACAAACAAACACATAAAAATATCTCGTAAGCATAAACTTATGCTCATATAGTAAAATAAATAGTTGAAATTTCATTTCAAATCATCTTATCGTCTACAGATTTACATCTACTTTCTTTTTTCTCTGGAACACAAGAGATGCCTCCAAACCAGGATTTTTTGCTACATTAGAATGGTCACTTAAAACATCAGGATTAAATGAAGCCACTAAACAAGAAATACGGCAAACAGTCGTACCACTGACCAGGCAGGAGAGATATCACGCTGAAATGAACACTTAAGAACAGAAAGTATTAAAAAAAAACTGAAAAATAGGAAATATATCGTTATACTTCTAGCAGACAAAGGACACACCGCTGTAGTCACGGTCAAAGAAGACTAGATCAAGAAGACAGAGGATTTACTCAAAGATGAAAATATGAATCAACCACTTGAAATTAACTCTATCCAAAGGTTCGACAACCAGATCAATAAAAACTTGAACAAACTCTTCAAAGCAGAAGAAATAACAAAGCAAGACAAATGGCGTATGAAATCAAATGAACCTGTCCTTCCTCGGTTCTATGGCTAACTAAAACTACACAGACGCGATATCCCTCTACGACCAATAGTGTAACTTCCGGGAACTCCAACATACAACATATCAAGAGAAGTTTCGAGAAAACTAAAACACCTCGTCCAATCATGCGGACATTCCATCAAGTCACCAACGGAATTCTTAGAAAAGATCAAAAAATTAACAAGCAAAACGATGTATTACTGGTATCCTTCGCTGTCACAGCACTATACACATCCATCGAGCCCCAATTGGCTAAGGAGACGATGTCCCTCCTGCTCAGTGAGGACACAAACCTTTCAGAATGTACAAAACTCAAATGTTCAAGTCTGATGGAACTCATTGACCTTTTATGACAACATACTTCCAATTCAATTGCAAGATATGCAAGCAGATGAAAGGAACTCCAGTGGGATCACCGATATTCGGATTAATAGCAGAAGCAGTGATGCAGAGACTGGAAGCCATTATTCTACCTGTGATCAAACTAAAAATTTGGTTTCGCTATGTGGACGATACTTCTGTCATCATTAAAAAAGATCACGTAGAAAACAGTCACAGTTTGATCAACAACTTTTTCAGTGGCATCAAATTCACTATGAAGCAAGAGTCAAATAATCAACTACCATTTCTGGATGTTTTAGTCAGTGGGACAAATGCCAGAAAGCTAGAAACTCAAGTTCACAGGAAGCCAACACACACTAATCAAATCCTCAACTACAATAGCAACAACCCAACAACGTACAAAATCAGTTGCATGTAGAGTCTATTCGAAAGAGCGAGGACACACACTGCAGCACCACAACTTCACGGAGAAAGGAAGAAAATTACTTGATGCCCACCCTAAAAAAGAACGGTCATCCACGAAATTTTTATCAGAAAATGCCTATCCCGTACATCATCGACAGAAATCAACAAAAGTATCATCTTACCCTACATAAAGGATATATCAGAAATCACGACATGATTACTGAGGCCACTTGGAGTTGGTGTGGCTCATAAACCAACAAATTCCCTCCAAATACTGTCATGCAGGCCAAAGGATGCAACAACCAAAGAAGACAGACCAAATATCATTTACCAAATCAACTGCAACAAGTGGACAAAGTGGTCGCCCTCTTCGGCTTCGTTCACATGAACATCAATTGGCTATGAAACATCACGACATGTCATCACTCATTTCAATGCATGTGGATAATTATGGACATGAATTCAATTTTGACAATGTTGGACAGAGGAAACACAAAGAATATCAGAGAATTCAACAATCAATAGATGTATAGACCCAGTCTATCAACCAATGAGAAAACTGATAAACGACAGAAAGGTGAGAGGTCAAACAGAGGAACAGCCAACAGGAAAATCTATACAGCCAATGACACAACAATTATAAGGAAACAACCAATTACAAACCAGTTGGTCAGGGCAAACTACTAAATCACTGATGGAGAGATATTGACAATTGACTTCATACTGAAGTAAGTAATGATGTCATCTAGAAAGGGGATGAAAGTTGCACGATTAAACAACTCAGCTTCAGAGAATATATGACAATTAAAACCATCCATCTGAGCTAGCATTTCGAAAAATTAATCATTCTCCGTTCAATGAGTTTTACTGTAATGCTATTGACCAACTTCTCAGATGGTTTCTTATATCTGTACTAATCATTTTGCTCATATGTTCCACTAAAAGGTATTTTATAAAACTTTAACAACACTAGACGGTTTATAATTTTTATATAGAAAATAACATCGTTCAGGTTAAAAATTGTAAATGTATGGCCGTCAGTAAGTGTCCAAGAAGTGTAAGCATAATGTCAGATGATTATATGAAATTTACACAGAAGATTAGTTTTTATGCATAATTTTTTAGCAAACTAAGGAATTGTTAATTCAAAGCAACTGGTCCCTTTGATAAATTTAAACAGCGTAATGAGAAGACGAAGATTATCTGAAACATATGATGCGCTATACATTTCAAACAATCTGATCATACATGGACTTGTCGAACTATTTATGTGAAAATTTACAGGATAATCAACAGGATAAACCGTATCTGCACCGATGACACCAGGAAGGAAGAAACCAACTTACTGACGACAAAACTAACACAGTATGGATACTCGTTGAGATTTATCGACCGGTGCAAAAGTTATGTACCATTGAAAAGTACACAGTGTTCCGTTGCTAAGACAAATGTGTACATCTCATTACCATTCAGGAGGTGATTCACATAGTTTTGTTGTGAGGAAAAGACTTAGACCGACCATCTATAAAACGTATTATGCAGCTAAGGTCATCATTGTAGAGAAGACCAAGTCCATGTTACAGCAAAAACTACAACAACAACATATAAACGATTACATCACATCCCACTGTGTTTATCAATTTACATGTATGTATGGACAGACATATATAGGAAGGAGTAATCGTGATAAACAGTTAAGGAAGGTTGAGCATGTACCTAAGTGGCTACAAAAACAAATGACCTCAACAGATCCGATATATGCATGTGATAAACATCCATCTTAGTCTATCGCTAAACATATACTAGAAACTAACCATAGGATAGGCAGGAAAACAGCCTTCAAAGTACTACATAAAAATGGTCAGAGCCAAGTGCTTGAATTTACTGAAGCTGTTGCCATCTGCATATTTAAACCCCCTTTATGTATACAAAAACAATTTGTACTCATGTTGAAGCTACCTTGGTAGTAGTGATTTTAATTTTCATACCAAGAGTAAGGTTTTGTTTTCTTTTTCTCTCCCTTTCTATTCCTATGTTTCCTATTAACTTTATTGACCTTTTTTTGTAAATTTTCACATAAATAGTTCGACAAGTCCATATGTGATGAGATTATTCAAAATGTATAACGCTAATACATCACATGTTTCAGATAATCTTTGTCTTCTCATTAATTTGACAAGAAAAGATTGAGGGGGTTGTGGAGATTTGGAAATATTTCAAGTTGTTATTCATCGTAGACTGACATCAGTTGGAGGAACAAAGGAAACCTGGGAGCACTGGACAGCTGTTTCGTCCTAGTATGGGACTGCTCAGCAGTTCGCACCCACGACCCCACCAGCAGGGATCGAACCCGCGACCTTCAGGTTCCGCGACCAGCGCGTTACCATTGAGCTATCCACTGGGTCAGAATCCAATGCTCCATATTTCCAACTTCTGTTAGCTCACGATATAGCGCAAACCGCCACCCATACTAGGACGAAACAGCTGTCCAGTGCTCCCAGGTTTCCTTTGTTCCTCCAACTGATGTTGGTCTTCGATGAATAACAACTTGAAAGAAAAGATTGGTCAAGATTGGTTCTCAGCTCACAGAACACAATACAACCAAGATAATTAATCCGTAACAAGCAATTGAATCAAGTGTCTAATTGGATGCCTTAGGTAATAATCAAATAAAACATCCTATGGATCCTGTATAACTAGATGTATTAGAGTGTTTTCTGTTAGGGATTATGCATCCAACTAACTCAAGTTTGTAGCTTACATTTCATATTTACTAGAGATAGTAAATAATCAGGAATTCAGAAGAGTTGGATCTTTTAAACAATGAGAATACTAAATTTTGAGTAGGTTTGAAAAGCTGTAATACTTGAGGAATATATTCATATTACACAGATGTAATCTAGATGGAAAAAAGTCACATATTTGTACGAAGCATATTTTGAAACAATATAGATATGAAAAAATTTGACTAGATTATAACTTTGCAACTGTTTTTTATTTATTTTTAAAACTATATTGACTCCTTACTAGGTTGCTTTATTTGATTTATAACATACAGTGTGATACAGTATTATTTACTTGATGAAGACGTTTTAAGAGTAAATTATTCCTCATAATCACATCTGATTCTTATAGTCCCGTCACCCATCTCATATTCTTTGATTCTAGTGATAGTAAAATTGTCCATATCTCTGGTATAGGTGTTGCATCATTCCTATTACATATGTTGGGTGTTGGTTGATTAGAGGAACAAAGATTCAGGAATCAATCCTCGTCTCCCTCACTCTCCCTCTTTCCACCTAGTTATATTCGACTTGAGTACAGTGAGCTTATCCCACTCAGCCGATTGTGTAGTTGAGTGTTAATGCATGCATTGCAATAGATGAGGTTCTCTTCTAGATTATTGATATTATTCGGGTCTGTCATTCTATATTTAGCTAAATTCCTGTTCCGCTGGTCTAATTCACCTCGATCACCTGGGCTAGTTTGACCTATGTACTTGACCTCTCAGCCATTACATGGAATTTGATACATGAGATTATTTCGTCTAATTGGATCTATCGGATGCTCAAGTCAGCCGACAAGAATTACCTCTGAGTGAGTTTGTAGGTAGGTTTAAATGTCACCCTAATTACAGCTTTGTTCACGATTCCCACGTAAAGTTTCTGATGTACCTTCCTTATAGGGTAACACAATCGAGGCTGTGAACTCATTCCTTTCTACTCGTGTCACCCTCATTATTCATATTCGCATTAATGTCGTTGTTTCGTTTCATATGTGTTCGTATGAATCTCTTAATAAACTGTAGAGAATAATTACTAATTATTAGCACTTCTTTTGTGTGCTTCAATTCCTTGTTTAGGTTTTTTGCACTGACTAGTCAGTTTTGTAGCTCTATCATTTAGACATTTGACTAAACTTGCCTTAACTAACATTGGATGAGGTGACTTGAGATCTCAATACCTGTTCGAATGTGTCGGTCCTCTGTAGACGATAGTACCCAAACCACCATCTCTTCTTCGGTTTATCCTGCAATCCAACATAGGCGATTCTCCTCATTCATTTTCTACCTCATAAGTGGATTGGATTGCGCCTACTACTGAGTTTATATGCATGAAGAAATTGTCAATATGTTCCGATTTCAAGACAGTGGTGAATGTGTCATCCACATATCGCCAACATATCTTAGGTACAGGACTAAACACTTGTAACGTCATGTTTTCCAAACTATCCATAAATATATTTACTAGGATTGGGGATATTGGAAATCCTATTGCTATTCCTTCTGTCTGTTTGTATATTTTGTTCCGAAACTTGAAGACTGTGGAGGTCAGGCACAACTGTACACCTAATACTTTTCTATCATCCGATATCTTAGTTCTGTAAGTTCTGAGACAATATTTGGTTTATTTCTGACTGTCTCCAATGTCATATTGATTGGTATTTCAGTGTAAAGACTTGTTACATGGAAACTAACCAGTTTTTCATTGTCTTCTATATGTAGGTCATAAGGCCTTAGTTTTAACTCGTAAGAGTTTACTAGTCTAGAATGGAATTTGAACGGTTCCTGATGGGACACAATGTTGATGCTAAGTACTTTGTTGGTTCATATGTTGGGGATTTTTCTGAAGTCAACTATGGGTCTAATGAGAGAACCTGATTTATGAACCTTAGCAGTATCATAAATTCTGCTAGGATTATTAGTTTTAGGCATTAAATTAAACCATTTAGACTTACCTAGAAATGACTTTATTCGGTGTATCAGATCGGCTATAGATTTCCTGATTTTATTCATGACCTTGTCTAAAGATTTCGTGTTTGGATATGTTTGTCAATTTGGTTGAAGTAATTCAATTTTTCCATAACTACTTTTGAATTGCTTTTATCAGACTTAATAATTACTATTTTATTGTCATTTCATAGGCTATTCAGAGCTGAAGTTTCAAGTTTTGGTAAGTTTCATTGCCTCTTTTATCTTTTCAGTGTTAACACACACATTGTGTTCTAACCTGTTCAGCAGTTTCTGCATCCAACCAGCCTAACCCTGCTTATATGTTAGATGTGTGTTTCGGATGAGAGATCGAAATTTTTAATGGTAAGGATAGAAAGACTACAAAATATCTATCTCATTTTATATCAACAGAGACATTTCCTGTATTCAGACTATCATTTTAAGGTTATCCATCCTGTATCCTCTTTAAAGCATTTTCCTATTGAAATTTAGTATCCTTCTATAACTTGATAAATTGATACTGAAGAGAAGCATGTTGAAGGAACGTTCAGAGTTGTGTAATAATATCCCACTTAGTATATGATTTTTACTTCATCGTGAGACAAACTTTATATTCTACAAATTGGAAAAAATGCTTTTGCATCATAGTAGGAACATGAAAACGAAGGCTGTTTAGGTATAGAAATTCTCTTCTATTCTCCACTTCTAAACGTTATTTTACTCAATGTTTTATGAAACTGTTGCTGTATTCTGTGTTTTATTCTTCATATATAAGAGAATACATAAATGAATTTTCGAGGCAGGAAAACTAAACCAATTTTTGTCTGCATCGAGGGTGGATTAGTTATTTAACACATTAGGTTTAACTAGATAGAAAATTTGGAAAAAACGTTTAAGGAGAAGAAGTAAGAATATAAAACATATTGATTGCCTGATTCGACAGACATCAACATTATACAATTGACTTAAATACACCAAATGAAATCTTGAAACTAAACCTTCAACAGAAACAATCTTCTTGATTAACCTTGTGACTACACATACTAAACCGTCGGTCATGACTGCATGACTGCATTCTCATTCTTCTGAAAAGAAACAATATTCTACAGATAAACGGGGAGAGAACCACCACAATCTCCTTCATTACTCCCTCATTCACATCTGCTTAAATCAGTTCACTCCACAGAAAATAATTTCACTAAGTATCCTGATGACCTGACACTAACTCTTCTACTCAACTCTCACTGACATTGCAATCAGTTGAATGATTTCCTGTCTGAAATCCATCACTGAACTCCCTCAAATCATCTCAAGTTAAACATTTCGAAATGTCACACTGTCACTTTTAGTGTTATCAGACACGAATAAAACTTTTGTGAACTGTTTCGATACTGTGATCTCTGTTGTCTTGATGACATTTCTGTAGGGAGTAAATCGAGTGTTAACCATCTTCCATCCAGTCACACTTCTCAGCATTATTGGTCTTCTCCCATCTCGTGGACTTCCGACAACATCTTCCCTCGAACACATTACTCAGAGAAACTGAGACTGTCTGATTTAACTCAGTCTCTACTCTTACAATTTACTAGTTCCCACACACCCTTACCTATTATTCTCTATTCTTCCACCCACTCCCCCCCCACCCCCATCCATCTATACTGGTCTACAAAAAAAGTGTCATGTTACATCACATATGGTTTTGGAAGATGTGAGTAGGGTGAGTACTGTACCTGTGGCTCAACTCATCAACACTGGAGTTGACAGACATTCAAACTCTACTAAGCAATTCACTTCAGTAATTGTAACGAGCACTGAGCATCCACTGCATTCATAGCCATCTCCTTCTGTTGTGTTGTGTTGTCTAATGGTGGACAAGAAGAAATTACATTAGACTGTGCACTCGTACAAGTAAATATCATTAGTATTCAACTGTGCCTCATCTTCCTATCACACATATTATGTGAGTAAAACAGTGTTAGAACAGACCTCATTCATCAACTTTGTAACAGTGAATAATCAATCTGCTAGGATAAGTGAATGTTCATAGCATGTGTTTGGTAGATTAACTGGATATGACTATGTATTATATTTCATTTTAATTGATTACATACACCGAGTAGAATTATCGTTACTTAGCATCCATTTATGTAGACTCTAGAGAAAACCTTTAAACAGTAGGAAAAACACTGGTTAGAATTCCTGATATAATATTCCGTTCCTAAAATCTATACATAAGTCGTGTTAACGACTACCAGTTAGCATGAAACTCTCTATCTATTTTATGTCGATTTTTAAACATTAGTGTAAGGTTTAATGTATGAGAGTTGTGAATGTAGTTTGAGATAGTATTCTTCATGGATTGACATCAGTTGGAAAACTGTTGACAACCTAGGAGCAATGAATTTCTATTTCATCCTAGAACGAGATGATCATGCTATATTGAAAAATGACAGAAGTAGGTAACTGTGAACCATTGAATTCTGAATGGATGGTTAAAGTGTTTACTATGATATCAGCAGGTCCTGAGTTCGATCCCTTGGGAGTCCTATACAAGGAAGAAACAGCTAACATGTACTCCCAGGTTTTCGATGCTTCTCTAAATTTGTAATAAATACCACCTTGGAAATTATGAATGCATTTTTAAAAGAATAATCAACAAACCTGTTTTCTTTGCCTCAGCCAATAATTTACGAATATTAAGAGTGCACAGAATACTTTCTTTGTCGACCATCAGTGATGGTCTTCCAGAAGTATCATACATACAAGAAAGTACAACACATGTTGAACAAGTTTCAACCCCAGCAGCTCGAAGATTAGCTCTGTACAAAGGTGATCCCTGTAGAATTAAATGAAGAAAAGAATAATTGTTATCCCTTGACTTTAAAATCATTCTTAATTACCATCAATGCCCTGCCCTACCCTACCCTGCTTTACCTCTTCTGTCAACTTGTTAGTTTTCGCCTGTAGATTTTCAAGTTTGTGTGAATCAGACATAAGTCATCATCGGCGAAATCCAAATCTTCTTCTGGGATTTTTTCCCAGATCCAGCCAGCGTATGCCCCTCTTCTCATAGCTCCTCACTGTTTGTTGCATGATCCAGTCGAGTCGAGTCGAGTCCACTACACTCACACTCAGGAATATCATGTGTGATAGTAGGTGGCAGCCTTGTCTTACTCCTCTCTTCACTTCAAAAGCATCACTGAGCTTCCCATTGTGAATTACTTGGTATGTGATGTCTTCATATAGTTGTTGAATGAGGTTGGTAAAGGTTTGTGGTAATCCGTAGTGTTGAAGTGACTGCCAAATTACTTCTCGATTGACGCTGTCAAATGCCTTTTTCCAAGTTGATGAAGTTGAGGTAGAGTTGAGTTGACTGCCATTCTATACTCTGTTCTAGGATGATGCAAAGCTCATATGACATTTACGTATATATATCTTCGTCAATGATAATAACATAGTAACACATTACCAACTACAATGTAAGACATTTATAAGTTAAACAGTTTTGTACTTAGCACACTAGAGAACCCTTCAAAGTTCACCTCTTATCGAAAACAAGTGAAAGTGGAACATACAAAATGTCGGTCACCTAAAGAAAAAAATGCTTTGATATCATGGAGATTAAAGTTTTCATTTCACCCTCAATCATAACCCAGTATCAAAAATAGAAGTCTTCCAAGCCACGGCAATCTCAGATAGTCAAACTGACAGTCAGTGTGATGCTGCATTTCCCCTCTAATTCAGTTAGATTTGGTCTGAAATGAAAAGTACTGACTGAACAACCAGTGTAAATAAGACCAAGCGATAGTTACAAACCACGAATTCATTTATCATTCAGGTAAAAGCCTTGATGACTGAAGTTAAATAAAAACTTTGTAAGCGGTTGCATCTTGTAGCTCAGTTGATAGAACACCAAGTCGGTAACCTCGGGGTTGGTAATTCGATTTCCGCTGTGGCCCACATTTCATTTCACCTCTGAAGCTGAAATAGATCTGTATCCTTCAAAGACTATTACATTATACACATCAAAGTAAAAAATATTGAACTACTGTCATAGTTTGAAGGTAACTCATCAAGTACTTCTTTTGCATTACAATATCATTGCAGATCTTACTTCGCACTACATTCACAAAAACATAATATGTCAAAATACAATGAACGAGATAATATATAGGAGTTTAGTAAGGGCCATTTTCTCAAATCTATTCAGTATTATAAACTATTCTCACAGCCTTGGTTCCACACACCTTTCGCAAAAGACTATAAGCTGTATGAGAAAAGTTAATAATTCAACGAAGGGTGTATAACTGACAGAAATAATTATCATTTGACTATCTGAGATAGCCTTTAGTTTAGCAGATTAGTATTTATACTGGGGTGTTGATTGAAGGTGAAATGAAAATTTGAACTGCGGACCGGGTGGTCTCTGGTTTGAATCCGACCCTGGTCTAAACGTTCATTTCATCTTCAATCAAATGACGGCTATTACAGCCAGTCAAATGATAATCAGTAGGATGCTCCATTTCCTCTGTAATTCACTTACATTTAGATTGAGATGAGAAGTCCTGACTAGCAGTTAGTGTGAATATGATCAAGTGGTAGTGACGCATCATGAATTCATATGATAGTCGGGCAAAATCCATCTTGGTGATTGAAGTGAAATAAAAAGTGTGATCAGTAGTCCAACCTCGTAGGTCAGTTGGCAGAACGACAGGCTGGTAACCCGGTGGTAGCTGGTTCCAGTCCGGCTGCAGTCCAAATTTTCACCTCACCTTCAATCATCATCCAGTATAAATGACAGAAATAAATTTCTATTTCAAGAGAAACCCTAATAGACACTAACCTTGTATAAGACAGGAAAGTAAGGTCTAGATATTAGAACTTAAAATTTACAATATATGTAGAACAGTGGAGATTGCTTGCTCATTAGGAGCGAACGTGTTGTGCACAGGATAAATAATCATAGTTAATTCTATATACATAATATTCTCCAGGATACGTACTAGTATGTGATATACAGTGAAAAAATGTAATTAATATAGCAGTAAATGAAAATCTTTACTTCAACTCTTCAAACTTTCAAGGATGTTTGATCTATCCTTATTTGACGCTAGTGATAAAAGTCGAAAGGTGTTAGACAGATGCCTGTTTGATCTGTCTAGAAAATCCTCAGTAATCAGTAGTATCATCTTTCTTGAATATTCAGTAGTACTCTAAAAAACCATCCTAAGTAACAGCTATCTCCAAACGAATCAAATCCCAGTAAATATGAGGCTAAATATCTTGATTGTATTGTGTTCTCTGAGGAGCTGGGTTGCTTAATCGTGAAGCTTTCATCATCAACACTAACTACAGTATGAAGTGAGCTGTGAATATCTCTCCGTGAATGATTTAGTGGCTTGCTGTGACCATGTGGTCTGTGATTGGTTGTTTCCTTCGATTGTTGTGTCATTGATTGTATAGGCTTTCCTGTTGGCTATTCCTCTGCTTCAACTCTCACCTTTCTATCGTTTATCATTTTTCTCACTGGTTCATAGATTGGATATGTGCCTATACATCTATTGATTGTTGACTGACTGACCTGAATGCCAAGCTTCTAGGAATTCTCTGATATTCTATGTGTTTCCTCTGTTCAACATCTCTACATTATCGAAATTAAATTCATATTCATAGTTATTATCCACATGCATTGAAATGAGTGACGAAATGTCATGGCATCTAATAGCCAATTGATGTTCATATAGACGAAGGTGAAGAGGGCGGCTAAATTTTAAATCTAAACGCTTATCACAAAAAAGATACATATAACAAGGTTAAATATTTGAAAATTATACCAATGTAAGGAGATTAAATCCAAAAATATCAACTCACTGATAAAACATAAATACTTGGAAGATTTTTAAGTGATCGCCATTCTTTTTCAATAACTTTAGCTTCACATATAATTATGATTGGCTTTAATTCTTTGACGAGTATAGATGTTGATCTTAGTGGGAGTACAAAACTAGCTAAACCTAATTTGATACCTTTAGGTTGCTTAGTAATACATACAATAATATGATTTTTAAACTGACATTGAATTATCTCCTTTATTGTCTACAAAGAAGGGGGAAAAAAAAATTTATTTAGTATGATAAACAGACGGACAGACAAAACCAACATAGAACTTTACACACAAGTGTATTAATTCAGTTTACCACATTTCACAGTATCATTCAACGCACAGGTGGATAAATAAAGACTGATATCAAAAAAGATAAAGGTTAGTTCAAATATTCAAGCTTTAGAAAAAGTCAAGGAATGAATAAATCTACGTCACTCTGACCGATTCCCAGTCATATCACCAAGAGTCCTGAATCACTGATTCCTATCAACCTAGAGATCTTAGTTAGGTAATCTATACATCTCCACATGCTTCAGATCAATGCAATGGTAAGGTGGATAATAAATCATTATTTCAAAACTGAGATCGGAAAAGCAAGACAGGTGTTGATTAGCCTGAAACCAGTGTGGAGATCCACTGCACTACACTCAGCATAAAGCCTGGACAACATCAGGATTCTCAACACCAATTCAGTGAAGTCAGTTCTTCCATGTGATGGTTGAGAGACTAGGCGTGTTACGAAAAGCATTTCCAACAAACTATAGACATTCATGAATAATTGCCACCTAGGTTGGCTCGTTACTGAAGCTCAGATGGATTGCCAGAATAATAAGAATCAGTAAGAAGGAACTGTGGCTGGTTGGCTGGCTGACTGGCTGGCTGGCTGGCTGGCTGGCTGGCTGGCTGGCTGGCTGGCTGGCTGGCTGGCTGGCTGGCTGGCTGGCTGGCTGGCTGGCTGGCTGGCTGGCTGGCTGGCTGGCTGGCTGGCTGGCTGGCTGGCTGGCTGGCTGGCTGGCTGGCTGGCTGGCTGGCTGGCAACCAACCAACCAACGAAGCAAGAACCTATCTCTGAACAGATATACACTGGAAGGAAGTGGAGATGGATTGGGCATGCATTGAGAAGACCATTCGGGGACATCACGTGTCAGACCAATTGTTCGAGTGGAACCCCCATGGGAAGCGACGAGTTGGGTGTCCGAGGTGAGGTGAGGGTGATATGGAGGAGATGGTGTGAGGAAGAAATGAGAGGTTGTGGGCAGTGGTGGAGCGAGGTTGAGAAGACTGGAGAGAAGAGAGTGAAATGGAGACATGTTACTGAAGCCCTATGTTACATTAGCAACCGAAGGGATAAATAATAATATAATAATTATTCTGTCAGCAACAACCCACAACCTCTCATTTCTTCCTCACACCATCTCCTCAATATCACCCTCGCCTCACCTCGGACACCCAACTCGTCGCTTCCCATGGGGGTTCCACTCGAGCAATTGGTCTGACACGTGATGTCCCCGAATGGTCTTCTCAATGCATGCCCAATCCATCTCCACTTCCTTCCAGTGTATATCTGTTCAGCGATAGGTTCTTGCATCGTTGGTTGGTTGGTTGGTTGCCAGCCAGCCAGCCAGCCAGCCAGCCAGCCAGCCAGCCAGCCAGCCAGCCAGCCAGCCAGCCAGCCAGCCAGCCAGCCAGCCAGCCAGCCAGCCAGCCAGCCAGCCAGCCAGCCAGCCAGCCAGCCAGCCAGCCAGCCAGCCAGCCAGCCAGCCAGCCAGCCAGCCAGCCAGCCAGCCAGCCAGCCAGCCAACCAACCAACCAGCCAGCCACAGTTCCTTCTTACTGATTCTTATTATTCTGGCAATCCATCTGAGCTTCAGTAATGAGCCAGCCTAGGTGGAAGTTGTTCATGAATGTCTGTAGTTTGTTGGAAATGCTTTTCGTAACACACCTAGTCTCTCAACCATCACATGGAAGAACTGACTTCACTGAATTGGTGTTGAGAATCCTGATGTTGTCCAGGCTTTATGCTGAGTGTAGTGCAGTGGATCTCCACACTGTTTTCAGGCTAATGAACACCTGTCTTGTTGTCTTTCTGATCCTGTCTGCTTTGATGTCCTCATCCATGCCTGTGTCACCTGTAGTTGAAACGGTGCTGCCTAGATAGGTGTAGGTGAAATAGGCTACTACTTTCCAGTTTCTCCCATTCATGGTGATTGGAGCTTGTTGTTGTTGTTGTTGGTGGTGGTGGTGGTGTTGGAGGTGTTGGTTGCCTATCTTCATCACCTCTGTCTTCTCTATGTTCACCTGAAGTCCCGTGTTCGCTGCCCTGCTTACCCTGCCCTGCATTGCCCTGCCCTACCCTGCCCTGCTTTACCTCTTCTGTCAACTTGTTAGTTTTCGCCTGTAGATTTTCAAGTTTGTGTGAAATCAGACATAAGTCATCATCGGCGAAATCCAAATCTTCTTCTGGGATCTTTTCGCAGCTCCAGCCAGTGTATACCCCTCTTCTCGTAGCTCCTCACTGTTTGTTGCATGATCCAGTCCAGTCGAGTCGAGTCCACTACACTCACACTCAGGAATATCATGTGTGATAGTAGGTGGCAGCCTTGTCTTACTCCTCTCTTCACTTCAAAATTATTATTATTATTATTCCAAACAAGTTTTTGATTCAATTCTGAATTTTGAGCATCACATATTGCAACAAAAATACATACACTCCGTCACATTATTTCCAATAGTGTAAATATCACATTTCAAATCGTGTAAAGAATACTACTCACGAACAGGATTTTACATTGTCAATAAAATATTGGAAAGATTGATTGATTATTCACTGTTATAAAATTGATGAATGAGGTCTGTTCTACACTGTTTTACTCACATAATATGTGTGATAGGTAGATGAGGCACAGTTGAATACTAATGATATTTACTTGTACGAGTGCACAGTCTAATGTAATTTCTTCTTGTCCACCATTAGACAACACAACACAACAGAAGGAGATGGCTATGAATGTAGTGGATGTTCAGTGCTCGTTACAATTACTGAAGTGAATTGCTTAGTAGAGTTTGAATGTCTGTCAACTCCAGTGTTGATGAGTTGAGCCACAGGTACAGTACTCACCCTACTCACATCTTCCAAAACCATATGTGATGTAACATGACACTTTTTTTGTAGACCAGTATAGATGGATGGGGGTGGGGGGGGGGAGTGGGTGGAAGAATAGAGAATAATAGGTAAGGGGTGTGTGGGAACTAGTAAATTGTAAGAGTAGAGACTGAGTTAAATCAGACAGTCTCAGTTTCTCTGAGTAATGTGTTCGAGGGAAGATGTTGTCGGAAGTCCACGAGATGGGAGAAGACCAATAATGCTGAGAAGTGTGACTGGATGGAAGATGGTTAACACTCGATTTACTCCCTACAGAAATGTCATCAAGACAACAGAGATCACAGTATCGAAACAGTTCACAAAAGTTTTATTCGTGTCTGATAACACTAAAAGTGACAGTGTGACATTTCGAAATGTTTAACTTGAGATGATTTGAGGGAGTTCAGTGATGGATTTCAGACAGGAAATCATTCAACTGATTGCAATGTCAGTGAGAGTTGAGTAGAAGAGTTAGTGTCAGGTCATCAGGATACTTAGTGAAATTATTTTCTGTGGAGTGAACTGATTTAAGCAGATGTGAATGAGGGAGTAATGAAGGAGATTGTGGTGGTTCTCTCCCCGTTTATCTGTAGAATATTGTTTCTTTTCAGAAGAATGAGAATGCAGTCATGCAGTCATGACCGACGGTTTAGTATGTGTAGTCACAAGGTTAATCAAGAAGATTGTTTCTGTTGAAGGTTTAGTTTCAAGATTTCATTTGGTGTATTTAAGTCAATTGTATAATGTTGATGTCTGTCGAATCAGGCAATAAATATGTTTTATATTCTTGCTTCTTCTCCTTAAACTATTTTTCACATTTTGGATTGAATGAAATCTTGTTATTCAGCAATGAGCCAGAGAAGATAAACTTATGTTATGCTTAAGGTATCAGTTTTATTCATTACAAATTCAATCCTGGTCACCTAGGTTATATCCATTGTGGGCGGTATCTCTATTGATTGCATGATACACCAGGTTATAAAGACAATTGGTATGCCTACCCGGTGAGCAAATTTTAGTTTTGGAATATCAAGATGCTGTTTACAGGAATTATGGATTATCTCAAAGACAATTGAATTAGGAGGGATTAGTAATATCAGGAAAAGCTCTAGAGTAAATTTGATATGGCACATATTCATACTTTATTATTCACTAGATGACATTTTGAGGATGATTAATTGCTCATGATCCCCCTGATTGATGAGAAGGATTGATTACTGATTGTTCATGCATTGAATTAACTAATAAAACATGCTATTGGAATGATGCAACATTCATTCCGGAGATGTTGAAGAGGGAGAATAAGAGGTGACTGAGGTATGAATTCAAGTGTCGAATGTTGAATGGTAACTACGATATGATTATTAGCATTAATTTAAGCTTGAACTGTTATTCAGTAAATATTCCTGTGTGCTACAGCAAACAATGATCAAATCTGAAACTGTATTTCACCTTAATATCCTAAGTTTTCTCTTATTATGAATAAGTATGGTATTTTTTATATATTTCAAATAATGCTCTGTAATCTTGTATTTTTCTACAGTGTGATGGGGTAACTATTATTAATCCTGCTTGGCATATTACCTAGATTCATGTCCTCCCATAACAGAACACACTATGTATATTATTTATTGATACTTATAGTTTCTTGTTGTTTTTCGGGAACCTCTGTGGGCATATTGGCTCCTATATGGATGCTTTGACATTACCTGATCACTGATTATGTTATAATTTGGTTGGTGGTGGTTAGCAGTGAAATCCAGAACGCATACTTCGTCCTATTTAGGACTCGTCAACTGGGTGCACATGCACTTCAATGAGTGATATCGTAGTCTCATAAGTGCAATTCACTTGTGGCAATTTTCAAGATTTCAACATTTTCGCTTAGTGGAGATGTTGATGGCTGTTAGGAGTCAACAACAAAGGGTAAAGGTGTAGAATATTCTACATGCAAAACAAGTTAAAATGATTGGAAACGAACGGAAAGATATTTATTAGCTAGTGCTATTGTAGCCAATATCTCATACTTATTACGTAAACAAATATGATCATGAAATGTACTGAATCGTTGCTGGAAAGTAACCAATTTCATGCTGTTTAGTTCTCAGCATTTACAGAATTCTATTGGTCATTTTTTTGAGAGATTCACCATTGCGGTACACTTCCATACATGTTAGTGAGATGGAATACGTTTAAGTAAGAATAGGTAATAAAATCTATAGAGAAGTGAATAATAGAATATTGATATTGATATTCATTCTATGTTAACTTACTAAGCATATATCAGGGAATTTTCTTTCAGCTACCCAGTAAAATAAACCAGTACTATCACATTGTAAATCAATTGAATTCAACCGTTGATATATTCCAAAATCAGATGTTATATTCTCCAGATGAAGATGACGACAATGAGATGCAATTGAAAAACTACTTGCACATTTAGATATTTTAGGGGTTAATTTACTTCTCCTTGTCATTTAAAAAGAAGATATATAGTAAATTTCAGTAGTAAAAATCAATAAAACAGGAGTAAAACATAGGATGATTAATTTGCAAACGAATAACAAATTACATATTTCCCGCTGACATTTGAACTGCCCAACTATGCTGTCAGCTCGTTTTTGCTGAAAACCGTCTAGCAGCCAAGATCACTTTGTGTGACCTCTGACATAAAAGTATTATAAACTTACGAAATATACTACTGCTGAACAGCTTAAGTAGTTGGAAACCATCCGGTCTGATCTTTATCTTTCGCTAGGCAGCCAGATCAGAGTAACGTTGACACAGATTTACCATTCTATTTAAGGTATACCAGTCTATGCAAGTGATCTAGAGTAGTTCGACTGTATGAGCCAAATATGTCCGGGCATACCATTGATGAGCTGGACCCAAAAAAAGCAGAAGGCCATTCGCTATTTAGACAACTCTGGTCAGACTAGGAAAGTAGTAGAGATCAGCATCAGTGGCTCCTAACTACTCAAGTCGGGTGGTGACTATACTGGAACCTGGACTAGACATCATGGACTTGGTTACCCTCCACTGACCAATCAGTGTATCTAACCAGTCCAACAGAATGTCAGTCAGGGCCTGAATAGCTCAGTGGTAAAGTCTTTGGCCAAGCCTAAACGTGACGTCATTTCCATTGAGGCTGGAGACCTGCCTTGTTGACGAGTGCTGAGAGAGACGAAACCTAGGTAAAGCAGGGCTTCTTGGCAATTTTTTCCATCCAACTAACAAAGTAAACATCTAGTCACAATACTTCCCAACAGATGCAAAAAATTTAATCTTTGTTTAAGAAGGACTAACTTTTATTCTTACTGTCTGGTATACTTTCGACGCTTCAAGGTTCATATCATTCTTTGAAGATCGGTTTATTTGATTTTCAAACAAGCACTTGAGATTGGCGCGTAATGGACATGTGTTTTGTTGTATTCAACACTACATTAACAGAACACATGCATCACTCCTTACAGGATCCGACTCATAACCACTTTAGTTCAAAGATCAGAAATATTTTATTCTAAGAAATATCCTTTCAAAATGGTTGATATTCTCAGATTTGAATAAATCACAAAATAAAGATGTTTATTTTTCAGTACTGTACTTCTTACTGCCATTATAGACTCATTTGTACGACTCAGTATTTTCTCAATTGGATTTAGTGTATGCCCAATTTTTACTGTGATCGTTCATCAGTAATGGTTGTACAGAATCAGTTGAAAATGTTTACCAATAATCTATTTTGTCAAATTCTTTGTCAGAAGATGAAAGAAAAGAGAAAAAATTTTTTCCTTACTTCATTTTACGGTAATTTCGAAGTGGATGTCGAAGAAAATTCAAACAGGCTTTAGCTCGTTTAGCAAGCTGTGTTCCATTGGTGGTAGCGTTTTCGGTTGTTCATAGCCACTATCTATAAATAAGATTAAATTTATGTTTAAATTAGTTAACATCTTGTTGAAATATTGAGCGTGGTTCTATAGAGACTTTAGTTATGATAGTCTTCCTTACTATTTATTGATATAGCTGTAATTCTCCGCTGTTATACAGGATCGAGTTGTTCAATCCCTAATGGCATATGGGCTCCTATGCAGATGCCTCGATATTGCTTGGATATCTGTTATGGTAATTTACTTGGTTGTGGCTTGTAGAGGATCCAGGAGGCGCGTTTCTCTTATTCTCGACACTTCAGCTAGATGTACCTCCACTGCAGTACGGAGTCATGTTTTTCCCACTGAGACTAAGACCTTATATCCATCGCTTCAAACGCCAAAGCGTTATTCACTAGGCCACTGAGGAACGATAGCCACCTCTTGTACAACGGGTATTGGTTGTAACGCTTTGGAGTTTGAAGCGATGGGTATAAGGTTCGGGTCTCAGTGGGAACATCACTCCACACTGGAGTGTAGTTATGACCAGCTGACGAGTCCCAAATAGGACGAAACGCGCATCCTGGAATCCTCTGCTAGCCAAACCGAGTAAAATCTTTCATACTTTTTATCACTTAAAGTGTGTTAATTGCCAGTTGACACCATCGTTGTTTCCCATTTTGCTTGTTTACCGAATCCAACTGGTTAGTCTACGTGAGTGAACATATCCCTCATGAGAATGCTAAAACGATGTAGGTATAGACTGTGTAGTTGCTTACTACTAACTTGTCATGTGAATTTTGTAGCACCGTAATCCACGACGCGTGTTTCGCTCCATTTCAGAGTCGGCAGCTGGATGTACATACCTCCCACTGACCGATTTTACTCCCACTAAGTCTTGAACATGCAGCGTTATCCACTAGGCCATTAGACCGCGATATCCACTTTTTATTTGATGGGTATAGTTCCTATGTTGTTGCTTGTATTATCGTCATGTGAATGTTTACGCATATCTGTGAATACTGTTATTTCTGCTGAGTTAATTTAGTAACTATGATCTCTTTATATGAAGTCTACTTAAAATTTGTCTAACGAAAGAAACTCGCCAACTTTTATTATGAACTGGCTCATCCTATTGTCTCGTACACCGTTTCGCCTATCCGAATATGACAACAGAACGATATCAATCCAAACTATGAAGTCAAGTTTTAAGTGAAATTTAGTATACTTCATTTTATTTGAAATAATAATTAGTAGTGTAGTGGGTGATAAGAATGGATATAAGTAGTATATGATGAGAAGTCGGCAGAAATTATAGTCAATTGCCAGAGATGGGTAGATATTCTGCATAGAGAAACGCAAGAGATAATCCGAGCGTATTAAGAGTAAGTCGAGATAGAAGCAGAAGAGGAAATGAGGCACATTATGCAAATGACTATATATATATATATATATATATATATATATATATATATATATATATATATATATATATATATATATATATACTGTTATCATGGTGCAAGTTGTTTACGACGATGGAGCTTTTCAGGAATGTTGACTGATCATTGGATAAAAACATCTACAAGGTTGTACTGAAAGTATGATAAGTACTTCTCATTTCGGTGTAGGTAATGATCTGTTTCTTTTCGACTGTGCTTCGAATGCATTCACTCAACTGTTGTACAGGTGAGATTATGTTGAATCTGTATGAACAGTACTTTGAACCATGTGTTATCCGTCAACAATTAGTCGTTGCCATTTCTATCGTGTTAATACTAAAATTGATTCCACTCAAAAAGTGATCATCAAGGAAATAAGAGTTTATAAAACTTGAAATATAGAGTTGTGTCAGTACATTAAGAAGTAAATGAATCAAATAGTAGGATGTATATGATCTGTTATGTTAAAGTCAAAGTTCAGTATATGCTGTGAACATCATGCAATTTCTTCAGTCAATGATTGTCTTCATATCCCAAAGCTCATTCATGACTTCTCATCAGTACCCCCAAGGATATTCATTTCGAAATAAATCAGTGGACAGTATTTCAATTGGTGGCTTGTAGGTTGATGATGCTGTGAATTCATACTCCTGTACTAGAATAAATTGGCTGTTTAAGACTTTAAGATTTTCAGAGGTTCTTGAAATGATGTCTCAGTTCGTGATGAAAATCTAACCCCTTCCAAAAACCATCAATACTGTGACTACATATAACATAAATGTTGATAGTAAATATCATATTATTATTATTATTATTATTATTATTATTATTATTAGTCCCTTGGGTTCCTAATGGAACATAGGGCTTCATTTGCACGTCTCCATTTCACTCTCTTCTCTGAAATCTTTTGAACCTGGCTCCACAACAGCCCACAAGCTCTCGTTTTCTCCTCGCACGATCTCCTCCATGTCACCCTCACCTCGGACGCCCAACTCATCGCTTCCCATGGGGATTCCACTCGAGTAATTGGCCTGACACGTGATGTCCCCAGTCGGCCTTCTCAGTGTATGCCCAATCCATCTCCACTTCCTTCCAGTGCATATTTGCTGGGTGATAGGTTCTTGGTTGTTTAGTTCCCAGAGCTCCTTGTTGCTTATTCTTTCTGGCCATCTGATCTTCATTAGCGAGCAATAAATATCATAACCATGAAAAAAATGATTTTCTTATGAAATACGTAGATTTTTTTTCAATTTTTTTTCCACAGAACAGATAAACAAGAGACAACATAAATCATCGAATGTTATGTTTTAAACTAAACATTAATCCACTACATAGCTGAAAATGTTCGTTTCCTTGATTTAACAAAGCTGTTTAGGATTTACAAAAAAATGCAATCTAGGCACTTCTTTCTGCGTTTCTTTTGGTGTAACGGTCTCAGTAGATACACATTATTGGATGTTATTCACGACGAATATCTATCATCTTTCGACTACAGTCAAGGATGCACTGTACTCAGATGGGCATATTGTTACTTTTCTTTCTATTGTGTTCTCTGAGCAGCTGGGTTGTTTAATCGTGAAGCTTTCATCATCTTTCTAGACAACATCATCACCGCTTACTTCAGTATGAAGTCAACCGTCAGTGTCTTTCCATGAGTGGTTTAGTAACTTTCCCTAAAGAACTGGTTTGTGACTAGGTGTTTCCGTTGACTGTTGTATCATTGACTGTATAGACTTTCCTGTTGGCTGTTCCTCTGCTTCAACTCTCACCTTTCTATCGTTTATCATTTTTCTCACTGGTTCATAGATTGGATATGTGCCTATATATCTATTGATTGTTGACTGACTGACCTAAATGCCAAGCTTCTAGCAATTCTCTGATATTCTATGTGTTTCCTCTGTTCAACATCTCTACATTATGGAAATTGAATTCATATTCATAGTTATTATCCACATGCATTGAAATGAGTGATGAAATGTCGTGTTACCTTATGGTGACTTCTTCACAATGTCATGATTAATGTTCAGTTAAATGACTACAAAATTCCCGTTGACTAAAAATTCTCTATTTTTCGGTTACCTTCTCGTATATCTTAGTAATGATGGATAGTAGCTAGCAGTGGAATCCAGGATGCACATTTCGTCCTGTTTGGGACTCGTCGGCTGAATGTACCTTCTGACGAGTCCCAAATAGTACGAAATGCTCATACTGGATTCCATTGACAGCCAGTATCCATCATTACTATCATTAGAGCACAGGTAATATCGAGGCATCCGCACAGTAGCCCAGATGCCAATAGAGACCGATCAATTTGGTCCAATCAACGACGGTATGATATAGAAACATTTATTCTTTTCGTATATCTGTTGTAAACCCTGACAATAGTTGTGTTGCTTCAACAACTTCTTGACAACAAGATATTATTTTTTCAATTTACATACCAAGTACTTCTTTCTCTGTGTACAAGATAGTGTTTTGGCTGTTTATGCGTAATGGCTCGTGGAGTGGAAAGTATTAAAATGGTTGTCCGGTCCATGGTATACACCTTACTAAAGCACATCCCCTGTTCTCTACTTCATAATTGTGTCTAAGAGACTAGATCTGTTTGACCTGGGTTCTTCACTAACATGTAGGTTTACAATTCAACCAAAGTACTAATCAGGTGGTAGGGAGTTAGTGGACAATAATTATAGACTTTTAAGTAGGTCATAAAGATGATAAGTTTTAGAAATTAGGATACAATAGCCATGGAACCTGAAGGTCCTGGGTCCGATCACTGGTGGGGTAGGGTTATGGATGCACATCACTAAAGAGTCCCATATTAGGAGAAAACATCTGTCCAGTGCTCCCGGCTTTCCAATGTTCCTCCAACTAATATCAATTCATGGTGAATATCAACTTGAAAAATCACTGAAACTCTGCAAACCTCCAAATTAAGAAGATGCAAATAATCAGTAATTAAAGCTGATGATATGAAGCAATTTATTCTTAGGTAAGTTGTAAAGTAACTGTTAGAGTAAATGGAATGGTTTTTGAAGGGGATTCATTCGTAAACTATAAACAACTATGTGATAATAAGAAAACAAGTAAATATTGATAAAAAGAAGAGGAGGGAGAGGTGTAAAAAGTAACAGTAAAAGTTACGTCACGTTGACGCCCAGGATAATGAAAGTGGTCGAACAAACTTCTTTGAATACAAAGATTAGTTTTGTAAAGGTGGATTTTAATTGCATCGACCATATGAAGTAGGCGAGTACGTAATCCATGTGGTAACTTAACTGGTATATGATGAATAATTTTGGAATGCTTTTCTAGTGTCTGCCTGATGTTCTGTGTCAATTAGGTGTGCAAGTATAGAGCTCTTTATTGTTCCATTTTATCCCTTTCTCAACTATGATGAGTAGTACTCAAAAATCTGACGATGGGCCTGCCTCACTTTACTCTAAGTGCAATTAGCTCGACAAGATCAGCTGAACTGATAAATGCACACGGAATTGATAGAAACCTATATATTAGCCTAGAATCCAAGATGAAAACTAAATTGAAAAGGAATACATTTCTTTGCTCAATCAGTTTTTTTTCTAAATTTCTAAATAGGAATATTCAATGTACTAAATATGTTGTTCCATTCGGACCATTGGATTCTGACCCAGTGGCTCAATGGTAACGTGCTGGCCACGGAACCTAAAGGTGGCGGGTTCGATCCCTGGTGGGGTCGTGGGTGCGCACTACCGAGGAGTCCCATACTAGGACGAAACAGCTGTCCAGTGCTCCAAGGTTTCATTTGTTCCTCCAACTGATGTCAGTTTTCGATGAACAACAACTTGGAATATTTCCAAATCTCCACAACTCCCTCAAAATTGTAACAGTGAGTCCCTTTCATGAATTTTGATAGCGTAATTCATTTCGAATAATCTGCTTGATCACACATTTACTTGTCAAGTCAATATATATTGAACCGAAGAGTGGAAGGACAAATACAACAATTAACATAATAGGGGATTCGAATTAAGAAAGATGAGAACAAACAGCAAGTGACGTAGTTGATCTTAATCTTGGTAAGAGAACAAAGTTTACGAAGGTAGGTGTAGTGTAAGAACAAACTGCTTCTGTACACATAAAGGTGGTTTCAATTTGCTTATGGTTACCACTTCCGCAAATCTCAGTATACCTCCCTCATTGTTTCTATATAAAACATTTAAAGCTGTTTGAATATTAATTTTGTGACATGTTTCCATAATATGTTTAGTTATAGATGAAGAGGGTCATCTCCCATCAGCGTTTATCAAGGTTTCACACTCCATTTACTTTTGAAGCCATTTAGGTACATGTTCACCCACCCTCAACTGCATGTATCGATTACTCCTCCCTATGTATATCTGACCACACACACACACACACATGCAAACTGGTAAACACAATGGGTGTGACGTAATCATTGATGCAGTGTGTTCAGGTTTGTAGTGAACCATGTGTTTTGTTTTTCCTACAATGATAAGATTAGCTGTGTAATATGCTTTCTTAATGGCTGATGTTAGCCAACGTCTCAAGATTATACTGTTCAACTCTCCACCGTATAGTAGAGTGATGTGGACGCTTTTCTCAGGAAGTGTGTACACAGTTGGCTTTGGTGCTACCTGATTTCTACGACAGTCTACAAACTTCATCGGATAGCCGTTTCTCATATGTGTTTTGGTCAGTAATTTGATAACTTCATCCATCGTATCTCATGTACAAATACGATGGTTTCGATTAAATCGGCATTCTACTCTAGTAGACCACACTTGTATTGGATTGCCCTCCCACTCTGGTTCAATATATATTGACTTGATGAATAAATGTATGATCGAGCAGATTGTTCACAATGAATTACACTAATACATCAACCACATTGTTCAGATAAACTTCATCTTCTAATTACACTATCTAAATTATGAAAGGGACTCATTGTTTCAAGTAAATCATTTTCGTAGATCACTGTGTTTGCCAGTTAATGTGTGTGTGTGTGTGTGGGTCACACATACATAGGGGAAAAGTACTCGAGACATACAGCTGAGGGTGGGTGAACATGAGACGGAATGGCTTCCAAAACTGATAGGTGTATGTGGGAGGTGACCCTCTTCATCTATAACTAAACATATTATGGAAACGTGTCACAAAATTAATATTCAAACAGCTTTAAATGTTTTATATAGAAACAATGAGGGAGGTATACTGAGATTTGCGGAAGTGGTAACCATAAGCAAATTGAAACCACCTTTATGTGTACAGAAGCAGTTTGTTCTTACACTACACCTACCTTCGTAAACTTTGTTCTCTTACCAAGATTAAGATCAACTACGTCACTTGCTGTTTGTTCTCATCTTTCTTAATTCGAATCCCCTATTATGTTAATTGTTGTATTTGTCCTTCCACTCTTCGGTTCAATATATATTGACTTGACAAGTAAATTTGTGATCAGATTGTTGGAAATGTATTGCGCAAATACATCACATTGTTCAGATAAACTTCATCTTCTAGTTAAGCTATCAAAATTTATAAAAACGACTAACTGTTAGAATTTGGAATTCTCAGCAGGATGTATCGCAACAGCAGGAAAATATGCGTCTGTATATACTCCTATTTAACACTTTGTATTGTGTTATTATAAAAATGTAAGTAATGTAAAGAATATTAAAAACGCGAACATTTTACATTGTTAACTTAATTATTGAAATATTGATTGTTAATTGTTACAAAGCTCACGTGTGAGTTATGTTGTGCTACATTTCTCCTCACGTAATATGAGTGTTAAGTAAGGTGCAGTCGAAGTTTTGTATTTGGTTGTACGAACGTAAAGTATTATATAGTCTCTTCTTATCCTTCCTGTGGAGATACAGGGATAGAGCTGTGAATGAACTGGATACTGAGTATCAGTATCCAGTGTTCAGTGATACAAAATGTATATTCTGTGACAGTAGTCATGGTCTAAGACTGTAACGGTTAGATATGTTTAAGTAAGATCATCAGTCTGTCAGCCTTAATAAGGAAAAATAAAGCAAACTAGACAGAACAATTCATTTGGATCGTCAAGATACCATTAATCGAAATTTCAAAGTCGGTTAGAATCGGACAACCTGACTGTGGTTGTCGAATGCATCAATCATCTGTTCCCTCACAGAACTAGTTTTTGGTGAAACATGACGTTAGATGAATGATTAATGGTGAAATAGTATTTAGAAGTAGTATTCATCATGGACTGATATCAGTTGGAGAACTATTGAAAATCTGGGAACACTGGACAGCTGTTTCGTCCTAGTATGCGACTTCTCAGCACTACGCACCCACAACCCGCCTAGGGATCAAACTCAACACCTTCAGGTTTCACGGTGAACGAGTTAACCATTGAGCCACTGGGTCGGTTTCCATTGGTTCACAATTTCCAACTTATATCAGTTCACGATATAGCGTGACTATCACCCAGTGTCTTTAGTTAGCATCTGCTTCACTTCCGACTGGTTGACCTCACAGGTCACGACTTCTCATTAGAGCTTCGTGATATCCATCTGGAAGCAAGTCACTAGAGAGCACTATACAGTAATGTACTTTTGAGATGAATAGGGATTTTTTTAATTTAATAGTATTGTTAGATTACATTGCTTGGCTAATACAAAACTTATCTAGTAGTTGAATTTGAGTACCTTAGGTAAAGTAATTAGCTAAGAGACAGGTTGTCTTGCCTCAGTAATATGCAATATTTATTGTATTCACCGGACTTTTATACAGCTCAAATAAATCATTTCATTCTATTATCGAACATGAACTGATTTAATTAAAAGTTTACCTTGATTCTGTGTTGGCAGTGGGAATATAATTTGACCAAGATTGTCAAACATTAGTTGACCATCCATAGTGAAAGTTCTTAGGCTAAAGGAAAACAATTTGAAATAGACAGGATTTAACTATTTGTTATACTGGATCGAATCGATTGACTTCTGTTGGCATAGGAGCACCTATGCCTCTATATTACCTGAATATTTATTGTTATAATTGACTTGGTTGTGGCTAGGAATGGAATTCAGGATGAGTGTTTCGTCCTATTTGGGACTCATCAGGTGAATGTACAGATACTCTTTTTGGTGTCTGAAGCGATAGGTACAAGGTTCGAGTCTCAGCGAGTACAAAATCACTCACTGGAATGCAGTTAAACCCAGCTGATGAGTGAGTCCCAAGCAGGACGAAATTTAATATCCTGGATTCCACTGGTAGCCAAAACCAAGTCAGATGAAAAAAAACAAATTTCAGTAAGTGATGCCGTAAAACCTATTTCTCACCACTTTCGATATCTGTTTTATCCAATAACTTACAACTTGATCCAAGTGTAGAAAGTTTTATCTGTATCCTATTTTCACCACCTGCTGAGAAGTGATATCAACCAGTTTATTTGCCAAACTAATAGTGTGCATAACCAATCATTTCAGGGGTCAGTAAGAACAAAAACTATGAAGCCCTATCAAGTTTAGTGTGGATGGATTTAGTTATAGGACATAGACAATAACTAACCTCAAACATGTACAAGAACTCAATAATGTCAAGATGTTTGTTGACATCTCAACTTTTGCTTCTGCTGTAGTACCTTTGCAGTGGGCGTTGCTGATAAGAATGGATATAAGTAGTATATATTGAGAGGTCAATGGGTAGGGATTCTGCCCAGAGAAACGCAAGTGACAATGCAGGAGTATTAAGAGCAAATCAAGATAGAAACCGAAGAGGAAATGAAGCACATTATGCCAAGGCCCGTCTCAGTGCAAGATATACCATATTTGATGACTACTGTACAAGATGTCAACAATAAACGTTCCTTCATTTGTCTCTGCCTTCTCGTTTCCTTCCCCTTTTACCTTTAAAGCAAAGTTATAAACATGATGTGTTTTTGATAGTGTGACAATTTTGTCTGACGTATTTAGTCCAACCATTTGAGATTAAGGTACTGTGTGTCATCAAGGTTTATCCTATAGTCTCACATGATGCACCGACCATACTTCCCATCCACGTTCAACATTCACTTCCTTAACACTATGAGATTTGATAAACTTTTTACTACATAAGGTTTATGCTTACATCATTATTAATATTTGTCCCTTGGGTTCCTAGTGGAACATAGGACTTCAGTAACACGTCTCCACTTCACTCTCTTCTCGCTACTCTTTTCAACCTGCCTCAAACACTGACCACAAACTTTCATTTCTTCCTCACACATTCTCCTCCAGGTCACCCTCAGATACACGACTCATCGTTTCCCTTGCGGCTTTCACTGGACGGTCTCGCCTGGTACGTGATATTTCAAAATGGTCTTCTCAGCGTACACCCAATCCAATCCAGTCCATCTCCACTTTCTTCCTCTGCATATTTGTTGGGTGATGGCTTCTTGATTGACTGGTTGCCCGATCAGACTTGCTTGTTGTTTATTCTTTCCGGTCTTCTGATCTCATCTTCAGTATCGAGTGTAGGTGAGATTTGTTGGTGCACGTCTGTGGTTTGTTGGAATGCTTTTCGTCAGGTGGTGAGTCTCTCAACCATCACATAGAAGCACTGACTGACTTGACTTACATTAGTGTTGAGAATCCGGATGTGCTTCGATCTTTATTCTGAGTGCAATGCAGTGCAGTGCAGTGCAGTAGATCTCCACACTGATTTGAGATTGATGCAGGAAGACGTGTCTTGCTGCTGTCTTTCCGATTCTGGCTGGTGTGACATCGTCATCTGTGTCTGTGCTGCCTGTAGTTGAAACGGTGCTGTGCAGTCTGGGTAGGTGAAAGTGACTACTTCCTTTGGGTTTCTCCGTTGATGGTGATTGGTGCGTATGCCCATCTTCTCACAGTTCCTGTTGCATGATCTAGTCCAGTCCAGTCCACTCCACTCCATTCAGGTCCGGTCCGGTCGAGTGGAGTCGACCACAAGTAGGAAGATGATTGATGATAGTAGGCGGCAGCGTTGTCTTTCTACTGTCCTCACTTCACCTCACTTCACTTCAAAGGCGTTACTGAGCTTTCCATTGTGAATCATTTGGGATGTAGCATGTAGCATCATCACAGAGCATATAACTGCTGTTGAATGAGGTTGGTGGGGGTTTGTTGCACTAAAAGCGTAGTGTTGAAGCAGCAGCTGCCAAATTACTTCTCGGTCGACGCTGTCGATGGCCTTTTCAAAATTGATGTAGTTGAGTTGACTGCCATTCTACGCTCTGTTTTATGATGATGCGTAGTGTAGCGTTATAATTTGGTCTGCATATTATTTGTGCTTCCTGAAGCCAACCGGCCAACCAGCCTGTTCCGGTCGTAATTTTGAATCCAGAGCATTTTCTGTTTAGTCTCTGCAGGATGATGCGGCCTAATATTTTACTTGGGGTAGATGGGGGCAGGACCACGATTCCTCGCCAGTCCTTGCAAAGACTTAGGTCTCTCTTCTTTGGAAGTTTGACAAGGTAGCCCTTCTTCCAATCAACTGGCAGGTACCTTTCCTACCTTCGAAACCTTCTGCAATAGTGGTCTGAGCGTATCTGCTGTTGTCTCTAAGTCTGTTTTCAGTGCTTCTGGCGGAATTCCATCTGGTCTTGGTGCTTTCACGGATTTCAACAACTTTATGGCGTTCAGGAGTTCGGGTTTTGTCGGAGAGCTTGTGTTCACTGGTAATTCTATGGCTAGGCTGCTGGTGGTATTTCTGGACGAGTTGCAGGTGGTGGTGGCGGTCGATTCAAGAGTTTTTTTGAAGTGGTCAGACCATCGTTTCCTTTGTTTCTTCCCTCTCTTTGTAACTAGATTTCCTTCACCATCTTTCATTGGTTTCAATGTGTTGATCTCTTCCCCAGACTGCAAGTAACTTGGTTATTCGATATAGTGTTGTCAGGTCTCCCCTACCAAAAGCCTGTTCGGTTTCACTTGCCAGTGTGTCGTAGAAGTGTCTTTTGTCTTTCCGCGCACTCTTCTTCACTTCTTTGTCCTGTGTAGTGTTTTGTGGGTTGTTCATCCCTGCACTGCACTGGCTCATCTTCTGATTCACTATCTTCCTCTCTCTGCTCTATCAGCTTCCATGTACCCGTCGAGATCCATTCCATTCCTTGTCTTGTTTCTTCTTCTTCTCCTTTCCCAACTGAGTTATGCAGGTTTCCTTCCACGTCGCTTTCACAGAGTTTCAGTGTTCTTAAACGCCCGATCCTTCAGGGATATTGCTCAACATCTCCCATTTTATTCTGATGGCTGACATGAAGATGTCCTTTGTAGTTTCGTCCTTTAGTTTCTGTTCTGAGTGTTGAACTTGAACTGTGGTCTATCACCAACTTCTTTGAAGGCTTTCAACTTGATTTTGAAGGCAGGTTCCTTTCACTAGATATTGAGTGGTGTGAACCCACATCTGCTCTCCTTCTTGATCTTGTTTCCAGTAGGCTGGCTGCATCTCCACTTTCTTCAGATTGAGATGAAGTCGATCTGATTTTTAGTGTTTCCTGGTGTCTGGTGAAATCAAATCCATGTCGGTTTGTATCTTTGTACACACTACCTCCAACCACCTGGTCATTAAATGCTCAGAAGTCTGCAAACAGTTCTCCATTCTCATTTAACATTTCATTGAGTACTTCTCGGCCTATGATGAGTCCTCTTTCTGTGTTGTACGCTCCCGGTTTGCCATTCATGTAACTCCACCCATTAGAATGAATTTTGATGTCGCCATCTGGGGTAGTGTTTTGACCATTACTAATTGCAGTTGTCTGTAGAATTCCTCCTTCTTCACTTGATCTGCACTATTTGTAGATGCGTAGCAATGTATGATTGCGACTTTCCTTCTTTCGAATTGGACCTTCTTGTCATAATCCTGATCCTACAGGAGGAGATTGGTTCACACTGTATGTGAACCTCCAATGCTCTTGGGGACATCATGATTGCCACTCCGAAACTCAGTGTGATCATGGTTGTCGTCTCGGTGACAATATCGGAGTAGATTATTGATTCTCCAGTTGACAGTTTGCACAGTCCACTTCCATTCCATCCACTTTCCCAAAATTCCTACCACTTCAATACTACACCTTCTCATCTCTCTTTCCATCTGGATAGCCTTACCAGCCAGCTTCAAACATTGTGTGGACATTCCATGTCCCATTCTCACTGTCGCTTTCATCGAGAGAGAGAGAGAGAGAGAGAGGTGTCATATCGGTCAATTGGCTTTTCGAAGGTTTTCATCAACCGGCATCCTTTCACCTCTCCGACTCCAGTGAGGAATAATATTGTTTTTATTTTTTATACTTTATGCTTTGAAGTTTCTTTGGTGGTTAGCTTTGTTTTCCGGGTTGTGGTTGCTAGTGGTATGCCCAACCTTCCCTCTTTACTTTATCTAGGCTTAGAACCGATTAGTAACTAGTGAACTAGTTAACTTGGTGAGGTTGCTTACATCATTAGAGTCACAACAACTAAAACCTAGATATCTTTTGCATTATACAAAATCTACGTGCTCCGATCAATATAAGCGTAAAACTTTGGCATTATGGTAGAATTTAGTGCCAAATTAGATTTGTTTAGTTGATGTAGCGTCGATAGAAAAAAGGCGATAGTCAATCTCTTTTTGAGAACCTAAAACTTAGTTGGAACGAAAGTACTTAAAAAGGACAAAAATTCAACCCTGTAGACGTTATACCTAGCAGAGAATTGACACTTAGCTCGGTGAATGCATCAACCGCTGTACAGGTTAGAACACAGTATGGATTATTGGCACTGAAAGAATAGAAGACAATAAAACTTAATGAAACTAGAGAATTTAGCTCTGAATAATCCACGAAATGACAATAACATGGTAATTACAAAATCTGATAAACATAATTCAGTAGTAGTTATTAACAAATCGGATTATTTCAACAAAATTGATGAACGCTTCCAAAAGCGACCATATGAAGAGATCAAGAAACCTATAGACACTATCATGAATAAAATTAGGAAATCTACAGCTGATCTCGTACGCCTACTGAAACGGTTTTTAGATGAGTCTAAATGGTTCAATTTAACGCCATTAAATAATATTCCTAGTAGAATTTACGCTGCTATTAAGGCTCATAAACTGGGTTATCCGATTGGATCTATAGTTGACTTCAGAAATACCTCCAACGTACGAACCACTGAAGTTAATATTATTGTACCAATGTGTACTATATCACATCAACAAGTCGAATATCTTGGTTGTATTGTGTTCACTGAGCTGGGTTGTTTAGTCGTGAAGCTTTCATCACCTTTCTAGACAGCATCATCAGCAATAACTGCAGTATGAAGGCGATGAAAGCTTTAAGATTAAGCAACTCACCTCAGAGAAAACAATACAAACAAGACCATTCACTTGAGCTTCAAATATTCTCCACTGTTTCACAAGTTGAATGGGGTACATATTCTTTGTCCTTGGTAATATAGCTTATACCAGAAAATACCCTGTCTGTTTTTTATTACATCCATTCTACGCTACTTCACAGACTGCAGACAATTACATTCTTAGTTAACATGAATTTGAGTTATAATGAACAGGTATTGTAACTAGTAAAAGATACGATTTACCGTTGTGCTTCTATTAAATTCTTCGCTAGAACAACTGCACGCATTCGGAAGGGATTAATGCGTATTCTACCTCCTGGGTTGATAATCATTTGAGTTTTTTTATCCGTATAGGTAAAAATCTGTACAGCCAAAAGAAGTATACCCCAAAGTTCCATGGCTAATCTGAATACAAACAGAGAAAGTGTGAATAGGTGAAAAAAACTTCATTTTCAAAACCAAAACAACAGTCTAATTCATACTGATAGGTGATTTGTAAATCCGGGTTACATTTTAATCTGCTTAAAACGTGTTTTTTCAATATTTTCGGTTAAATAGTGTTTTTTTTTTACCAACAACAATAAAATCGAATTAATCACATAGAGAATTCGAAATTTATTTGCATTGTCACTTAAATGATTGAAGATGAAATGAAAATTTAGGCTGCAGTAGGATTCGAACCAGCAACCATTATGTTTTCATTCAGGTGCCCAATTGGTAAAGCACCTAGCAGAAAACTGGATGGTTGCTGGTTTGAATCCTACAGCAATTCAAATTTTTTTTATTTCATCGTCGATTGTCACCCAGTATCAGTAATCCAAGTCTGGCGAACCATGGCCAGGGTCAAATAGATACTTAACTGATCATCCAATTAAAAGTGGACTGTTGTGAAACCGAATGGCTTCCAAGTGAGCATAGAGTGTAGTGGTTAGTGACTGTATGGAATGGTGTTTACTGTCTTCTTATTCCTACAGAAATTATAGGAAAATATTGGTTGAAGATTAAGTTGATCGCTACAAGTGTTCCATCCATAGTTATGATATAATCGCTGTAAACGAGAACATAGAGCTACAGTTACAAAGCAGTTACTTAGAGCATCTAGGAACAAAGAGAGAGTTATGCCTACTGGGAAGCTTGTGGTGTTACTGCAAATGATTGAAGTGATTAATTTGTTTAATCTGGATTTCAACATTCTATGATGTCACGGGTATGATATTTATGCGTAAGGGTTCAAATTTAGGTGACTCCTACTTCTTCGAAAACCTTCAAAAGGTTTACTGCTTTGTGACATTACAGCTGTTTGTGATTTCATGCTTAAAGATAGGTGACCTTTTCCAATGCAACAGGTCTATAGAAGTCGGGAAACATTGATATACATATCTTTCTACTAGTAGGATACTGTTATTCTGTTATCTGTCAGTCAACCCACTCAAATGATTAGTTTAATGTAGTTCGTTATATCATACGTGATCGTTAACAGCATTTGGTTGTCAAGTGGATGCCATTATATGCAACACACTAAGACGAAATAGTTATCTGGTGATCCTCGATTTTCAATGGTCCTCCGACTGATGTCAGTGAGTAATGAATCCCACTTTAAAACTAATCAATCCCTATGAATCTTTAAATAAAAATTACTACCTAGTGCTCAGTAAGGACATGTTTTGAAATGGATTTGCTGAAGTTCTAGTAAGAAGCTATGACATGTGTAATCAACCAGATCGGGTGTGAAGACAAATACTCTCCAATGGTAATCATTATTGCTGCCACTATCATCATATTTGTAGTGATGGTGATGATGATCAGGGGATATTCTCCCAAGTAAGCCTCTTTATTTATCCCTTCTTATATCACTTCAGGCTTTCACTGGGAACCTCAAATTATTTTTATTTAATGCTGTAAAACTGTAGATCCTGATAAATAACGGAATAAAGGTAACTAATGGTGGTGAAAAATGATTTTCAAGTCGAAGAATCACAACCAAACTGAATCTAGTGTGATTACTTGTAACTACTACAAACAGTCTTCAGTTTGTTTGAAACAACTGTTTATCATCTGAACTCTTGTTTTTCCAGTCAATTTTTATACACCCTGCATTCAGAGAAGGTGCAGCATCCAAGTTATAGGATGTAAAAATCAAAGGAACACTGAAAATAAGCTTTTCTGTAGCATACCCACCAAACCAAACTCATATCACCTCCAACTGTATTTATGAATTCACCTACAGTTGTGATAGAAAGTACATTTGAAGGACTGAGAGAATGGCATTCAGTCAGTTCCTTGAGTATACCGCTAAAAATCTGTGCTTGAAAGGAAATAGAATTCTAACCAGTACAATTTTTAGACACCTTGCAGATACAAGACATGAGGTTGAAATCATGAGTACTTTTAAGATAATAAACGTACAGAAAAATGTCTAGAGTACTGAGTTTCATAGAAACAATTACAATAAAACACCTTTCTTTGCATACAGAAGGAGTATGTGGTTAATCTCTCACTCTCTTAGTGAATATGATTTGATCCTTTTCATACTCTTTATTTAGATTCCCTCTTTCTTACATTTCTTAACATCGTACAGTTTACTTCTCTTATATATCACATAGATTATTGATTTTGATGTACAACCTAATTGACTTTTTAGGTTGTACGCAGCTGAGGTGTATTCATGAGATGAAATGATATCATTTTATTCTGTAGATTTCATCCTTCTCGCTTTATTCAAACTTGTTAAAGAATCAAAATGCATGAGATTGTTTTTTTGTTAGGTTTCCAAAACTGAAAATTCCAGGAATCAAGATTTCAAAATATGATCAGTACCTAATCGATGAGGAGATCAGAATCTCGGTTGAACATATTAATATCAGTACTTGTTAAGCGTAATATGTCAACTGATATCATCTTCCAGTTACCGGTCAGTTTGAATGGAATTATAAAAATCGATTATTATGGCTTTTGAATATGTGGAAATGAATATTTTTAGAGTGATTTTAAAGGTCAACCTAACAACAATTCAAGTAACCAATTAGAATTCTATATTTTATGAGAAAACTATCTTTTCAGTTTTAAAGTAAGAAACCTGATTGGTTATGTCAGTTGTTGATAGCGTAGCCTTTAAGGTCACTTTGTGTGTATTGACGACTTTCAGAACAGTTAGTAAATATTATAAATCCTTGTAGAACACTTGAAAGGAGATATTTAGCGAATAAATTGAAAATTTCTGTCTATGCAGAGACACACAATCTATAAGAACAATTGAAGCGATGAGTACTGAGTTTAGGTCTAAGGGGGAACAACACCACTTAGTAGTGGGGCGCAGATACATTCAGTTGACTAGTGAGTCTTAAACAGGACGAAACATGCATCTTGGATTCCACTGTTAGCCACCACCAAGCAAATTACAAGATAATAATAATGGATAGGGACTAGCAGTGGAATCCAGGATACAACTTTTGTCCTAGTTAGAACTCTTCAGCTGGATATATCTGCCGCCCAATAAGCGATGTTGTTCCCAGTGGGGTTCGAACTCGGGATCGTTTGTTTCAAACACCAGAGCGTTATCGACTAGACCACCGAGTCACAATAGCCATTTCTCGTGCTAGGGGTATAGTTTTAATGTTGTTTCTAGCCCCTATCCATCACTAATATATAATTCAAATACAGGCGATATCGAGGCATTCACACAGGAGACCGATCAATTCGGTTCACTCAAAGACGGGGAAATACAAGCAACAACATTAAATTACAAATTATCTATCAGTAAGAGTACTCACCCAACTAATTGTTGAAACATCATTCCATTGAAAACATGAGAGAATTTTACTGTGTATAACTTATACCTTGTACCTTGGAAGTATTCATTCACCCAACGGGGCAAACTTTTCTGTCGAGGTAAAACAAACACAATAAAAGATTAATTTCAATAATGAAGTTGTTGAATTAACTTGAGTTTGGTTACTTACATCTGTTATGATTACCTCATTGCCTTTTATTAGGTGTAATACTTTTGATTTTTTTAAACCTCGCCTGGTTAACTAGTTCACTAGTTACTAATCGGTTCTAAGCCCAGATAAAGTAAAGAGGGAAGGTTGGGCATACCACTAGCAACCACAACCCGGAAAACAAATCTAACCACCAAAGAAACTTCAAAGCATAAAGTATAGAAAAATAAACACAATATTATTCCTCACTGGAGTCGGAGAGGTGAAAGGATGCCGGTTGATGAAAACCTTCGAAAAGCCAATTGACCGATATGACACCTCTCTCTCTCTCTCTCTCTATCGATGAAAGCGAGAGTGAGAATGGGACATGGAATGTCCACACAATGTTTGAAGCTGGCTGGTAAGGCTATCCAGATGGAAAGAGAGATGAGAAGGTGTAGTATTGAAGTGGTAGGAATTTTGGGAAAGTGGATGGAATGGAAGTGGACTGTGCAAACTGTCAACTGGAGAATCAATAATCTACTCCGATATTGTCACCGAGACGACAACCATGATCACACTGAGTTTCGGAGTGGCAATCATGATGTCCCCAAGAGCATTGGAGGTTCACATACAGTGTGAACCAATCTCCTCCTGTATGATCAGGATTATGATAAGAAGGTTCAAGTCAAAAGGAAGGAAAGTCACTATCGTACAATGCTACACACTTTTGATTTTTCTAGAAATTATTGCACAACTGTATAACTTATTTGAAACAAAACTGCTCTTTGATCATTCACCTGAACTTTGTAGGATGTACAAGCAGATGTTGCACTAAAAACTCTCTCTCTCCCATCAGTAATGTTTACACTTGGTGTACTCAGTAGGTAAATGCAAATGAAACCGGAGTATGGCAGACGAACAATATTCAACCAGAGGATAACAAACAGGGAGACGTTTAAGAGTAGACAGTATATGTAGTCTCCGTGTAGCATACTGATTGTCGAAATGAGATTATAGCGAAAATACTCTTTCTTAATCACATGTACCAAAACTTCTGTGATGAAACGATATGGTACTCATGACTGTGCTGGTATATAATTTATATGCTAAATAAAGGGGGCGGTTACAGAAGTATCACTTTTCCATGAGTTTATTTTGAGTTCAGACCAGCCTGATTATCGATTTTAGGAGCACTTTGAAGTATGCTGTCTCATACATGAATTACTGATGTGCATACCTTTCTTTTTACCTTTCTAAGTGTTACAATATGCAAAAAGATTGATAAAATTTTCATAACAAAACTTTCACAACCAATCATGCTGCACCGAAGTTTCAAGAGAGAAAGAAAGAGAGAGAGAACAGGTGAACCAATATGATATTTGCACATTGGTTTACGTGCTGTCAATGAATGAAAATCAATAGGACGTTGAAGTCTAGAAAGGTCAAAAGGACTTACGTAAATGTTGCATGAGAGACTTAGTTATATCATTTTACTTGCTGTCTACTGAAGTAGAATAAACAGCTTTAGAATTTGTAAGCAGCTTTACTGTCCATTTTCATGGCATCATGTAGGTACAAGCATTGGTCATCTATACCTCCTGGAGGTTTAACAGCTATCGTTCAGTCTAAGACGGTTCGATATTTAGTTCCAACAGTGGGAATAAATAACTTGATAACGTTGACCCATTTAAAACTTTGATGACCATCAAAACGTAGAACGAACATAGTACACACCAACGTGTAGTTACACTTCAAGTAGGTGCTTCAGAGGGAGTGGAAGTTCTAAATACACTGATGCCATCGGTTACTAATTACAGTGTAGCCTATTTCAATCAATGCTTGCGTATGAAGATAAAAATGACAGGTAGCATACTGTATCAGTAATTGTTACTATGCCGACAAATACAGATGACAGTATCTATTATCTGACCTTGAACCAAGCAATCCCCATCAATCACCGGAGCGGTTCTCCTTTCAGTCTAGATGCCCGAATGGCACACTCGAGTTTCCAGCTACCACTATTATATATATCGAGCACAGATGGTAGAGAAGATTACTCAAATGATGATACGACTCATCCTCAACTGTCTCTGGACTGCGGTCCTTAGAAGCCTATGCAAAGATGATGAACAGATATCGCTTTCATTGCTAATTAGTTCCTACCGTGTTTCAACCTTCTAGGTTAAGGGCCCACAGACGACTACGGATAGGAATGTAGTGAACTAATGAGGTTTCGGCGCTCGCACTTAGTGCGAAACCAATAAATAGTCTCCAGATAAGCACACGATAAATAAACGATTTTAGCCAATAGGTGAGGAAGTTATATGATGCGCGTATGTTTGACAAACAGCATGTATCACTAGCGAGGCTTTTTATAGTCTTAGCCAAGCCTTTCTGTTATCCGATCTGCATAAAGATCCTAACTTCGAAGCCATTAAGCTTAAAAGGCATGTAAGAATTCACGTGCTGGAGTCAGATATCACACTGAAGGATATATTTGTGAAGGCAATTGTTTCGTGATTAGAAACGACACAGACCAGCCAGAACTTTCATGATCCAGTGAATATGATTTCTGGCAGAATGATTTGGTAACCACTTTAAAATCTTCATTATAATTGTTGTTTGCTGATTTATATGAGGTATGTGATAGCTAAAATGAAACAAACTTCTGTCCACAAGCCTTTGACTTGAAGTCTAACCCACAAGGCGGTGGAGTAATGTCAAGTGTTCCATCCTCATGACTGTTGATGAATCAAGTTGGTTCGTATACTATTCGTATCCTCTAAATCCTGTAGGCTAAGTGCATTAGTGGTGTAGAATGACAGTTTTTTTTAAGTCTCCGCTGTTAAACCTTAGTATCGATTAATCCGTTGATAAACGATGCCATTTCGCGTTAACCTCACCATATGAAGGTAGTTAGTAGAACTTCCTTAGCAAAAGCTATCAATGTATATCTGTATGATAGAATTTCGTGAAGGCAACCCAATTCATGTTATTCTCAGTCACATCAGGATTTTTGAGTGACCAATAAATATAACTGTGAAAATTGACTTTAATTTTTTTTATTATCACCTAGTCCACTCTATTTCTGCACCAAATTACTGAAAATTATCCATTTTAATTATATATCTTATCTAGAGTTAATCTTTCAATGATTACCAATGATAGATGAATTCAATAAAGTTGTTACGAAATCAGCTGCTTCTAATTTACTACTATGCTTGTATAATCCCTCCCAGTTATTCCTTATTTTCTTATGGGTCTACAGAATGTTGTTCAGAGTAACTCATTTCTATAGCTATAACAAGTCGTCAAATATAATTATTTCAAGCTTATCAAAGGTAATATGTCTATACAGTTTTCCTAGTATTATAATACAATTCTATAACTGTAAATAAATCATTGTATAAGGTGTATTTTTACTTGTATAATCCTGGCCTAGTATATTAGAACAAATAACAAAATAAACAAATATTTTGTATTATTCCTCAACGTTTCCATCTTGTTAGGAAGATCCTTTTCAAGAGTATGAATCTGACATAAAGTTTTCAGGTTAATATTCAAGTTTTGGTACAGAAAGTGGTGACCTTTACAATCATCCAATTACATAGTGATATGGAGCAAAGATCGATGTAATACATGTGAGTGAATAAGCAACTCGGTCAGAGAGGCTTTTATCAGTTGTGTGAGTAAGGTGGAACAAAAATAGGGTGGGGAAATTTTTTAGTTCGTCTATGAAAAAGTACAGTGGGTTGTGAGACATCAAGAGTGAGAAAGAATAGATTACTAGTTTGGAAGGATGAATGTTTTAACATCAAACAATATATGATAATGATTTGACTGTCTAAGATAGCCGTAGTTTGGCAGACTAGTATTTGTACTGGGTGATGATTGAAGGTGAGATAAAAATCTGAACCGGTACCGGATTCGAACCAGCGACCACCGGGTGGTCATCACCCAGTACAAATATATGATAAATAAATAATAATAATAATGGTAACAGTAAGTGTACTTTTGGATAACAATTGAAGTATGAGTGATAAGAAAATGGATTATGTTATATATAAAATGGTTCATAGAATGTATATAACTCAGAAATGAGCGTAAAACTGATGAAAATAGTAGATCAATAGAGTGTTACGTAATCGGAATAGACAAGTTATTAAAATACAACCAATATTTTTTTGACGTGGTTAAGACGATTAAGCCAAATAACACCGCAAACTATTCAAGCAAGAGTAAATCCGGAATAAATCATATGGAATAATACTGTGTTCTACTTTCTCTTCATATGCCTATGCGAGTCGCTAATGTTTGCCATATTATTGGGATGTCTATCCCCACCTTTTCTGTTGACCGAAGAAGGATACGAACAGATATGCAAAAGTTTCTGCAATGGTCCGCTTTTATGAGGAAGAAAACCCTTTTGTAGGACTTTCGTCTGTTCGAAAGATATTTTATTACCTGAATATATAGGGCATTAGCCGCGATGACAGAGCTTTATTCAGGTTTTTCTAGATCATAGGAATTTTTTGGTGGTTTCTTGGAACTTCAACCGTGTTCGGCTAGACGTGTTAGTACTTGATGTGATGTCTCTCCAATGTATATGGTATCGAATTCACTACAGTCTACCTTATAAACACAGTTTTGTTGTTCCAAATGAGGAATCAGATCTTTTAATTTACACAAGTGTAAGTGTAATGTCTTCATCACCTTAAAGAATGCTCTGATGTTGTAACTATTAAGGATACGTCTTATTTCCTCTGAGGTGGATGTTCGATAAGGAAGTCATCATCATCACCATCATCAATATCAACATAGGACCAGGCATTACTGCGTAACGGTCTGAGTTGCCACAGCTCAGTACAGTACATCAAGTAGAAAGGTAGTGAGGTGAAGGATGAAGATAAGCGAATGCAGTCAAAAGAAATAGAAAGTACGAGAAGAAAGGAAGGAAGAATGAGAAGGAAAGAAGTACTATAGTACTTATCCAATCTTAACGGCTTGGCTTTTTCGTACCTTTATTCAATTTTTTTAATAGTTTTCCCGGACAGTTATTTTATTTTCAGACTTCCCGAACAATAAATATTGTGGGATGAAACGAATTCATCTCATATGCTCTAAATCTTTGACATACGCAATAAATTTAAAATTTTCTACATTAAGCTATCAGTGTTTTAGTATAAGTCACTTAAAAAATACCGAACTAAGCTATCCCATTAAACAGACAAAATTGTACTTAAGATATGTAAATGATACTTTCATCATGTGTGACAGTGAACTCCATACAGTGAACCTACTAAGATCTTTCAATTTAGTTCATTCATATGTGAAATTCACATGTGAATATGAAACTTTAGATGAAAACGATTCTATACTACACAGAATTTATCATAAGCCTACTTGGACTGGTCTATATTTGACATTTAATAGTTTCTATCCAATCGCTTATAAAAGAAATCTAATCAAGACTTTATTTTTTAATGGCTACCAGACTATACTGTCCAAGGAAGTCATAGATAATGAACTGGTTACTATGCAAAAAACTTTGATAAATAATCGATATCCCATAAAGTTCATCAATAAACACTTTAAACCTAAAAATGAGAAAGTGAATAATACAATCGTGCTAAAAAAGAACGTTCATTAGACTATCATTCGTAAATGATGAACTGAGTTTACAAAATAATTGCCAACTGAATCTATATATCACACTAACTTATCCAGCTGCGAAATTAACAGTTGTCTATGATACAAAAAAACATGATTAGAGAAACTAATTTAAATGTGAAACTTGTTCATGTTACCTCCAATTATATTTATTTATTCACCTGTATTTGCAGTAGCATATATGTTGAAAGAACGCAGAGTGTCGTTACTAAAAGAATTTCTGAATATGTACTGAAAAGCCTATCATTGAGAGGTGGAAAGCTACTAAACAACACCATTGACAAGCACATCCTTGATACAAGTCATGCTGTTGACTCAAACTTAGCTATTAAGGTAATCAATAGACAAAGTAATAGTAGATTGCTACGTTATACAGAAGCAGTAACAATCCGCCGACTGAAACTAGACTTATGTGTACAAAAGGAGTTTGTAGTTCACCTTGCATTGTCTTGGTGAGTTATTCTTGTCCTACAGCTTTATCTATTATTTTATTCTTTCATCTTATTGTCTTACATATTATTCTAAAACACTATTCACATTTCAATCATTTTTCATTTACCTTAATCTATTATATTTTTATCATGTTTGTCAGCACATTCTTTTCTATTTGTCTACCATTAACTCATATACTTTGCTTACTATTGTTTGTTCTTCTCCCCCATACCATTAAATGTCCTACCACCTTGAGCTATAATCACATTCCTGTACCACTATCACGTCATATTTGCTTTGTGTTTACTGATCGATTTTAAAGTCTGACTTATTTCCCTGTATTGGTTGTTTACATCGTGAACTTTGTCATTCATCTATGTTGCCGTATATATGTATTGGACGAAATAGGACAAAATGCGCATCTTGGATCCCACTGCTAGCCACGATCCATCATTAACATAATAAGATTGCTGGCAGTATCGAGGCATCCGCACAGGAGCCTATATGCTAATGGAGACTGATCAATTCGATCCAATCAACGAAGGTATCATATAAAAACCCTTGTACTAAAAACTATACCCGTCGCACAACAAATGGCTATCGTGGCTCGGTGGTGTAGTGGAAAACGAGGTGGCGTTTGAAGCGATCGCTCCCGAGTCCGAATCCCGGTGGGAACAACACTCACTGGGAAGCAGGTACATGCAGCAGACTAGTGAGTCCCAAATAGGACGAAATGTGCATACTGGATTCCACTGCTAGCCACGATCCATCATTCATACTGATGTTTAGGTCTAAAGGATGTATTAAGTGTTGTTTTCTATTGAAATGTATCAAATGACTTATTCTGAACACTGATAGCTTACTGTAGAAAATTTTAAATTTACTGCGTATATGGAAGATGTAGAGCATATGAAATCAATTCGATTCATCTTGTTTCTCAAAAATTTATAAACGGAACTAACTGTATAAGAATCGTAGGACATTCAAATCTAGACAGGCCTGAAAGGAGTCAAATCAGTGTAAATATATATAAACCATTATATTTTGTATATATTTAGAAGTAGTACTCATCATGGACTGATATCAGTTGGAGAACCATTGAAAATCTGGGAACATGGGACAGCTGTATCGTCCTAGTATGCGACTTCTCAGCACTACGCACCCACGACCCGATTAGGGATCGAACTCAGAACCTTGAGGTTTCACGGTGAACGAGTTAACCATTCAACCACTGGGTCGGTTTTCAGTGGTCCACAGTTTCCAACTTCTGTCAATTTACGATAAAGCGTGACCGCCACCCTAGGTTGACGTTGCAATACACCTTCATTGTTTTACCACTTTTTCCATTTACTGAGAAAACTGAGTGAGACCTAAGGGCGGATCCAAGCGTACGCATATTGTGCTAGTAACCACAAGATTATAGGAAGTGGCAATGGGGTGTTATAAAAGTGGTGATGGGTAAAAAAAATGATAAGTCTTTCTTATGAAGAATATCAAGCTTTTTTGCAACCCTGTAAAGAAAGAATGTTGAGAGCAATACTGAGAACTATTGAGAAATTGAATCGAATACCGGATAACATTCACCCAGAGTTCATATCCATAAGTCCTCAGATTTTGAAAACGATTTACGATAAATACTTTACAGATGGATATAGTGAAGATGAAAATGACATTAGTAAGTTTGAAATAATGAATCATCTTACAGTGATGAATGAGAATGATAGTAACCCTCCCCCCTCCCCCCCATTACCCATCAGAAGATAGTAAATGGTGCTGACATTCGATGAGATCGTGATAACGAAAATCCTGAAGTACTTGTCATGAGTCTATCACAAAATTAAAAATATTTGGTGCAATCTAGCTTTTCTAAAACTATACCTTATACCAAACATCAATGTCAACAACCGCACAGATACTCAAGGGGGCTTCAAAACCTCTGCTTACACATCATATGTGATAGTTGCTTCGTATGATAGTGGATCACCATACTATTATTATTATTATTATTATTATTATTATTATTATTATTATTATTATCATTTAACCATTGGGTTCCTAGTGGAACATAGGACTTCAGTAACACGTCTCCACTTCACTCTCTTCTCGCCACTCTTTTCAACCTGCCTCCAACACTGATCACAAACTTTCATTTCTTCCTCACACATTCTCCTCCAGGTCACCCTCAGATACACGACTCATCGTTTCCCTTGCGGCTTTCACTGGACGGTCTCGCCTGGTACGTGATGTTTCAAAATGGTCTTCTCAGCGTATACCCAATCCAATCCAATCCAATCCAGTCCAGTCCATCTCCACTTTCTTCCTCTGCATATTTGTTGGGTGATGGCTTCTTGATTGACTGGTTGCCCGATCAGACTTCCTTGTTGTTTATTCTTTCCGGTCTTCTGATCTCATCTTCAGTATCGAGTGTGGGTGAGATTTGTTGGTGTACGTCTGTGGTTTGTTGGAAATGCTTTTCGTCAGGTGGTGAGTCTCTCAACCATCACATAGAAGCACTGACTGACTTGACTTACATTAGTGTTGAGAATCCGGATGTGCTTCGATCTCTATTCTGAGTACAGTGCAGTGCAGTGCAGTGCAGTAGATCTCCACACTGATTTCAGATTGATGCAGGAAGATGTGTCTTGCTGCTGTCTTTCCGATTCTGGCTGGTGTGACATCGTCATCTGTGTCTGTGCTGCCTGTAGTTGAAACGGTGCTGTGCAGTCTGGGTAGGTGAAAGTGACTACTTCCTTTAGGTTTCTCCGTTGATGGTGATTAGTGCTTGTTGTTGTTGGTGTTGGTTGGTTGGTTGGTTGGTTGGTTGGTTGTTGATTGGTTGGTTGGTTGGTTGGTTGGTTGGTTGGTTGGGTATCTTCATCACTTCTGTCTTCTCCACGTTCATCTCAAGGAGGTCCCGTCTTCCTTCACTGCCTCGCCTCACCTCACCTCTTCTGACAACCTCTTATTTTTGCCAGTACATCTTCGAGTCTGTGCAACATGAGACATTAGACACAGATCATCATCGGTGGTGAAATCCAAATCTTCTTCTGGGGTCTTTTCATCTGTCCAGCCAGTGTATGTCCATCTTCTCACAGCTCCTCACATTTGCCTGTTGCATGATCCAGTCCAGTCCAGTCCAGTCTACTCCACTCCACTCCACTCCACTCCACTCCATTCCGGTCCGGTCCGGTCCGTTTAGTCGAGTGGAGTCGACCACAATTAGGAAGATGATTGGTGATAGTAGGCGGCAGCCTTGTCTTGCTCCTGTCTTCACTTCACTTCAAAGGCGTTACTGAGCTTTCCATTGTGAATCATTTGGGATGTAGCATGTGGCATCATCACAGAGCATATAACTGCTGTTGAATGAGGTTGATGGGGGTTTGTGGCACCAAAAGCGTAGTGTTGAAGCAGCAACTGTCAAATCACCAAACTAAAGACAGTTTATGTCCAAACGAAAAAATGAACACCAGGATTGTTTTCAAGCCAGCTGCACTTCAGACATCACATCCACTAGCCAGACGGCAACTTTAAAACCCTGAATTCACCCAAATTTACAGTCGTCTCGAAGTGCATGAGGCAACCAGAAGGATATCATCGAGTTAGTATTCTGTTGCATCAACTATCACAATTCACCTCATAACAGAGTACCTCATAAACCAGATAAAGTGCTTCTAGGCTCCCTTGGGTTAAAATGGATACAAGGTCTCGGGCTGTCGTTTACAGAACGGAGACTTACTGGGAAGCAGAACTGGGAAAGTATAACAGCACTGGCTGCTCAAAAATGCCTGAGGGATTTTGCTTCATTGAGGTTGGCTAATTTATTTAAAGTTTCAATACTAAACATACCATGGTGACGATTAAATGTATACGATCAGTTGTTGTGACCTGTGAGTCTTTCAGTGTTGAATAATATTGTAATTCAACATCTAAAGCAATGGAACATATTTTTGCAAATACTGACTAGTTTATTGTATTGAAGCGGAGAGGAGAAAGTCCATCAAATACTCTTCTTTTAGGTGTAAGCAAATCATTCCCTCATTATTAGCTTTTATGGATTCAGTTTAGTTCGTTCAGACTACGTCACAACACACAATCCAGCAGAAGAGTAATATAGAATAATTTGTCACAATCCAGCAAAACGTAATCAGTCAATCAAAAGACATAACCTTTTTCATGGGGTAGGCGTCATATAGTGCAGACAGATTGACAAAATCCTTATAGCAAGCCGTATATCTTTCACAACCAATCATGCGGCACCAAAGTTTCGAGAGAGAGAGCATGTCAACCAACGTGCGAATATCAGATTGGTTCAAGGGATGAAAATCAATAGGACATTCAAGTCTAGAAAAGCCAAAAGGAGACAAAGCCAGTGTAAATATATATAAACCATTATATTTTGAGGGGGTTGTGGAGATTTGGAAATATTTCAAGTTGTTATTCATCGAAGACCGACATCAGTTGGAGGAACAAAGGAAACCTGGGAGCACTGGACAGTTGTTTCGTCCGACTAGTTTGGGACTCCTCAGCAGTGCGCACCCACGACCCCACCAGCAGGGATCGAACCCGCGACCTTCAGGTTCCTTTGTTCCTCCAACTGATGTCAGTCTTCGATGAATAACAACTTGAAATATTTCCAAATCTCCACAACCCCTCAAAATTAATTGAACTAGTGCTCGTTGGTGACTAGCTTCGAGAAGTATTCCCGAAGTTCCAATGACAAGTCGTGACCGGTGGAGTCAAAGCCTGATGGCCGTGAGGATAAATACTCAACGATGACATTGGGTGGCGGTTGCGCTATATATCGTGAGCTAACAGAAGTTGGAAATATGGAGCATTGGATTCTGACCCAGTGGATAGCTCAGTGGTAACGCGCTGGTCGCGGAACCTGAAGGTCGCGGGTTCGATCCTGTTGGTGGGGTCGTGGGTGCGCACTGCGAGGGGGGAGTCCCATACTAGTCGACGAAACAGCTGTCGAGTGCTCCCAGGTTTCATTTGTTCCTCCAACTGATGTCGGTCTTCGATGAATAACAACTTGAAATAAACCATTATATTTTGTATGTATTTGTTGACATTACAATATACCTTCGTTATATAACAACCTTTTCCATTTACTGAGAAAACTGATTGGTCATTAAGGGTGGAATCTGAATGTTATTTTGTATAAGCGTCAGCATATGTAGTCACCAGAAGGTTATAGGAAGTGACAAACAGGGTTATAAAATTCAGCACGCTCACCTACGTTAGTGTGATTACAAAATGTAACTTCTGATGGTGAAAAACTTGCGTTAAGTTTTCCATCATGCATAACAAAACCTCCATTTTGGCCTGGGTTGTTTGCCCTAAACACTATTTTTCTTTCAGATAAATAGTAAGAATTGTAATTTACTTGGTGGTGGTGGCTAACATTAGAATCCAAGATGACCATTTCATTCTACTTAAGACTCGTTAGCTGAACTTGCCTATATCCTAGTGAGTGATGTTATTCTCACTAAGACTCGAACCAAGCACCCAGTACAATTATCAACAAATAATAACAGCTTAGTAAATCTAATTACTTTCGACTGAATAAATGTTAACTTTACAAAAGATTTCAGTTCATTTTCACCATATGTCTATATCTATCGAATGGAGTATTTCGATATCACAAGAATATTATTCACCAAGGAATTGAACATAAGTACCTATTGAAATAAAAAGGGATTTTGAATTTCTGAGACTACAACTGTCACAATAAGAAGTGATAGAAAGTAAATTGAAGAATTTAATATTTAGATGTCAAACATTTTGGCAACAAATTTGGTATGATTTATTTATTTATGCATATAAAGCGTTAATTCATTTTATTTGACGGTAAACTAGCCAAGTTTCATATGAAAATTCCCTTCGAAATGACTATAAAATATGCTATCTGTACTGTAAAGGGAAAAATAAGTATTTATAGGAAATTCTTTAATCGGATAAATAAGAGTTTCATGTAAATCAAATATAATCTCTTCAGGAATTCTATCTACTATGATATAGTGTAATATAATAGTAAGAAGTGATGCAATCACCTTCTGCATTGACAGGTAAGTCAGTATACGTTCAAAGTGCCTATGTCTTCTTCTAAACTCATGGATATGAATTCTTATGACCCAGTCTCTTGAAAACATCCTATCATAGATAGTGTGTCTTTATAACAAAAGTCAGATATTTTACATTCGAATTATTTAAGGATGTGCAGTGTCTACAGCGTATGACTCCTATGCCTAGCATAATACTTGGTATTATTTTTTGTAAGATTACTAGTGCTAGGTTATCAGGACTTAACGAAGGGTATAAGTGATTCTTTTCCATTTGTTATAATTATCCACTCATGACTTTCTATATTTCAGGTTGGTATCCATCATGGGCTGGCATCATTTGGAGAAACATTGGAAATCTGGGAGCACTGGACAGCTGTTTCGTTCTAGTATGGGACTCCTCAGCAGTACGCACCTATGAACCCGTCAGGGATCGAACCTAGCGCTCATTGGTGACCAGCTTCGAGAGCAGATTCTCGAAGTTCCAATGAGCAGTCATGACCAGTGGAGTCAAACAAGTCGAACATGAAGACAGTTACTCTACGACGATATTGGATAGGGGTCGCGCTATATCGTGAACTGACAGAAGTAGGAAATGTGGACCGTTGGATTCCAACCCAGTGACTCAATTGTAACGTGCTGGTCACGGAACTTGAGGGTCCTGAATTCGATCCTTGGTGTGACGGGGTGATGGGTGTGTACTGCTGAGGTCTTCCATACTAGGACGAAGCAGGTGTTGGGTGTTCTCAGGTTTCTAATGTTCGTTCGATCGATGTCAGTCTAAGAAGACTTTCAACCTAAAATCAAAGTGATTAGTTTTTACAAGTTGGACTTTTAAAGAAAGTAATAATCGCCACTTAACTTTTGGTCATATGAATTTTGCTATTTCTCATAAACTACTTAATTTAGCCCCCTCTAGCAACCATTTACTAAGTGAACTGAACATTCGGATCCCTTTTTCAGTTCATGACATTTTGGTATCTTAAACCTCTCGATTAAAACAATATACATCCTATCTATCTACACATTATAGCAATGAAGATAAATAGCTTGAAGAACATGTATTTAAAGCCATAAATATTACCTAAAAACATTAAAATATTTCTCTGAAAGTAAATTATAATACATAAATTTTGAAAAATATGGTAAAAAAAAATCTTTCAACACCTTCATAACTGGCTTACTCTGACTGAACTTGTTGGCACTGAATCACGCATAATAAAATTACACAGCAGAGTTGATATACCATTTGATATACAATTCAGTGCTAGTAAACCTAACTTCATCTGTGGCATACAGATTGCTTTATCAAATTGATCACTTTCATATTCATTCCATCCAGGTATATTGGACATCCATCCCTGTATAAAAATAAAAATCACAAATACTTTGTATGGGAATACAAAAACACTCACTCACTCACCCATTCATTCATTCATTCATTCATTCATTCATTCATTCATTCGTTCTTCCATTCATTCATTCATCAGCTTCGGTTTACTAATAACTGATAAGAGTTCGTTGAAAACATTGGAAACTTGGTGGGTGGTTGCAAGTTTTTACCAGTTGGGACAATTAGAACAAAGTTAAGGTAGAAAAAAAATGTATTTGAAGAAAGACAATTTTTAAAGAATGAAGGTTAGTGAAAATGTTCAAACTTTAGAAGCATCTAGCAATGAATACTTTTGTACTATTGTGACTGATTTTCTGCCATGACACTAAGAATTACCAACCGTTGATGCTTATTTTCTTAGGGACCCTAAACATACAGTCTACACCTGCTTACACAAATCAGACCAACGGTCAGAGACTTTGAATAATGCCTTTTTTTTAATTCAATGAGGTTAAAATAAACAAGTAATAACATTTCATACATGTAATTTACTGTCAAACTAAACTTGTGTAAGGAGATTGAGTAGATTCTCTTGATTTTACGCTTCAGCGATGAAATTAATTTGTATTTTTCTAAACCTGACCTTGATCATACATTTTCATCATTTTAAAAAAATAGTTCGAAAATCCCCTAAAGTCATTGTACTAAAGTTTTGAGCTATTCAGCAACTTACGGACATCATCATCAGTGAAACTATTTCCAAAACCTTTTGTTCGATTAAATGAAGGTTAAGATTATCAACTCCTGAATTATGTACAAATTACCTGATCTTCGTTCACATTTCTTGCTGCCTAACTATGCGTACAACAATGCTTTTGTTAGAAACCATTCAGTCAAGATGGCAACCTGTTATTGATCGCATAAACTTTTATATGCGTAATTATTCATATTTTTCCCTTGGGTTCCTAGTGGAACATATGGCTTCAGTAGCTCCTCTCCATTTCACCCTGTTCTCTCCAGTCTTCTCAACCTGGCTCCACCACTGCCCACAACCTCTCATTTCTTCCTCACACCATCTCCTCCATATCACCCTCACCTCACCTCGGACACCCAACTCGTCGCTTCCCATGGGGTTCCACTCGAGCAATTGGTCTGACACGTGATGTTCCCGAATGGTCTTCTCAGTGCATGCCCAATCCATCTCCACTTCCTTCCAGTGTATATCTGTTCAGCGATAGGTTCTTGCATCGTTGGTTGGTTGGTTGGTTGGTTGGTTGGTTGGTTGGTTGCCAGCCAGCCAGCCAGCCACAGTTCCTTCTTACTGATTCTTATTATTCTGGCAATCCATCTGAGCTTCAGTAATGAGCCAGTCTAGGTGGCAATTATTCATGAATGTCTATAGTTTGTTGAAAATGCTTTTCGTAACACGCCTAGTCTCTCAACCATCACATGGAAGAACTGACTTCACTGAATTGGTGTTGAGAATCCTGATGTTGTCCAGGCTTTATGCTGAGTGTAGTGCAGTGGATCTCCACACTGGTTTCAGGCTAATCAACACTTGTCTTGTTGTCTTTCTCATCCTGTCTGCTTTGATGTCCTCATCCATGCCTGTGTCACATGTAGTTGAAACGGTGCTGCCTAGATAGGTGTAGGTGAAATAGGCTACCACTTCCCAGTTTCTCTCATTCATGGTGATTGTAGCTTGTTGTTGTTGGTGGTGGCGGTGGTGATGTTGGAGGTGTTGGTTGCCTATCTTCATCACCTCTGTCTTCTCTGCGTTCACCTGAAGTCCCGTGTTTGCTGCCCTGCTCTACCCTGCCCTGCATTGCCCTGCCCTGCCCTGTCCTACCTCTTCTGTCAACTTGTTAGTTTTCGCCTGTAGATTTTCAAGTTTGTGTGACATCAGACATAAGTCATCATCGGCGAAATCCAAATCTTCTTCTTGGATCTTTTCGCAGGTCCAGCCAGTGTATACCCCTCTTCTCGTAGCTCCTCACTGTTTGTTGCATGATCCAGTCGAGTCGAGTCGAGTCCACTACACTCACACTCAGGAATATCATGTGTGATAGTAGGTGGCAGCCTTGTCTTACTCCTGTCTTCACTTCAAAAGCATCACTGAGCTTCCGATTGTGAATTACTTGGTATGTGGTGTCTTTATATAGTTGCTGAATGAGATTGATAAAGGTTTGTGTTATTCCGTAGTATTGGAGCAGTTGCCAAATTACTTGTCGGTCGACTCTGTGAAAGGCCTTTTCAAAGTGGATGAAGTTGAGTGCCATTCTATATTCTGTTGTGTGATAATGCGTAGCGTCGTGTTGCAATTTAATCTCTACATGATTTGTTCTTCCTGAAAACGGGCAGCAGCATGTACTGGTCGTAATTTTGAATCCAGGGCATCTTTTAATCTCTCCAGGATGATGCAGCATAATATTTTGCCTGCCAGTTCTTGCAAAGACTTAGGTCGCTATTCTTTCGGGAGTTTGACAAGATAGCCCTTCTTCCAATCGAAAGGTACCTTTCCTTCCTTTCAAACTTTCTGGAGTAGTAGTGTGAGCATGTCCGCTATCTTCTCTGCGTCCATAAACATCTAGGGAACTAGAAAAATTTACCATTAACAAACATGAATAGTCAGCGGCGTAGATTCAGTTTATCTGTACAACTCATCTCTGTGAGTAGAATTTGATCAGCTACATTGTTGAGAATCTCATTTTAAAATCGGAAAAACTTATCCAGGGTTTATAGTACTGTGACAAAAACCTGTAGATTCAGCGACCTATATTATCCAGTAGTATGTTCCGAATAAAATTTACTGAAAAGTCAATCTATGCCTAACATAAGCATATTTTCTATAAAGGCGAGATCATGAAAAATTAGTTTTTTTTTTAAAGCTAACTACCAAACATCAAAATTAAGATTGAGTTATTTTCATTTTAGTCTATTTAATAGAAATGTCACACAGTGAAGGAACGATATCATCTACTGGACAAGGTTTCGGACACAACTGATTGTTCATATTTATATCAGGTGACTTCACAACTTTGAGACAGAGTTTATATAATTCTAAGCCTCACTCTCTATTTGACACGGGGCAGTAGAATTTTCCCTATCTGGGACAGGTGCAGAATCATTTATCTTGCATGTACTTGGTGTTGCTTCGATAAATAAAGATTCGGTTATCAATCTCTCCCTCTCTCCATCCAACTTAGTTACTTTTTAATAGCATCGCTCTATCCCACCCTATTATGTGATTGTGTGCAGTTGCGCACATAGGATTTACTAATCTCGATTGTGTGTTCTGTTATTCTAATTGACCTTGGTCGACTACTTTGGCCTATGTATTTGACCTTTCGATCACTGCAAAGGATTTGGTACACCAAATTATTCCGCCTAATTGGATCGATGGGGTCCTCAGAAAGCTTGTTTCTAAGGCAGTTTTTGATTTAAATGCCACTTTAACCCAGCCAGCCTGATTGAGAATTCTTCGGAATGCTTCTGAGGTGCCTTACTTGTGTGGTAACACAGCAGAGGCTTTGAATTCTCTCTCCAGCCTGTCACCATTATTGTAAGTAGTACTAGAATTGTTATTAATAATACCTGTGTTACTAATACTACTGCTCATATTTTTCTTTCCATTTCTATGAATCTATTGACAAAATTGGGGTGTGTAATTATCGACGTGGAAGGTATTCTTGATGTGTCTAATTTATTGTCACAGATTATCTGTCCTACTAGTAAGGCTTTTTGTCCTGTCACTTAGGTATTTAACTAACCCTGCTTTAACTGCCACATGGGGTGAAATGATCTGAAGTCTAAGTAGCGATTTGAGTGGGTAGGTCTCTAACTTCCCTCCTTTTTCGTTTAATCTTAAAAACCAACATTGCAGGCTCATCATCATTACTTTCGAAGTCAAAAACCTATTGATACGTTCTGATTTCCGTACTGTAAATGTGTCATGTACATATAGGAACTATATATTTGGAATAGGATTAAATGTTTAAAGGGCCATCCGTTCTCAGTTATCCATAAATATGTCTGCGACGAAAGAGGATATTGATAATGCCATAACAACCCTATTCAGTTTGTTTATATAACTTATTTTGAAATTTAAATACTTTAGATGTCAGGCATAATTATTATTAAAATATGACTAAACATGTTATAAAAACATTTAGCTGTATATTGTTCACCAGTATGATAGAAACTCTAGGTAGCATTAGACAGAAATCTTAAATCTCATATGATACTAAAGTGTAATATTTGTAAAGGTATATCTTCACATTACCTTACTTTCCAATAACATGAGTTCACAGATTATACGAATTTTTGGATTTAAATTTTTAATGGAAACGACACACATTAGATTTTTCCAGTCATCATCATCAGGTGTTTGACTGCGCTCATCTGAAAGGATAATAACAGCTTCTGCAGTTCTCACCTAGTAAGGAAAGAATTAGTACAAATATGTGTTCACTCATAAAATATATGCCCAATAGATGAATTAATTTCATGCTAATTGAATGATGATGATCGAAGGTGAAATGAAAACTTGGACCGCGGCCGTATTCGAACCAGCGACCTCCGGTTTCCGGCCGTGATTTAGATCTTCAGTTCACCTTCAATCACTACTCAGTATAAATACTACTCTGCCAAACTATAACTATCTCATATAGTCAAAATGATAATCAATATGATGCTCCATCTCCTCTCTAATTCACTTACATTTGCATTGGAATGAGAAATCGTGACTAAGCAGACGGTGTGAATACGATGAAGCGATAGTAACGCGTCACGAATTCACATGGTAGTCGGGTAAAACCTGTCTTGGTTGTTGAAGGGAAATAAAAAGTGTGATCAGTAGTCCAACCTCGTAGATCAGTTGGTAGAGCATGGAGTCGATAACCTGGTGATTGCTGATTGCAATCCTGCAACGGTTCAAATTTTCGCTTCACATTCAATCATCACTCGGTTATAAATACTAGTCTGCCAAACTATGGCTATCTAAGATATAGTCAAATGATAATGGAATGATAAACAGGATTACAGGTGAACTTTAGTCAAGAGCTTATGATGGTTAAAACGATTTCATAGCATGAAAAACACTTTTTCTTTATCATTCTTCCTATGTTTCTCACTATTCTAAATCCTTAACTATCTAGATATCTCACTCACATGCTAACCTACTTGCCTACTACATATCCAAGCGTATACTTAAATCTCTCTTATAATACTACACTCAATGGTAACATAAAAAAGAGACTTTAGCTAATAAAGTCAACATATGTTTTCACTACACGTTTAGTGTTCATTGATTTTATCACTTTGACACTTAAGTCTACAACGATTAACATACAGATTACAGTAAGTTTTAACTATCTATGTATTATTATGCTTATGAGATGTTAAGTCAAGCTATAGACGAACGTGATAATTTCAACTTGTCAACTAGAACCATTTTATGTGATTCAGAAATACTAATGATGAGTTTAAGTCATGTTAGTATAAAAGTGAAAGCCATAAAGTTAACAATTATTTCGATAAAATATCATTCTGATGATTGTTTTCGTTTTATTGAGTCTGAAATGACTCACATAGAGAGAAACTGTAAGAATTTACAAAAGCTGCATTTATTTAAGTCAATGCTACTAGAATGCATTCAGTAAGCGTGTAGTCGTACAATAGAAGAACAGTCATTATTATGAAGTTTTCACAGTTATAAGGATACATTGATTTATCACTAGTGAGTAACCGATTTCATGATGCTCAGTCCTGAATCCTGATCGAATTCTATCCACTAATTTAACAATGTAACCAGCAAGCTAAGAAGTTCACCATCATGTTGCACTTTGTTGGGCGTTAGCTGGTTAGAGATAATCAACAGGAAGCTTTGAATTTATATTTCATGCATGTTGACACTCGTCAGCAAGGTGTATCTGCAAACTCGAGGGAAGTGATGTCATCTGTGAGATACTAACTCACGTCACATGCAGTTGCTCCTGAAAAACAGTGAGTGTATTAATATAGTTTCTTTTCCTTTGCAACCGGATCATAATACACACCGATAACACATATTAGGAGGGGTAGGGGATAAATCGAGAGCTGTAATAGTTTACCGTAAGTGTGAAAAACCCTCTAATCATTTAAAGTACTTTCTACATTCAATCATTTTGTAAACCGGAGTAATCTATTAAGTTTCACATGATTTACTCTTGATGAAGAAGATGTAGTTAGAAAGGTGGACAACTTTTCGCCAAATCGCTACTGGATATACACTCATAGTATTTCATACTGATTAACTGGATATTTTCAGGGTAACAAACAATATCTAAACCTATGTAGGATAACCCAAATGCGTTATTCTATTCTTTGTACAGTCTCATAATGTCTGAAGATCAAGTCAGAGTTTTAGGCATTCAATTATTTTACTAGAAAATGAATCTTATTTGAGTAGATACATCAAATCCAAAGAATATAGGTGTAAACATTTTGTTGTCTTGAGCTGGAAGTTGGAAGTCATTTAATCGATAATTGCTTAGAAACAATGTATTTTGAGATAAGCCATACTTAGTCGTTACCAGATTGTTCCTTAATAAAGGGCTTCACAAGAATCTTGGTTAGTTACAGCATCATATCTATAGGAAATTCTTACTGCCGAAGAGTAGATTTCATAACATTGAAATGCAATCATACGGAGAAAGAGTCAATCTTTGAACTTCCTCCAAATAGTTCGAAATATTAAAGGCTTTATTTAGGGAAAATATTAATTTATTATTATGAAATAAAAATTCTAACCAGTGTTCTTTCTGTTCAAGCTATCCTGACTGAGAAATGAGTAACGTTATAGAAATACTTTTAATACCCCCCCCCCTGCAGTCAATGTTGTTTGATATATCATTAACCTTTTAACTGATGTATGCTTTTAGAGTTTCAAAAATAAAATCCATATTTCAGTGTAGTTACCACCTAGAATACAATGAAACCTAGCTGATGAGCTGGAAATAAGACAAAACATTATCAAATCATTACTTTTATTTCACTTGGTAAATACGTTTTAAAAGTGTACACTTTTTGCGACCGATTCTGTTAACTTCACAACAGCAAGTAAATTTTTAGACAAACACTAATGTGGTCCAAAGTGGTAACTTGTTCTTAGCGCACCCAGGAATCAACTGCCGACTATAGAATTTGATCTATAGCTTCTCAAAGAAGAATATCTTCAACGATTTAAACCTTTGAAAACTAATGTTCATAAACAAAGTCTTGTTTGGAACTGTAAGTACTCATTCAGTATTCTGTTTTAATTTCAATTTTTTCTCAATAAATCTTAATGGGTATCCAATTTATGCTTACAGTTTTACTTACACCTGTGGAGCTAATTATATTGGCTAGACAAAGCGCATACTTTCCAAACTTTTCTCTGAACACTATCCTGCATAGTTGTCAAGGGTAGAGTGTAAATCAATTAAAACTATAATTCTTGAACATTTAGTTATTCCCTAGTAAATTCAAAATACTCTTCTCATCACAAAATCACATTTTTCACCTACTTTTGCTCTATCCAAATCTTCTGGTAAGGTTACAGAACCTTTCAAAAATGCAATCGTAGTACTTTCTCTTTGAAGTAGCGCTTTCAAACGAATGTCAGGATCATTTCTATGGTAAAATGAAGAAAAATAACCTTGAATTTTTCCCTTAAGTAGATTTCAGTATATTACTGGATGGTTATTTTCTAAATAATCGGTTTTATAACCGAAAGGTGAGTCAAAGATGAGCCAACTATATATGACTGTTTACAAAAAAATCTGTTCACCTCAAGTTGATATTCATTACAGACAGACATCAATTGGAGAACCATTGAACATCTAAAAGGAGTAGTTCACAGCTGTTTCATTTCGTATGAAATTCCTCAGTAGTGTGTATCCATGACTGCGCCAGTGATGGAACTCAGGAGATTCAGACTGTCATAGTATTACTCTGTCGTTCATTTCTGTGAAGGCAGGATCATCTGTTTATCGTAAATATCTACATTCTAAGAGATTTTTCCAAAAGGTTTTCACTGGTTGTAAATATCAATACTGAAAATTACCTCTTCATAGGATTGACATGTCGATGCAAAATCCTTACTTCACATCACTTATTGAACGTCAGTTTGTCTTCATTTGTATGAATAATTGTGAAGGTTAATTGTGGCTGTAAATTTATCTAGTTCCACTCTATTTTTTTGTCATCTGGATTATGTATTATTATCACCATGTTAGTGTGATTATCACTTCCTGAAAGGTAAACTAAAAGACGGAATGTTGTCCTTCATCACTAGAAGTAAATGGTCAAACAACTGACTGAAAATAAATAAGTCCTGAAACGATGTCTCTTTCTGTACTGAGAATCTTTAGCACCATGTGACGATAACCATTCACTGTACTCCAGAACAATGTAGAAAGTACATAAGCTTCAGGGTTAATCGACCAATTTTTACGGATATTTTCCGAACTTCATTGAAACAAAGAATATGTCACGTTATACCACATGCTACTTGTTTTTGAACGTGTACAGAAGTACTGATATATAAGGACTTATATTTCAATTCCTGAACCAATGGAGTGCAATCATTGTAGTTCTTACCTTACTTCTCTACACTTTCCTCTCCCGTAGCTCGTTAGTAGTCAAACACCATTGCCGTACTAATATAGAAACCCGGTGGCCCCTGGTTCGAATTTGACCGTGGCCCAAATTTTCATTTCACCTTCAATTATCACCCAGTATAAATACTAGTCTGTCAAACTATAGCTATCTCATATAGTCAAAATGATAATGTAGAATAAACAAGATTACATCTGGAATTGTAAAAACTATGATTGCTAAGTGTTACCATTAAATAGTGAATGCTTTCTGAAATTTACTTGCTGAACCATGAAGCTGATATTTTCTTAAAAATGAAAACCCTAGGAGGTGCAGTATGATTTTGTGAAGCGGACTGCTGCTCGTAAAAGTCCATCCTACTATTGCTGTGTCATTCATGATAACCATGCTGGGGGGCACAGACTCATCAAGAACATATTTTACATATTAAGCATTCAGCATTTTCTCTTCACTTTGTAAGGATTAACTTTTGAGGAAGAGAAGTGAACGGCAACCTGGGAATCAACAGTTATCTTATTGATACGACATACTACTGTTAAATATATCCATGAATTCGATAACTACTGAAAAATTAGATTTGAATACATATTGCCGCGAATGACATGCTGTTTGGAAAAATCTCAGTGGCTATGAAAAGATGATGAGTCTGTGATTAAAATAGATGTCATGTAGTGTAACTCTTCATCCTGCTGAAGAAACAAGTTGTTTTTCATCTCATTTTACCTGACATACAAAAACTAGAGGTTGATGAGCAATAAATCAGTTTTTAAAGTTTCTACATGATGTCTGGTCAACTGATATATATATATATATATATATATATATATATATATATCACGCACCAGACCCTCGAGTGGAACCCAAAGGAGAAACGACGACTTGGGCATCCAGGGTGACACGCAGGAGATCGTGTAAGGAAGAAATGAAAGCTTCTGAAAAGCCGTGGAGCCAGGTTCAAAAGACTGCAGAGAAGAGATTGAAGTGGTGACATGCTGCTGAAGCCCTATGTTCCTCTAGGAACCCAAAGGACAAATAATAAACCATCATATATATATATATATATATATATATATATATATACCAGTGGAAGGCATCTGGTTTTGCAAAAGAATACTGTCCAGCCTCTATACCTATTTTCTCGAACTTACTGTATAACATGCTGTTAAAAACTGTTCCTCTGCTCAATTGTGCACCAAATTTAGCTAACCACACTTATCAATACAGTTTTACCTATTAACAGTTACGAAGCGACATTGTTTTGACTGTTCTGTGATATCAATACATTTGTCTTGTTCATTCATAATGCATAAATGACCATCAGCGTTAAGTGATAGATGAGAGCTTGATTTGATTACAGTTCAATGAACTGAATTCTCCTAAAACCATCTTTCATTGATCTCAACTCAGGTGATTTACAAGCTATAAAAACTGTTTAATATAAGTGAATGGATTAGATTATTCATTAGGCTTACTTACTCCGATAAAATTACAATCATCATATTTTCATCATAATAACCTTTATCAGCATTTACATATTCATTGAAAAATACTGAAATTGTCTTGTAATTGACAGATCCGCATACAACTATATGCCTAAAAAAAAAGAAAACATCAAGAATTTTATAGTACACTTTTACAGCAAATAATACTTAATTGTAGAGTAAAATCCTCCATTGATCATTAAATCTTCCTTTTGAGAGTCATCCATCTATTAACAGTCCTAGAAATTCATGAAATGTCATTATGTAAGTATACAATCCATTTAAAAAAATACTGTTCAATCTTTCGGTTTCACCGAAAAGTCAGTGGTCACTGGTACAAATCCTGCTGTGGTTCAAATTTCAGTTCGTCTTCAATGATCACCCAGTGTGTAGAATACAATCATCTCAGACACTTAAACTGTTATTACATTTTTATGAAGCAATATATTTTGTTGTTTTTATTCAACCATTAATGAGTATGCTAAGGTGTCCAGTAAAATATCTAACTTCTTTTCTGTAATATCTCGGTACGGTGATCAAAAAGAAACATAGGCGTATTGCTTAGTCATTCAAGCTGTATCACTAAACTGCACTCATTTTACTTCATAAGTTATTCATAAAAAAGTCTCACTTTGTACTTAAAACGGTCGATAGTGGCTAACAATGGAATCCAAGACGTGAGTTTTATTCAGTTTGAGACTTGTCAGCTGGATGTACCTGTCTCCTAATGAGTGTTATTCTAACTGGGACTCAAACTCTGGACCGATCACTTCAAACGCCAGAGAGCTATCCACTAGACCACTAAGCCACTACAGCCATTTCTTGTGCAACTAGTATGATTTTAATGTTGTTGCTTTTATTATTCCGTCGTTGACTGGACCGAATTGATCGGTCTCTATTAGCATACGGGCTCCTACGCGGATGCCTTGATATTGCCTGTGTTTCAATTATATATTTAGGATAGATAGTGATTAGGAGTGGAGTTTAGGACACGCGTTTCATCCTTTTTAGGACTAGTCAGCTGCACGTACCTGCCTCCCAGAAAGTGACATTGTTCCCACCGGGCTCAAACTCGAGACTGATCGCTTCAAACGTAAAAGTGTTATCCACTAGACCATCGAGCCATAACTACTCATCAGTGATATTTAATTGAAACACAGGCAATATCGAGGCGTTCGTGCAGGAGCCCACATAGCAATAGAGACCGATCAGTTCGGTCCAATCAACGACGGGATAGTACAAGCAACAACACTGTACTGAAAACGTTTAGAATAAGTATTCATAAAATAAGTAGATTAAGTATCCATTTTTAGTATGAAAAAATACAGAAATTACTCTCAAACAAGTGGTTACTTTCGACTTGTTTATTTTCTTGCTACTTAGAATAATCAAACTGTGAAATTTCGTAACTAGATTGATTCACCGTCTTAGAAGTTTCAATTAGGGCGTCTTTAAAGGCCACCCTATCAACTGATGAGACAACCAATTGCATTGCTTTATTTTGTGGAAAAATACTTTTCTAGGCGAAATGCTGCAGCTTGATTGGTTATTTCCACAGTTGCTAGGATGAACTTTAAAGTCAACCCCATAAACTTTGAAACACAATATACAAAATTGTTGCACACAAAGCAAAAAGTCGGTGGATGGACTCCATCAAGCTCATCATCCAATCAACAAAAGTCTTAAAAAGACTTAAGAATTAAACAAACACATGAATACAACCAAATGACAAAAATTACAGCACAACAATCTTCAACGAAGAGAAATACTCTTAAAAGGATTTTAAATAAACTGGTTAAATTCAATCCACAGTTTATTTGAATAAATTTATCATTCAGGTATCAGTTTTTCGTTCGAATGAATGAAAACGAAAAATCTGGGATTTGAATTCTTAATAAAGCAATTTGTGCTCAAATTCTTACCAGAATTGTAAGCCTAAATTGTAGTAAGGAATAGACTGTAAAGCAGAAATCATCAATCAAGGTGAGTTGAACCACAACAGCTTACTGAAGAAAGCTTCAGTTTACAGATGTGCTTGTAGGTAAATATTTCTCATAATTTCGAATAATAACACAATGTAGTAAGTAGCATAAAAAGCCTTATGTACCAGATGTCGGTTAGTTCTACTATAGGAAGATCAAAATGTATTTTCATAGCTTGAAAGAATGTGATAACGTCTTCAATTTGTGTTCTGAGTGTAAGGATTGATGTCAAGGTAAGTTAACTCAATCAGTTCTATTAGATAACGTGCTCAATATGACAACTTTATTACTTGTAACTTGTACGTAAAGCATACTAACCAACAGAGTATGAAATTCATAATCTCATTGAAGACGCTTTATTCCTTTATTAATGATTGTCAAAGATTAAGTAACTGTATTCAGAGCTTCATGCTGATTGGTTGCTGATATCTAACCACACAAAATGCTCTAGCAATCATTAATTTTAGCACAACATGGGGATGGCAATTATTAGTTTAACTCTGAAATTAACTATTTAGTCATACGTATTCCCTTACTGGCTTCAATGAATTTATGAATATAAAATTCGTACAGTATTTCAGTTTTTCCAAAATGGAAGAATATTGTGAGGTGAAGGATTTCAAGGAGAGTAATATGTAAGTGATTATGTGAACTCAGATGGTGGCTGAGTTTAACGGTTCAGTGGTAGGATGTAGGTTATGCAGTAGTTGAGAAGTTTAAGGCTGAGAGCAGATAAAGCTTTGTTAGTGATGGTGATGAAACTCACCCATCTTGTAAACCTCAAGCGAGAAGTCAAGAGCACTACTTTTAGCACTGTAGTTTACCGAGAGTATACCAACTAGCAATGCAGCTCAACCGATGAATATTAAGCAGTTAGCAAAGGAATCCTGACTATTAATGTTATTTATCGAGGAAATACAATTAATAACGATATGAGTAACTATTATGTCTTTTAGAAAACGATCTCTTGCACTGAATCTCATTTTGTACTGTTCTTATCCTTTGTATTCAGATCTAATATTGTATACTCTTTCAGAGGGATTCCTTATCAATCGATTGCTATCACTTTCGATGTCGATTTATAACCTGTATGCAATCTTATAAGTAGCTCCCATTTCCCTAGAAGTTTTTGTGAACTAAGGATTTAAACGGAAAGACAAGCAGGAACATATCTAGTTAAGAGATTGCATAAAATAAAATAAAAATAACTGGAACAAATGATAACCCTTTAGTTTAATCAGTTGATAAGTGTGTTTTCAAAAAGATAATACCACGAAATTTTTCCAACAAGACTTATTCAATCTTATATGAGTAAACTAAGCCACTGATGTCAATTTGCAAATCAACAGATCCCTGAGAATCATTGACTGAATTAGTTTCTAGCATTCAGCAATGACTTCTAGATTGTCTACCAAAGTTCTGATGAGCAACCATAATCCATGCATTCAAAAAGGCAAATGTAAAGACAAATACTGGTCATTACGATTGAATGATGATTGGAATACATATCATGAAAATATAAACGTGGAAAATAATGGATTACCAGATGGTAACCCGGTGGATGAATATTGACGGGCTTGAAGCAAGGCTATAATGGTCCTGAAATCAATCCCATGAGGCCTCGTGGGTGTACACTTCTGAGGAATTTCATACTAGGATAAAACAGTGATCCAGTGCACTAACGTACTTAGTAGTTCTACCTCTGATATAAGTACATGATAAATACCACCTTCAGACTACACACGTTATTCATGCATCATTTTTAACAGTACAGCCAATACAGATCATTGAATGATCCTTTCAATTATCAGCCTCAGGTCAAATTACCTCATTGTGGTTACATGTAACTCCACGATATCCTGAATTCTTACTGTTTTGCAGTCATGAAAAATATATATTCCATGAAATTTTGGACTAGAATGGAGAAATTTGAGGAAAAAGCAATGTAAAACGTTTGAGGAAATCCTACAATTATTCTCCATCTCCTACGTAGTGTATGTCTCCCAAAAACTCCCAGGATTTCCCAAAACAATGCCTCCTTCCTGCAACTTCCTCAGTACTTCTCTCACTCCCTAAGAATTTCCACATCGAATGCATAATTATGCCTATTTACTGAAAGGAAGTAGCCACTTTCACCTATCTAGGCAGCACTGTTTCAACTACAGGCGGCACAGATGAGGACGTCAAAGTTAGGATTGGAAGAGCGAGACAGGCGTTCATTAAGCTGAAATCAGTGGGGAGATCTACTCCACTTCACTCAGCATAAAGCGTGAACAAGATCCGGATTTTGAACACCAATTCAGTGAAGTCAGTGCTTCTATACGGTTCAGAAACTTGGCGTGTTACGAAGGGGATTTCCAACAAACACAGACATACATCAGCAACTGCCTACGTTGGCTCGTTACTTAAAGATCAGATGGTCAGAATAATAAGAATAAGCAACAAGGAACTCTGGCTGGCAACCAACCAACGAAGCAAGAACCTATCACTCAACAAATATGCACTGGAAGGAAGTGGAGATGGATTAATCATACACTAAGGAGACCATTCGGGGACATCACGTGTCAGGCCAATTGCTCTAGTGGAACCCAGATGGGAAGCGACGAGTTGTGCGTTCGAGGTGAGGGTGACATAGAGGAAATGGTGTGAGGAAGAAATGAGAGCTCGTAGGCTGTTGTGGAGCTAGGTTCAAAAGATTGCAGAGAACAGCGTGCACTTGAGACGTGCTAGTGGAGCCCTATGTTCCACTAGGAACCCAAGCGACAAATAATAATAATAATATTACCCGAAATTTCCCTGATTTTCCCCTAAATGATCTGTTTCAGACTTGATTTCTACATTAAAAAAAAATTTTTTTTTTACTTACTTAGGGTTAACTTCACTATAAATAGTTCTTTGATACTGATTATTTTGTTGAAAGAGTTCACTGAGTTCAGACATATGTGTTGTTACCGATATCTATTGTAGAATTCAGAAAAAAAACGAAAAATAATGGGAAATTTCTAGACAATAGATTTTAATCTAGTTCCCTTATTATTATTATTATTATTACTATTATTGTTATTATTATTATTATTATTATTATTATTATTATTATTATTATTATTATTATTATTAGATAACGAGTATTATACAATTTTCTTAAAGTCCTGGTGCCATTGAAGACAAAAGTGTCAGAGTCGAATATAAAACTTGGGTGCTGTGGTAGAATGTAATTCTATATTAAATTTTTTTATTTGACATTTTTATTTATTTATTAGAACACAAACGTGATACAATAAGGGCAGCAAGAAATGCGCCACATAAAATAATCTTACAATATATCTGATAACGTCTCAAGTCAGTGAGTGGCGTGATCTCTCGGATCCCAAACAAGCGAGTTGTGATACACCAATAGATGCTAACCCAATATAACTATCCTTCATCTCAAGATACTATGTCATACACTGACCACTCTTACACTTCTTCCATCCAGTCACAGGGTTAGCAAACAACGAACGGTGTGGAAGCCATTGAAACGACATGAGTAATACATGTCCAAGTCACCGAAGCCTGTATTTCCAGATGACTTCACTTATTGAATGATGATCTCCATCATGATCAAATTCACGCTGTCATACCTAAGGATTACATAAATGGTGTTACCACCGGATAAGAGCAATCCTATATGGAGACAATGATGATTGAACACACAGAGTCGTCACACATTCTCAGTTTAGAGAGGCCAGGTTTCGCAGGGGTAGTGCAGAACTGCTCGCAATGATACAGTATTATTTACTTGGTAACGCTTCGTGCATAAATTATTCCTCATAATAATATCAAAATAATCACAAAACTTTCGACATCTGATTTCATAGTCTTATAATCAATGTTTATTTATAAGTTTACTTGCTGCTGTGAAGCTGAGTATGTCAGCCGTACTATACGCTGGCAAATACACCTAACTGTTGAAGAATAAGAATAAAACCGTCTCCTACTCCATTGTTGAACACATCATACACTCTGAACATCTGGCGTCTATGGAAATCTCGTTCAGTTAGCCACAAAGTTCGACCACTTATATGCAGGCGAGCCTTTGGCATTTTACAGCTTCAAACGTCAGTTATATCTTCAAAAGTAAAATATATGAACACTCTTTTTGCCATGGCTTTAATTAGGTATTCTATTTATATCCTGTATTTTCTTTATTCATTTATATGTTTCTAGTATAAATGTTTTTAATATCATACCGTTATTGATTGGATCGAACTGATCGGTCTCTATTAGTATATAGGATCCTATGCGAATGCCTCGATATTACCGGTGCTGTAATGGTAGTAATGATGAACCGTGTCTAGCAGTGGAATCCAGGATGCACATTTCGTCCTATTTAGGACTCGAGTCCGAATCGCGATGAGAACAACATCACTCACTGGGAAACATGTACATCCAGTTGATGAGTCCCAAATTGGACGAAATGCGCACCCTGGATCCCACTGCTAGCCACGGTCCATCATAACTACCACCTATATGTTTCATTACATGTTTATTTTTACTGTATACCTAATCAAACTGTTTACTACATTTTATAGAAACTATTGAGATCATGTTTTGTACTACGTAATAGCATTTTATTCCCTACATATATACCTATTGATTAAATTTAACCTTTGACCGGAAACTTGTCTGAAACACTGTACCATTTTACTGATATATTTACAAATGTACAACTGTGAAATTGAGTCGTCGAAATGATAATTATGCTTACTGTAACCTCTTTTAAATTTTGAGGGAGTTGTGGAGATTTGGAATTATTTCAAGTTGTTATTCATTGTAGACTGACATCAGTTGGAGGAACAAAGGAAACCTGGGAGCACTGGACAGCTGTTTCGTCCTAGTATGGGACTCCTCGGCAGTGCGCACCCATGACCTCCAACTGATGTCAGTCTACGATGAATAACAACTTAAAATGTAACCTCTTTTATTGTTTTTCACATATTTGTTCATTGAATCAACACTCAGTACATGTAATATGAATAACACGCAATACATATACTGGAGTTATGGAAAATGTTTACTATCACTAAAAAAACAAACAATACGAGGTGATAAAGTCTATGAAAATCAGATGTCGAAAGTTGTATAATTACTATGTTATGATTATGAGTAATAATTTATGCTGAAAAACATCATCAAATAAATAATACTGTATAACTGTATGGTGTGTCAAATGGGTAAATCCAACATGAAAGTGTTGTACCAATCAAAAAAAGAAAATGCATAACATGTAGTCTTATTGTATTAGTTTAATTCAAGAGCTTTGTTTCACTCCCTTCTTTTATTCTCATACTCCTTATGGTTGAGCGACTTTATGGATGAATTTAATACCACCCTAGCAACTGAAGACACCCAATTACTTTCCCTTTTTTTAATGGAAAGTACTTTCCAAGGTGAAATATGACCGACTTTAAAGGTTACCCTAGCAACGAGTGAAATAACCAATCAGGCCTCTTATTTTATGAAAATTTGCGTTTCCAGCCGAAATCAAGAAACTGCGTTGATGATTTCGTTCGTTGTTAGCTAAGGTGGTTTTTAAAGTCGCTCCGAAACACCGAAGTCTGATTGGTCCATTCAGTAGTGGCCGGGGTAGCAACCATTGGAACAGCCACACAGGTTGCTGTATTTTATCTGGAAGACCATTTTTCATAGATTAGACAAAACTGATTGGTTGCTATATCAGTCACTGGGATGGCCTTTGAAGCCACTCGATTTTCATAAAACAGAGAGCCGTAATTAGCTGTCTTAACAAGTTGCCAGGGTGCCCTTTAAAGACGCCCTTAAATTCAAGTGGTATTTTCAGTAGTTGTTAAAGCAGTCTGTACAGCCATTCAATTCACTTATTTCAGCGATGTGAATTATAGAGTGACTTTAAAGGCCACCCTAGCAACGATCGAAATAACCAACTAGGTTTCTCTATCTTGGCTGGAAAGTCAGATTTTCATAAAATAAAGAAGTTTGATTGGTTATTTCATTTGTTGCTACGGTGGCCTTTAAATTCACTCGAACTATGGGTAGACCTAAAAGTTGTCCTGTGAAATAACCAACTGGATTTATGTATTTCGACTAGAAAGGAGTTCTTTTTCATAAACTAGAGAAACCTAGTGAGTGATTCTAAAGGTTACCCTGGCAACAAGTGGAATAATCAATCAGACGTCTCTATGACAGTTTGTCTTTCTAGCCAAAATGAGGAAACCTGATTGGTTGTTTCGGTAGTTGCTAGGGTAACCCTTAAAGACACTAGCATCATGGCACGTGAGTATCTAGTTCAGTTTACAAGATTTACTTTAAAGGCCACCCTAGCAACTGATCAGATGACCAATCAGGCTTCGGTATTTTTCGCGGAAAAGTACTATTCTATAAAATAAAGGAATGTAGTTGGCTGTCTCATCAGTTGGTCACTTCCAATTACGTCCCTCTGAGTGACTTTGAAGGCTATCCTAGCAACTGCCAAAATAACCAATCGTGTTGCCGCATTTTGGCCTAGAATTTTTTTTTCATTGAATAGACGAATATTGATTGGTTGTTTCACCACTGGCCAGGGTAGCGTTTAAAGTCACTCTCCCTCTGTTCTATGAAAGGTCACAGACCCAGGAAAAACTCAGAATTCTGAGTGGTTATTTCAGCAGTCACTGGAGTGAGGGCCTTTGAAGTTGCTTGTGTACAGCCATGCCTCAGATCACAAATTACATGATTAATGAACAACAATATCGTCTTATGTTGAACAATGGTTAGATGGGGGATAGTCATATGACTGATACTTGTATGAGTAGTTGTGTATATAAATAATCGTGTGTTCTGTCCCAGATGTAATCGAATTAAAAAGCCACACATCTCAAAAAGGTAACCCTTTCATCAGCACCTAAATTTCTGGTTGGAAAGTCATACTAATGACGAAAACAAGCAATTATTTTATTTGAAACAATTAGTTCCCTTTATAAACTGTTATAAAACAATATAAAGATGTAAATTGTCTGAACCGTGTAATGTAGTTGCACAACACATTTCGATCTATATGAGATCACACACCTACTTGTCATAGGTATTTATAGAAAAATTCATGAAGATAAGGAGTGAGAAAATGAAAAGAGATAAAGTAGAAAGACTAAATTAAAAGCCGAATAACAATAGAGCTGAAATAATAGTACATTGAACTTGTGAAATTGTCGTTTACATGCTGTATGGGTTCGAAAGAATATACGTGCTTGGTAGTTTCTATTAATTGAACCCTGCTGCCTGGTAAGTCCTTCTAACAGCATCGTTAAGTCTGTGCTTAAGGATTCCACTATGATAGCCACCTTTGTACTGAAAACTGAAAAAGACATTCTTATTTGGGACAAACTGAAGATCTGGTTTCGCTGCTCTGATTATTTTGTGCTGCTTAATAAACCCGTAAACGTTGGTAGCAGATGTCCGAGTTCTTCGATTGGCACACATTTCGTTGAGATAGGTCACAGGATTAATGTGACTTCTTCCTTTACACCTATTTACAAAATGTGTTGAAGACGGATCCTTACATTTGTTAAGGCCTTGGCTATTAACAAGTTCAAATCACCCTTATGTGTTCATTAACAATTTATTATCACATTAAATCCTCCCTGCTAAATCCAACTATGAAAACCAAGTTCAATGTACTATTATTTCAGCTCTATTGTTATTCGGCTTTTAATCTAGCCTTTCTACTTGATCTCTTTTCATTTTCTTACTCCTTATCTTCATGAATTTTTCTATAAATACCTATGACAAGTAGGTGTGTGATCAGATAGGTCGAAATGTGTTGTGCAAATCATCTAAACTGGTTATATTGCAACGAATTAACCACTTGGTGACATATTTTATCTCAATATTAGACTGTCATGTTTTCATTTCTAGAAGAAAACATAATAAACGCTGTTACTTCCTTGAAGTTATTCGATGATCCA